CGCGTTTGGGGTAGGGGGAGGGAGGCGGGGACGAAACCCAGCGAGCAAAGTCCAGGTCTCCAGGTCGCTGCAGCAGCAGCAGCAGCTCTGTCCCCAGAGAGGAGCGAGGTCCGAGGTGAGGGAGGCCGCAGCGGGGGACGCCGGGGCCCGCGGGGCGAAGGGCGGCCGCAGCGGGATGTGCCCCCAGCCCTCCCCCCCGGGGTGGGCCTCAGACCTGGGCCCCGAGCTGGGGACGCCTCGGGAGGGTACGTGAGGAAATGGTGGTCCTCCCGTAAGTCCCTCGGACCGGCACTGGGACCTGAGCTTGTGGTTTCTCCCCAGGCGGAGATGGATGTAGAGGCAGCGAGGAACGGAACCGCCCGGCGCTCCAGAGCAGCGGAGGGCGACTTTGAACTAGGCAGCCCCAGGTACATCTCCGGAAGCACCGGCTTCTCCGGTCCACCGGACTCGCCAGAGCCAAGTTCAGACCGGGAAAGACGTTTATGGGGAGGGGGGAAAGCCTGTCCTTTTGATCCCGTTGCGCTTTGAGAAGCGTCTTCGGAAGGGCTTGTCTGAGATGCTGACCTTGGAGCAGAAGTGTGAAGTGGCCTCCAGGAATGTCACCCAGGCTCTGGTTTTTGTTGTTGTTGTTGGAACATTTACAGAGAAGAGGACGAAGCTGTCTTTAAAAGTGCTCCCTTCCCTCTCCGCAGGGGTCATCCTATGGCTGTGGATGCTGTATACTATTCTTTGTCCCACACAACTGTCCCTTAGACAATTTTCATCGCCCATCATCAAATTATTCGTTCTCACAGACATCTGCTGCTGATGGTTGTGCTTTTAACAAGGGTAGAGAAGCACTCACACCTCTCCTCCAATTATTTCTCTTCCTTCTTGTTTCATCCTTTCCCTTCTCCCTCCTGTAGGCTGGTTCCATATTTCTTCTCTCTGGGTGGTAAGGTAGGGAGGGGGAACTTGATTAGTGTCAGCAGGATTCTTCCCTAACCCGTGTTTCCAAGTCAGTCATTGTTCATGAGAATGGTGGGAAACTTAGTAGCTTGCTTTGCTGGTGAGTCTCTCTCCAGGTCTGGCTCTGGCTCTGGTTTTGACTCCCTGGCCCTTGTTACAGGCACAGTACAGGCTTCAACACAGACAGAAGGCCCCAGTTAGTGGGGTGTGTGTGTGGGGGGGGGGGAGTAATGAGTCATTTTTTGTCTTTATCCTCAAATAGTTTATGAGGCTAGTATAGTTCATGCTAGGCCACCCAGAGTTGTGTCATGAGTTGTCACCCAGAGAGACAAATTTATCAGATTCTGTAGTTGCTCCTCAAGCTGCAAGGGGCCTGATTAGTTAACTGAAAATATGCCTATCTGTTGCTTAAACTGAAGCATTATTTTAGTCTTAACGTTTTTGGACAGTGACATTGCTCTCTTTCTTCTGAGAATCATGGTATTTATTCCCAGAAAACATCATTATTGCCATACAGAATTGGGAGAAAAAAATGGAAGGATTGTATTATTTGTCATTTTTTTTAATGTGGCTTTCATCCGCTGGAAATTTAGGGTCAGAACCACTGGGGATCTATAAATAGATGGCATTTGCATGAACAAGGCTATTTATGTGTTGCACTGGCTGAACATTTGATGAGGGTAAAAAGGAGCTGTCCCTGCAAAAGGTGGAAGATCCTCCAGAGCCCAGGCAGGCCCTCGGAGTGGAACTCAGCCTTCTGTTGAAAAGAAGAAAAAAGCGAAAGAGGGAAGTACAGGAAGTTACAAATAACTTAGACTGTAAGGTAATGAAATTAAATACAGTGAGATAAAGTTTTCAACAGTAGGCAAGGATTATACATTCAAAGAAAGCTCACTTGGGTATCTCGGCAATTAGATGGTCTGTTGTTTGCTGCAGAAACCTGTTTCTGGTTCTTTAATGTGTTTAGTGATGGGCAGTCATCTAGTCGTTGTGATAGTTATTCTACATAATTTGGGATTGACTCTTACATTGCCAAGGACAATTGTGTGTGTGGTGTTAGCTTACTGATGGTTATGTGCGATGAGAAAAGCTCCTAGTTTTATTGAATTTCAGGTCCTACCTATTATTGCCTTGGCAGGGGTAGAACAAATGAGTTCTCCAGCTTTATAGGGTCCGCTAGCTGAATTTCCCCACCCCTGATTCTATTTGGATAAATATATCTTAGTTAAAAGGGATAGCTATCCTTATGGAGTTTATGGTTTGTATAGAGATCAAACACGAATAATATACATGCTAACTAAGCAAACAATTGCTTGTTAGTAGGAAATCAGAAGTGTCCATCATAAGTTCTTAGCAATTTTAACTAGAGTGGTTGAGTTGGCCTTTATTTTGAAGGCAGTATTTGAACAAAGATTATCAAGAAATGAGAGGAGAGAGAAGAGCAAGTCTGTGAAGGGAGATCCTTTTTGGCAGGGATGACAGATAATAAAAGACCCTCTGATGGAAACATGTTTGGTGTGTTCACAACACCACAGAAAGGCCAGTGTGGCCAGAGCACAGGAAATATGGCCAGAAGGGAATAAGGAAATGGAGCATCCAGGGCTGGAGAGGCCAAACATAAAGACTTTTTTGACTTTCACCCTGAGAAAAATGAGAATCTTTGTGATTTTAACAGAAAAATAACATAGGAGCTGAGTTTTTAAGTTATGGCTATTAGATGCAGATAGACTGAAGGGGGAGCAGGTGAAAGTGAGGAGACCAGACTGGTTCTGGGGATAACAAGAAAATGCAAAACTTTTTTGTTGTTGTTGTTGTTGGTTGTGGGGCTTGAACTCTGGGCCTGGGCACTGTCTCTCAGCTCTGCAGCTCAAGGCTAGTGCTCTACTACTTGAGCCACAACACCACTTCCAGCTTTTTCTGCTTATGTGATGCTGAGGAATCTGTCCCAGGGCCTCATGGATACATGGCAAGCACTCTACCACTGAGCCACCTTCCCAGCCCCTGCAAAACATTTCCTAACAGCACTCTCCATAATTTTTAGAAAAGTAGTCTTCACTAATTTTAGATCAACCTGAATTTTTTAAAGAAAACATGACTTAATTGTCCTGGCAAGCACTGTGAATGTATTCACACTTCACCTGCTGGCAGGCTCTTTGAGGCAGGTAACCATTTCTCTTCATCCATAGATCCTTGTAGTACCTTGGACAGTTACCCTTGTATGGGTGGCTATCTTGTACTACTGGTTAAATTGGCTACTTTTACTGATGGTGGACATCACATTTTGAATTTAAAAATATTATAGTTATGTATTAGAACTCCTTAAGTATGTGGGAACCATTTCCTAACAGTTATATATAAATATTTTACAGCAATCAAGACAGGAGAAAAACAAAGAAAGTGAATTTGATTGGACCATTAGCACTGGTAAGTTTGGATAAATCCTACTTTTCATTCAGAGTTGGGGTTTTGAATTGCTAGTGAGAGGGCAAGTACTTTAAGATTGTCTATAAGCAGTGATTGCTGTCCCCGCTGTACCTTTTGGTTTCTTGAACATAATGGCCCAAGATCCCAAGATGGATGATAAAAGAATCAGAGGGTATCTGGCTGAGACACAGGCAGAAATTAAAAATATGAAATATGAGCCAGGTGCTGGTGGCTCATGCCCCTAATCCTAGCTACTCAGGAGGATGAGATCTGAGGATCGCACTTCAAAGTCAGCCTGGGCAGCAAAGTCTGTGAGACTCTTATCTCCAATGAACTAACTCAAAATGCCAGAAGTAGAGTTCTGAATCAAGTGGTAGACCACTAACCTTGAGCAAAAGAAACTTAGGAACAGCACCCAGACCCTGAGTTCAAGCCCCAAGACCAACACAGGCACACACACGTACACACACACACATGCACATGTGCATGCACGCGTGCACACACACACACGCACACACAAAATACTCAGTGTGTTGGTTGCAATGTGGACTCTCTCCAGTTTCAGGAAACACATCCCTGCTTTGTTTCACACTTCCATACCCCCAAATCTCCAAGTTATCTTTCAGTAAGCTTCCTTAAAGAAGATATTTTAAAATAAGAAATCTATTTTCACATTTGATTTCCAGGAAAGTTGATTAAACATAGAATATCTCTCGGGAATTCTGATTCTTCTTTAGACCATTTTTCATGTTTAATACTGGTTAATACTGGTATATTTAATACATATGTTTGGAAGAAGTCTAATATAGTTTTATTTTCTTCTCTATTTTGGGGGGGAGTACTAGGGTTTGAACTGAGAGCTTTGCACCTGGGTGTTTGTTTGCTTCCTGCTTTAGCTATTTTTCAATAGCCTCTCTGTAAGGGCTGGCATCAGATTATGTTCCTTCTACCTAACTCTCCTGTGAAGTTGACATCACAGGTGCCCACCACCTCATTGGTCTTACTGATTGAGAAGAGGTCCCACTGACTCTTTGCTCAGATTGGCCTCACACTATAATCCTCTCAATTTACCATCAAAGTAGCTGGGATTACAGATGTGAGTCCTACAACTGGGCTAAACTGTTTTTCATTTGTAATGTCTCAGAGAGGCAGCCAAGAAAGTGTTTGTCTACTTTTGGTTAATACAATGTGTTTCAAAGTGACAGTCTTTATTTACTATCAAATAAATTAGAATTAAATTAGTTGAAATGCCCAACACAGTAAGTAAATGGGTAAAAAGACACCAACGTATCTACTACTGCACATTTCTTAGGCCACTATAAAGCCTATATCCATTCTCTTCTTCCTTGTTTTAAATGTTCAATAGAGTAAAAGTATTTTAATTTAGTGCCATGGAAAATATACTGTTTGTAAACAAAATCTTGTTATTATACAAAATTTTTAAATCTTTTTCCTATAGAAAAGATATTACTACATGCACACCATAACACAGAAATTTTTATTTACAGTTAGGTTTTAATTTAAGTTGAAATTAAATTTAATCTTCATTCTACCTATCAAGATATGTGTGCATTTATAAATGTCCTGAAAGATTTCATGACAAAGCTATGTGATAATAAAATTTAGAAATATATTGATTTTTTAAATCACTGAAGACACATCTAGGTTTACTGAAGGTATAGCGTTAGAAACTGATTTGATTAGTTTGCAAAACACTAAATCTGTCTTCAATATCATGTAAGGGTCACTGAAAACAGCCATACATGACAGCCTGACTCTATGCTTAGAGCAACGGCTGATAGAACTAAGTGCTATATCCCCCTTTCTTTGAAGCCACTAAAATGAGCCACTAAAAATGAGCCTTGGGGACATTGTTCCCTTTTATGGCAAGTTTTCGAGTCCTTCCCCATTTTCTCTTGATTTTACCTGCTCCCTTTGTTTCATTCTCTGTCTGGCTCAGACCCTTGTCTCTTTTGGAACTCTTTTGTCCTATGTGATTGATGATGGAATTTGACCCTAGGCCCAAGGTGAACTTTTGGAACTCTTTGAGAACAATTTGCTCACATACTCAGTTTCTACCATGAACTTCCAAATTCAGACTCACCTGGGTATTGACCCAGTGTGACTCAGCTTTAACTTTCAAAGATGTCATTCCACCATCCTGACTCATTCTTCATTCTCCTGAGAACTATTGTCTCCAAAAGTGGACCATAGTGGGGGGGGGGGGAAGGGGGGGGGGGGGGGGGAAGGAGGGGGTGTGGGAGGAATAGGCAGAGTAAAGGATTCAAAAACTGAAAAGAAATGCAAAAACTGAAGTGAAAGCATAAATGAAAAAAAAAAGATTTAGACTGATAGGCAGAAAAAGTCATGAGAATCAAAAATGTTGAAGAAGCAAGGCACTGGTGGTACAACCTGTCATTCTAGCTACTCAAAAGGCTAAGATCTGAGGATCAAAATTCAAAGCTAACCCCAGCAGGAAAGTTCATGAGACACTTATCTCCAATTAGCCACTAGAAAACCAGAATTGGTGCTGTGGCTTGAGTGAAAAAACTCAGAGACAGTACCCAGGTCCTGAGTTCAAGCCCCACAACAACAACAACAAAAAAATGTTGAGGATGCCAGGTGCTGGTGACTCATGCCTGTAACCCTAGTTACTCAGGAGGCTGCGATCTGGGGATGATGGTTCAAAGCCAGTGCAGGAAGGAAAGTTTGGGACTCTTAATCTCCACTTAACCATCAAAAGACCCAGAAGTGGATATTTGACTCAAGTGGCAAAACACGTCTAGTCGTCTTGCTATTCTAAGCCTTTCTTCTGTCCTCCTCCATTTTTCTCTCTTGTCTTCAACATTCTACAAGAGCATCCTCTCCATGACTAAGTCCTCAAAGTCCACAGGTTCCCAACAATGGCAACTTTGTTGCTCTTTACTACCAAAAGAGAATTTGTCTTCTAAAGTCAGACTGCTGCCATTTTTAATTCTCCCTTTGAAATACTCTGAATGCTCTGTGTGTGTGTGTGTGTGTGTGTGTGTGTATAAATGAGTATATTAATGTCTGCCTCTAGATGCTCTTCATTACTATGCTCAGAAATTCTGAAAGATCCAACAGTATTTCATAATGAAACCAAACCTTTATCCTTTTTTTGGGGGGGGGTAGTCGTGGGGGCTGAACTCTGGGCCTGGGCGCTGTCCCTCAGCTCTTCAGCTCAAGGCTAGCGCTCTACCACTTGAGCCACAGCACCACTTCCAGCTTTTTCTGCTTATGGGGTATTGAGGAATCGAACCTAAGGCCTCAGGCATGCAAGGCAAGCATTCTACCACTGAGCTACCTTCCCAGCCCTTATCCTTTCTTATTATATTGAAATCATTCGCCTAAATCAAATATTAAACATAACAAGGTTGAATTATTCACAAAATACCAAATAGAATCATTAAATTAATTTGTTAATGATTTATATTGGAAATATATTTCTAATGTATTCATTTGCAAACAAATGGTGCTGACATTAGATGAAATTGCATTGTGGAAAAAGATGTTCCAATTAACAAGCTAAGTAAGTTTTATTTTATTTCCTTTTTTTTTTTTTAGTTCCGATACTCTGACTGGCAAGACAAATTATTTATGTACCTGGGCACCATCATGGCCATAGCTCATGGATCAGGTCTTCCCCTTATGATGATAGTATTTGGAGAAATGACTGATAAATTTGTTAATAATGCTGGAAATTTCTCTTTACCAGGTAAGCAGTTCTCCTGGATTTTTCAAAATGTGATATTTATATAGCTGGGTAAAAGATTAGAAATTTATTATTAATATTCATTATCTTCCTGTTGATTGACTGAATGATTTTTAAATAGAACTGTACCAGTTGTAAGATGTCAAGAGGAATCTTTATTTACTCATTTAAGTGTTAGGAAATACATGTATCCTTTACAAGAATGCATATGTATGTCTGTACACAGGAAACTTAGAATAAAACAGGGAAGTCATTCTCCATGAGAACAAAGAAACTGTGAAAATATATTAGACAATATTTCTTAGCTATGCTCACTTGTTTCTGCATGCTAATTTTTTCTCTTGTACTTTTCTTCTATAAAAAATTACATGTGTTTTCTATTTTTTAGACATAAATTGTATCTAAACAGTCAGCTAGAGTTTGATATGCTGAATGGATCAGAGGAATTTCTTCAAAGGACTATAATTACTGAAGTGCCAAACCAGTCTCATTGGTGATTGTCATTGTTTTTCTATTAGCAAGTTGAAAGGGAAGCTTTGCATTGCTTTTGCCAAGCTTTAGGGTTCTGATTCTCCAAGACCTTGAAGCCATAGGCTGGAGAAAACTGAGTGAAGCCTTATTGGTCCATTAGTAGTAGAACTAAATCGAACCTGATCAAGGGAAGGCAAGATTCATTGCAAAGATAACAGGAAAGTGACTCATCATTCAGATAGCATTCCAAGAGTTTTAGTGTACCCTGATTGAGAACTGCATGTTTAGTTGTCGTTGTTGGGTGATAGTAATAGCATCCTTTTGTTGCATTACTATGTGCTAGGTCCTGTGTTAATCCCTATACAGACACTATTTCTTTTGACATTCCTAAGTACAATCCTGTGTAATAGGTGATAGTATTATTTGTGATATATAAAGAAACAAAGACTTGGAAAGAATAACTTGTTTGTAGGAAAATTTGAGGTCAATATTTAAACCCAGATTTTTCTACCATCCCAACCATGACTGTGACACATATATAGAGAGATATATATATAGACATATATAGATATATAGTGTCGCACGCATGCATACACACACATACACACACAGCCTCATGCTTTCTTTAGAAAAAAATATGTTTGAAAAGCTTTCCTGTAGGTGTCTTAAACTTTACCAGTGACTAAAACCATAAGACAAGCACTGTACAGATGAAATTGAAATAAGACAAGATAGTTTAAAAGTCATTTACTAAGAAGGGGAAAAAGAATACTTTCCTTCGTTGTCCTTTTACTTCTTAGAAGATCTAGATCTACTCACTATTAATTTTCTATATATTACATATTAATTATAGATGGGCCAGGGTGATGCCCATAATGAAACACATAAAATTTGATTTATACTTAGGGTTAAAAAACAGATTAATGGATAATAGATAAATAAAATGTGACATACATATATATATATACATATATATATATATACAATGGACTATTATTTATCCTTTTAAAGGAAGGAAATTCTATTAAACTAGTAAAGATAAAATAAAAACTAAGTATAAAAATACAATAGTCAATAAAAGAAAATAGTACACAATTCCACTTATGTGTTGTCTTGAGTAAGTGAATTAATAGAAACAGAAAGACAAATGCTAACTACCAAGGATTGGAGGAAGAGGGAAATGGGGAGCTGTTGCTTGAGCATAGTTTCAATTTGTCAAGATGATTCTAAGTTCAAAAGAGCTAAGTGCAAACTGCTCCTGCCTGAAACCCTACTACTTGGGAAGCTCAGATCTGGATGATTGTGGTTTCAGGCCAAGCAGTCATACTTGAAACCTCGCAATGGCATGCACCTATCCTCCCAGCTGGGTAAGGGGATGAGATTGGGAAGATCATAGTTCCAGGCCAGCCCAGGCAGACAAGTTCATCCAATGGAAAGAAAGTAAGCACAGTGGCCCATGTATATCATCCCAGCCACAATGAGAAGCCTAAAATATGTTGACCATATTCCAGGCGCAAGCCTGGTGAGGAAGCAAAGCCCTTTCTCAAAAATAACTAGGCAAAAAAGAGCTAGAGGCATGGTTCAGCAATAAAGTGTCTGCCCAGCAAGGATAAGACCCTAAGTAAAACCCTAGTCCAGAAAAAAAAATATTTTAAATACAGTTAAAATGGTAAACTTTTTGACAAATGAACTTTTATCACAACTAAGAATTTTAGCAGGACTAGTGTTGAACTCAGGGCTTTGTGCTTGCTAGGTAGCAGTTTGGGCCCTGACACCAGACCTTTTTTACTTTTAGTTATTTTTCAAATAGGGTCTTATATTTTTGCTGGGGAACAGCCTCAGATGGTGATCCTCTTATATATTTCTCCTTCATAGCTGGGATGACAGGCACCTGCCACTACATCCTTACGTGATTATGTGTTGAGATAGGGCCTGGCTAACTTTTGCCTGGGCTGGCATCCTACTGTGATCCTCCTGATTCTACCTCCAGAATAGCTGGGATTACAGTGTATGGCCAACAAAATTTACAAATAAAAAAATCAGATTAAGACAAAGCAACAAAGACCAATTTTCATGGTCCCGTTTTTGCTTTTCCAACCACTAGAATAATTCCACAACTTACTTACTTGGAGCAGCTTTTTTTCTTGTTGGTTATTATGCAATTGAATAGCTTTGAAGCTGGACATATCAAGCAGGTCCTGTGTGCTATGTCCAGAGCCAACCTCAAGGTCTCCCTGGGGAACACACAAGCAGTGTTTGCTGGAGTGATAAATTCCAGAGAGTGGCCAACTCAGTCTGTGTAGTCTTCAAATTAGAAACACTCTGGTACATGATACTTGGTTCTCTATCACCACATTGCCATTAGGCCTGGAGGTCTGGAATAGGAAGCCCCTCAAATGTTGTATTTCCAATATTCATTCTTTTGTAGTTTTTGGAAATAGTATCATCATATCTCTTTGGAAAACATGAAATCTTTAAGAGATACTCACTCTAAATTCAGTTAAGGTTTATTCAAACTCATGGGGGGCAGGAAAGAGAGTTGTTCATTGAGGTCCTAGCTCATCAAATAGAAGTGATTTTTACTGAGTCTGTTCTTCAGAATTGTTGGATTCTTGACTCGCATAGAAGCCAAGTGAGAATGGAATGTTAGAAGGAAAGGTTTAAATTACAAGAGGATGTGGACAATGACTTACTGTGAATACAATCAGCCCATCCTTGTCATCAGAATGAAGCTACTCCTTGACAGAGCTTTCCCTCACAATGATTCAGTTGTGCAGAAACTATTTTGTGCAAAATATTTTGTATCCAAAACCTTAAGGATAGAGTGAGAGAAAACAGTTCATCTGCAGAACATCAAAGAACTTGTTATCTTTTATGCCAGGTCTGTTGGCAAATAATAATCTAGAAGATTCTGTGGGGAAATTGCCCTGCGCCAGCATGTACGTGGTATTGCCTTGTGGTTGAGGGGACAAGGTGTATTTGATCCCCAAGTTTCATTCATCTAAATAGTGCCTGAACTCCTACCACTTCATTATTTTGTGCTGAATATATAGAACTCTATATGATTTTTAAATGGTCCAATTCAGAATCAAGCGAAACAGTATTTATTTATCGCCTCATAGCTAATCCCAAATGTAGGTCCTTATTACTCACATCTCCATTCAGCATAGGAACATGGTGAACATAGGACGTTGAGTTAATCAGTCGTCCTTACTCTTCTCGTTTTTGAAAGGTAATTGTGTATATATTATCAAATTGGTGATTTATGTAAAGTATCTACAATATAATAAATGATCAGAGGAAAACTAAGAGCTTGGAAATGAAATAAACAGTGTAAGATCAGGACCCAGAGGCCCAAAGGTAATTTAAGTTTTAAATAAATCTGGCCTATCTCCCATTGGAAGAAGATAAGGAGGTTACAGTGAATTCAGAAAACATGACCCCCAGGTCATTTACACATGATAAAGCAACAAGGCAAATCACTTTCCCACCCAGTGTCCTGGTAAATGGGGAAATACCAACCTTGGGTGTGTTTCATCTATAATGTTGTGTTGATATTTTATCCTACCATTTCCTGAGTGTAGTAACCAATAAACAGTTTCCTCTTTTTCATTTTGTGATTTTTAAACAGTGAAAACAAGTGTTTTTTAGACAAGCAGTATGTATGGTGGTCTTTGATCATAGGATACACAAGCTGGGCTGACCTTCAGCTCTGCCACCCACTAGCCTTGTGACTTGAGATAAGTTTCTCTCTTCCTCAGTTTTCTCTGAGAAGCCAAAGAAGTTCCTTTCTTCTTTAAATGAGGAAAAGTGAGGAAAGGAGTGGGTAGGGGAGGGATAAGTAAGAATGCTGAAGGAGGTGGCATTCTATTCATAAACTCCTTTGTTAAATGGCAACCCCTTTGTACAATTACTTAAAGATAATAAAAATGTTTTAACTGAGGTCTTATAAAATAGTCCTATCTTATATACATCTGAGGTGAACTCCTATGTTCACATTCAGAGCAGAGCCTGGTGTGTGGTAAATTTCAATGCATTTTAGCTATGAATAAAATATAAAGTGGAGTGTGGGGTACACACCTGTAACCCCAGCACTTGAGAGGCTAAATCAGGAGGATCATGACTAAGGCCAGCATAGGTTACACAGCTAGATCCTGTCTCAAAACAGACAAGGAAATATAGCAATATTTTTTAAATGAAAACATGAGAACTAGCAAAGGCTCTCTCATATTATCAAATTAGCTCAAATTAGTAGAAAATATGTTCCCTTTTGCTTCTTAGTGATTTAAATATATCTGAATTTAATACTCCTAGTAAACAAGGTATAGAATGTAGAAGTGGACATTGCCCATGACCCATTGACTTCTCTTTGAGCAACTTAATTATCTTCTCTGTCATTAATTTTTTCAATGAACATCATTTGGCCTTTCTCTTGCCTATGTTGTAAGGAAGTATATAAGAGAAAAAGGAAAACATAAAAATGTACAGATGAGTATTTGTAAAGTATTTTGAGCCACCAAAAAAAAAAGTGTCCATTAAATCTTAGGTTTTCCATTTCCATCATTTCTTTTTTATTTTTCTGTCCTCTGTATTTGTCACTTCCCTGCTCCTCTGCTCTTGGTCATCCCCTCTGTTCTGTTTTAGGAAGTTGCTTTACTGAAGGCCAGGGAGTGCTGGAAAGGAGAGCTTGGGAGAGCTCGTTTACCTAGGCCTGCCATGTGCTCTACTTAAAACTCTTGGGTCCTGTGCTTCATTAAAGTGAAAAGTGTGTGCGTATGCATGAGTTTGGAGAGAGAGAGAGGGAGAATTTCCTTAGAGAAAATCATAGTATTTTTATATATTCTTCACATATTTCTTTATTATAATTTTCAAGTAGGTATACAGAAGAGATGCAATTCAACATATCAGTTTTATGAGCACAATAATCGATCAGTGTCACTCCTTTTATAATTCTCCCTCATTTCTCTGAACTCTACCCATTCTGTGTATTTCTATATTTTGCTGTTTTATATATAGTTCATGTATTTAAATTTTAAAGTCTGGCAATATGTCTTCAACCTTTATTTTTCTTGTTTGTTTTATCTAGTGAATTTTTCACTGTCAATGCTAAATCCAGGCAGAATTCTGGAAGAAGAAATGACTAGGTATATGAACATTTATGTGTATGTATATATGTGTGTGGATGGATGAATGACAAATTCTTTTTAACATTTCACTGAAAAATAATCTTGAACTATGGAGTTGTAAAAATATACATAGAACACTTGTAATCTTTGCTCATAGCCACCTCTCCTCATTTGTGTCCTAACCCTCATTTCAATAAAATTATATACATCAAGCCCTTCACTTCAGGGTGACTCTTAGGAGCTATGTAGCCATTGTGCAGTTATCAATGTAAGTAAATCCTAAGATCTAGTCTGTCATTTGTATTCTAATTTTATTATTTGAACCAACAGAGTCCTTTATGGCATTCCCTCCCCCTTCAGTCTTCCTAATAGAAGCCACAAAAGCCTGTAACATGATGTTTATATCAGTTAATTTTGCTGATTAAAATGAGGACTGTCTGCCTGTTGAATTAAACCTGAAAGGTGGCTATCTGGAAATAGTTTAGAACATTAGATTAAAAATGTGTTTGAAATAAGGAAACTCATGGGGGAGTGTGATAGAGAGGGCGAGACTGAAAGTATTGAAACTATTTTTAAAGATAATTTTTAGTTATGTGGTTAAGTTTTCACACCAAATTGATGTGAATTTGTGTATATTTTAAAATATTTTGAAGCTATAAAACATGCAGAGGTTTTGAGGTTTTTGTATAAAAATATTATAGAAGCTAGCAGCTCACACCTGTAATCCTAGCTATCTGAGGATCTGAGGATCAGTGTGAAACCAGCCAACTCAGCAAAGTCTATGAAGAGACTTATCTCTGATTAAGCACCAAAAAACTGAAAGTAGAACCAGGGCTCAAGAGTCCTAGCCTTGAACAAATGAGCTTAGGGACAGTTCCCAGGCCTTGAGTTCAAGCCCTAGGATAGGCACAAAAAAAGTGTGGGGAGGATTACACTGAGAACCATTTTATTGGCTCTGTTTACTCCCTTATTTTTAGTATGTGATTATTTTTAGTATTTTCAGGACAAGATATGAATCTAGGATACAATTCTGTAAGACAAGTCAAATAACATATTGACATCAGTTTTAAATGAACTGGCACCAATTTTTGTCATTAACCACAACAGTGTATCTACTTTCATCAAGGACAATTCAAGTACATAGATTTGCCATCCTCGTGAGCTCACCATCTTGTCATTTATAAAGAGAACAAAGTCAAAGTGTATTTGTTACAGTGTCCTTCATAGTCTTTGTGAAGCTTATTATTATGCTGCTGAATTTCCAATTCAGAAAGAGATGAACAAAAGATAGCATTGAAAAAAGCCTTTTCAATTATTTTCCAGGTATGCCTACTACTATTCAGGATTAGGGGCTGGAGTTCTTGTTGCTGCCTATATACAAGTTTCATTTTGGACTTTGGCAGCTGGCCGACAGATTAAGAAAATCAGGCAAAAGTTTTTTCATGCAATTCTACGACAGGAAATAAGCTGGTTTGATGTCAACAGCACCACTGAACTCAATACACGACTAACCGAGTGAGTTACTGTTAATATCACATTCTGATTAAGAAATGAAGCACTATGTGAACATTTGTCAAGGGAAGAAAGATTTTTTTTTTATTGGAACTTCTTCAGAAATGGAAAATTTGTCTAAAGTTAGAGCTTCTAGTACGTAAATACAGTAAATAATGTACATTCAGCATAGTGTCATGTTTGCATGTAAGTGCTCACTATTCAAATTAATTCAAGAGCTTGGGGGCATAACTTAGTTGGTAGGGCGGGAGACAATGAGCAAAACTGTCAGGTACTGATGAGCCAGATAACGTACTGAAAAATTGTTTCCTGTGGCAGATTCAGTTTCCCACGTGTCAGTGTTTCATTAAGGGAAGGAAGATTTTAAACATAAGAATTTTACCAGATTAAGTGTATGACATAAATTGGAGATATAACAGGAAGTTTTCCATCTCTGTTAGTCCTTTCTTTAGTTTTGTATTAGGTTTGTTGGAGGACTTGTGTATAGATTTTATGCTTATTTGTTTTTCATGGAGATTACTACAGTATTTGACAGGTATTAGACCTTCAATAAGATGGGTGAGGGAATTAATAAATGATTGCCTAATTACACAAAGCCTTGCCTTAGTTAAGTGTTGACACTTCTCTTAACAAATCTTTGAAGGCCTATTATATGCCAAGTATTGTTCTACAAGAGGCAGGGATGGGGGAGCAGGGGGTGGGGGTGGGCAGGAGGGAAAGGAAATGTCTCTGTTTTTTGGTCTTAGCAGGCCATCAGGGGGAGATAAAATGCTAAACTTTTCCTGACAGGAAGCTCTGGCAAGAGCAGGGTAAGCAGATGAGATCAAGAAAGGAAGGAAGATCAAGGGGTTCAAAGCTTTAAAGGCCTTAGTGAGGACTGAGTGTTCACTCTGAAAGAAATGAAGGTTTTGAGTTGAGAGGTCACGTTGGCCAGACTTCTATTTTCAGGAAAATAGGAGCAAGGGTAGAAGGAAGGAGCTCTTTACTGTTACCTCGCTATTTAGGTTGACTACCCCTTGTCTGAAATATTTGGGACCAGAGTGTTTTCAATTTGGGGAGGGTTTTAGATTTTGAACTATTTACATAGACTTTATCAATTGAGAACCTTCTTTCTGAAAATTTGAAATTTGTTGAGCACCAATGTAATGGTCAAAAAGATTATACATTGAGTGTGATGTTGAGCTGTAATCCAAGCTTTCAGGAGGTTGAGGCAGGCGGAGGTTGAGGCACAGAGGCCAGCCTGTGTTATATAACAAGAGCCCGTCTAAACACAAAACGACAGCAAACAAAACAGCATCAGCAAGAAAACAAATTTTTATATTTTTGGATTAGGAATACTCAATATGCAATAGGAAATGAGACTTGCCTAATAATGTCCTCAATTATTATTACACAGCTCTTCCTAACTCCTGCTTTTAAACAAATTGATTCATTTGTTCAAAATGTTAATGCTTCTCTAACAATATTAACTAATTTCTTAGTTTCAACTTTAATAGAACTAACCTCTTAGAAACCTGAACTAATCCTGACTCTCTTCCTTTGTGCAGAATTCAGGTGGGAAAAGTATCATTCACAAGACTAAGACTCTGAAAGAGGCTTACAGTACTGTGAACATATTTTTTTATTTGTCTGTATATTTGTTAAATATCTACTTCACCTTTTTAACTGAAAACCTCCTGCCTGTAACCACTTAGGTGTGATCTTTTTTAGTGACATCTCCAAAATCAGTGAAGGAATTGGTGACAAGGTTGGAATATTCTTTCAAGCAATAGCCACGTTTTTTGCAGGATTCATAGTGGGATTCATCAGAGGATGGAAGCTTACCCTTGTGATAATGGCCATTAGCCCTCTCCTGGGGCTCTCTACAGCTGTTTGGGCAAAGGTCTGTGAAACATGAGCATTTTCATGAGAGTTAACCCACCCCATATAAAGTTCTTTTTAATATCCAGAGGGCTGGTACTTGTTCAATGCTAAATATCAGTAGAAACCAGAAATGGGTTGCTCATATGAAGGGAAATAATTTTAATGGACTCAACATGTCAGTTCTAACCTCAACTACAGAGTTTTGAGGACTTTTTGTTCATGTTTTTTAAGAGGGATTTTATATGTTACTTGTTTATATCTTGGCACAGTAGTTTAAATGATGCACATGGTATGTTTTTAAGGAGACACAATTTAAAATACAACATGCCTCCAAATTATTTTATACAAATGTAAATTTTTCAAGTAAACTTGCTATTTGTTTATTTTCCATTATTACTCATGAATGCATTGCAACTACATATATATACATACATACACACATCTTTACTTCAGACAATACTTTAATGTAGAGAAATTTTTCTTGTAATATTTGTCCATTCTAGGTTGATGGTTTACTTAATGAACTACTAGCTACTTGTTTCTTTTTTGTGTTGCCTCTTGATTCCTTTCAGAAAGCATTTTGTTTAGCTAGCTTATTATTTAGTTGAATGCCCTTGAGTAACTCTAAAGGTATTCTTTTCATGGTAGTTCAAAATCATGATACATTATGGCTGGGAAGGTGGCTCAGTGGTGGAGTGCTTGCCTTGCATGCATGAGGCCCTAGGTTTGATTTCTCAGCACCACATAAGCAGAAAAAGCCAGAAGTGGCACTGTAACTCAAGTAGTAGAATGCTAGCCTTGAGCTGAAGAGCTGAGGGACAGGGCCCAGGCCCAGAGTTCAGGCCTCACTACCAACAAAATAAATAAAATAAATAAATAAATAAATCATGATACAATAAAGGAAATCTGGGTGAATCTTTTCAAAGAAAAACTTAGGTATGAAAGGTGAGAGAATTGTGTATGGGTTTCCTTTCCCTGATTACTCGTGGGGGTGCTGTGGCTAGGTTATCATCCCTAGCCTTTGTGGGGGTAGGGGGGGCATGAGCACCATTGGATCTAGTATATGGAGTGCTGTTTGCTACATGGGGTTGATGTCTGATGAAACATAGAAAGGACTTGGACACCAAAAGTAGGTTAAGGGACTTCCCAGACTCTTAACTTTCTGCCCATGTGAAAGTCATGACTGTTTCTCTTTCTGTCCAGATTCTCTCTGCATTTAGTGACAGAGAACTAGCTGCGTATGCAAAAGCAGGTGCCGTGGCAGAAGAGGCTCTTGGGGCCATCAGGACCGTCATAGCTTTCGGGGGCCAGAACAAAGAGCTGGAAAGGTCAGGAAGCTTCTTTGTCCACTGGTTCAAAGAACTCTCTTTTATATTTGTTGCTCCTTTGTTTGTGGTATGTGTTTATTCCTTCTCTTTTCTAATATTAACCCTTACATCGCTAAGTACAAGTACCTTTTATTGCTGGCTGTGGGATGATAGTGGCTTCCCTTAGTCTCTTGCATTCAGACTCTTTTGGCAATCTGATGATGCCTAGGGATTTCCTTTCTGGAATCATGTTTATCAGTGCATGAAGCATAGTGTGTTGGGTTACAGAGGATACCACATATATTATTGAGATCATTTTATCAAAATGTCTTAATTTTTTTTATTTTTTCACTTCCTTAAAGACCATAAGTTACAATATAGAAGGAAAAAAGATCCCTGAGGAGATATGGACCTTTAGGTTGTAGCCCAGGATATTTTAGGGCCATAAGAGTCTTCCATAGAACAAAGGAAAGCTTCAAACCAAACAAAAACATTTTATTGAGATACAACTGATACATAAAGACTGGGATCTATTATGTATGTACATCCTGATCCGCGTGGAGATAATATACATCTATGGGAAAGAATTTCTGCTTTATTTAAATTCATATTTCCTTTCAATAACAATAGTCCTTAATATAGTCAAAATATGGGTCTCAAGAAGTATCTTCTTTTGGTATAAGACTCTTGATAATATAGCCCTTTCAAAGAAAAATTCGCTGGAAATTCTCTGATGTTAAAGCAAAGCTTCCCCCAGTCCCTTCCATTTCATTTTCTATTTTTCTATTCCTTAACCCCTCTCCCAATCAACATGTTTCTCGTTCTCTAACATCTTCCTTTTCTCTCTCTCACTGCTGCTTGCTGTACATAATAGTCCACACAGACTATACTAACCCTCAGGTGGACCTCAGGATGTCAGTGTAATCTTGCTGCTCCATTAGCCTTGGTAAGCAAGCCACCTAAGTGAAGGTAATGACGGCATATCCACCACTATCACTGGCGCTCTGTGTCACCTTGGGGCAGGTGGAAATCTTTGCTGCATGCACCTGGAGACTTGGCTACACAAGAGTACTTCCAGTCCTGGATGTAGCATGCTGATTATCTTCCCAGAGAAGCAGCTCTGCTCAAAGAATGCAGGGGGAAAGAACTCATAGAAAAGTACCCTAAAGAGTTGAGTGCTTTTAGTAGTTAAAAAGACAAAATTTTCAAGGGCAGCACACATTTTTAAGAAACTAATGGGAACTAGAGGCATGGCTCAAGTGGTAGAGTACCAGCTATGAGTGAAAAAGCCAAGCAAGAGCATGAGGGCCTGAACTAAAGCTCTAGTACTGCCACAAAGTAAACATTAAAATAATCATAATTTTAGAACAAAACCTAACAGTTATTTTCTGTCAAATAAAAGACAAAATTTAATAAAATTATACATCATGTTTGGTTGAACTGGAAATGAATGGTGTTGCCGGACTCTTTGTTAAAAAAGAGAAATACTCAGTCGGGCCCAGTGGCTCATGCCTGTAAATCCTAGTTACTCACGAGACTGAGATCTGAGAATTGTGGAAAGCCAGTTTAGGCAGGGAAGCCTGTGAGACTTTTATCTCTAAATAGCCACAAAAAATAGAAGTGAAGCTTGCTAAAGTGGTCGAGTGCTAGCCTTGAGCACAAAAGTTCAGGGACAGTGCCAGGACACAAGTTCAGACCACAAAACGGGCACAAACTTTTTAAAAGGAGAAGATAGACTTGTGGAGATGTGAGAATGGCCCCTCTCCCTACATAACTAATATAAGCCAGTAATTTTTTTTAATCTTGTAATTTAACAGAATTGTTCTAAAGATTTGTACCTTTATATATAATTGTATAAGCTACTAATACAAATTTGAATTATCATTCAAAAATAGTGATGAGCAAAGTTTAGGAAGAAATAATATTCTGATACAATCGTGGTAATAATAACAGGAATTAACAGATTTGCCAACAATGTACACTTACCTTTATAATTGCCTATGAGCTTCACAATTATCTAAGTAGGCGTTATTAACTCCATTGTTTTAAGAAATGAAACAAAACAAAAAAATTAAGAAGAAACACATCCTACAGTGACCACTTAATAACTTAATAACCTGTGCCTAACTTGACAGTCAAAGGTGATATTAATTAAAAGAAAAATCAAGCCAGGCTTGGGGTACCTCAAGCGATTGTAGTCTGGGCTACATAGAAAGATCATTTCCCAAATAACAGCAACAACAACAACAACAAAAATCAAAACAAGAAGCCCCAAGTTTTCATATATAAATCTCTGTTCCTCAGACAACAGGGCAATCAAAGGAAGATTTCCTTTCTCTAGAAAAGAGAAATGCACTAAGTTTAAGAGTCTAGAATAGTATTTGTATTTTGGTGCTATTGTTTGGCTTTTCTTCCTCCTTAATCCTGACTTTTGATGTTGGGCAGGAAGGTGATAGAAACCATTCATATCCTAGGGGTGAGATGTGAATCCTAAAACAGCCACAGGAATTCTGGCTGCCTGGTAGGAACTAAGGGAATTGGAGCCAGGCCAGCAAAGAGCAGGACAGGCTGATCCTGAATTGAGTCAAGTCCCAGGAAATTGGGTCTCACAAAGGGGTTATTTCCTTGATGGCTTTGTACCACAAACCTCCAACTACACAGGAGGTGAATACAACTCACATAATAAATTGTTATTTTTCTTATAACATTTCCCCCTCATTTTCTGGTAGGTATCAGAAACATTTAGAAAATGCCAAACAAATTGGAATTAAAAAAGCTATTTCAACAAACATTTCCATGGGCATTGCCTTCCTGTTAATATACGCGTCCTATGCACTGGCCTTCTGGTATGGATCCACCCTAGTTATATCAAAAGAATATACTATTGGAAATGCAATGACAGTAAGTAATTTTCCTAATATTTGTGAAGAATATGACATCATTATTCTCCATCTACCTTGTCTTTCTTTTCATACTCCTCCTTTTGAGAGATGAGCCATTTTCTTAGGTTTTTGACTTTCAGTTCATCTTTGCTATCCTGTGAACAGAGCTGGCTTTCTGAAACATAGAAGTCATCATTAGGAGTGGGGCAGAACAATACCCTGAGTTTAGAGCACTGGAGAAATGCATACAAAAGGAAATAAGAATGGAACATATTTATGAATAAATAAATTTGAATAGAAATCTTGTAAAACCTGAACTTCTCTGTCATCCTAAACATAAGGCCTTGAATATGATTTGTTCCTGTGAGTCATTTGACACTTGGCATTTTCAAAATGCTTCTTACAGTGGAATTTGCCTTCACTGAGGGGGTCAGGGCTGCTGGTTGGATGGGCTTTGGTGATTGTTGAGTCTCTTTTTCTCATTTCCATTTCTTCTTTAGCTTCCAGATGAGCCATTCACCCCCCCCTTTTCACTTCCTCATTCCTTTTGAAATTTTATGAGCAAAAGAGGTCAGATCCTTTCTCTGACATTTATGAAAATGATCCTCTTAATTTCCTCATTTTTTAGCCCATGGATAATGATACATTCACTTTTGGGCTGAGGATACTGACCACCATGATGGAGCATAAGCAAAGCCCTCCACACAGTAACTTGTAACATCTATTTCGGTAGAGTCATTTTTCTTATGTTCCTTATCAACAGTTGCACATAAAGGATTAGGTGTGTGACTGATTTGGGTTATGGATACATGAATGTTATTTACTGTATAGAGTATTTCATCAGGTATTTATACTGTACAGGTATACTGTATAGGTATTTCATCAGGTCTGAAAATAAAGGAGTACTTTCTCTATATTTATATTTTTCTCTGCTAAATTATGTTATTAATCTGAATTTCTAAAGTATATTCTGAGCCTTTCACTTTAGCTATTTTCCTAATAAAAATATAAAAGGAAATAGGCTGTAGTATAGTACAGAATAACCCTGTAAGGACAATTTTAACCAATGCACACAGGAGTGGCTTACTGGTTTATAAATGGGTGAACTGTTATTTTTATGTTAAAAATCTTATCTGTCTGCCCATCTGTATATCCATAATAGTGTTCCATATTGAGTATTTTATGTAATTCTATGAGTAATTATGCATAAATTACTTAGAACTTAATAATAACACTGTTAGAAAAAATATTTCTCTCAGTGTCAACAAATTGGCCTAAAACCCCCTCTGTTATACATAAGGAGAAGAGCAACAGGTAATTGGAAACCCAGACAAAAAAATATTTTTGAGGCTGGAGAAACCCATTGGGCAATAAAATACTATAGTAATCTTGTTAATTTTGATCCTTACTAAAAAAATTATTTTTAGTTTTCACTTTTGAAACAATAAAAATGCTTATGAATGCAATTTAATCATTGCACATTTTGTACCAAACTATTATAATCTGTTCCACAATATGTACATCCCCACCAAATTGAGATTACTAAAAACATTTTTTAAGAAAACGGTAGTGGTTCTAGAGATTGAACCCAGGTTCTTAAGCATATTAAGCAACTTCTTTACAGTCAAGCTATATCCCTCGTTCAAAAACCACCAGGAAATTTTGATATTGTATGTTTCAAATGCCAGAAAGTGGCATAATTTCTCTTTATGTTCTTTTTCTCAGGTCTTTTTTTCAATCCTAATTGGAACTTTTAGTATTGGCCAGGCAGCCCCCTGTATTGATGCTTTTGCCAATGCAAGAGGAGCAGCATATGTGGTGTTTGGCATCATTGATAATGTGAGTCATTTCCTTTTTATATTTATTATTTTAAGGTTTAAACAGTTCTTGCTGCTTTAGAGTACATACTATGAATCAAGTATAGAGTATATTGAATACATTACACTGCATATAGTTAAACATTTTTTGTATGTGTACTGGGGATTGAACTCAGGGCCTAGGCTCTGTCCCTTAGCTTTTTTCACTCAATGGTGGGTCTCTAACATTTGAGCCACAGCTCCACTGCCAGATTTTTAGTGATTAATTGGAGATATAAATCTCCTGGACTTTTCTGCTTGGCTGGCTTTGAACCTTGATCCTCAGATCAGCCTCCTGAGTAGCTAGGATTATAGGCATGAGCCATTGGCACACGGCCTACAGTGAGACTTACTAACTTGGAATTAATGACATTTTCATAGGAATGAATGACACAAATTCATTTTCAGAAAGCACATTTGTACTGGTGTATTATTATTATTCATGATAATACTCCTTTTCCAAAGATACTCCTTTTCCAAAATTTTTTTCTTTTTTATATTGTGTCCAGATTGTGAGAATTATGGTAACTATACATGATGGTTGGGTAGAGGATAAACAAATTATTGATAAAACCAAAATTAACAATATGCTTTGCTGTGTGTGGCTCCCCCAATCATCCCTGCATTTTAAATTTTGCTTTCAGACTTTGGTTTTGTTTTTACAGACTTTAAATCAATTATGTTGAATACTTTGAACTGACAAGTAAAAAGAAAATACTTTTGACAATGCAAAGTATATCTCTGCATTTACACAAATAAAGCACATAGATGATTGTTAAAACTTGATAATTTGATCTAAATAACACCTCTATTTTGTTGATGCTCAGCTTCTGAATATGTTGAAAGTCTACATGGTACCTGAATATTGTGCTAATCATTCAGTCAACCCAACCCATTACATTTACTATTCATGAATAAGCCAAATTTCCCCAAATGCTGAAATACTGAGCCTTATCAATGATAATTTGTTTTTGTTATTAAAGTTGTATTCATATTCATATTTAACCCTTTAGAAAGCTTATAAAGATGTATCAGAAACTTAAAGCAAAGTATTTCTAAAATGACATGAATATTCCTTATATGCTTTTCAGAAAAATCTATTTTTGGAAAGGGATGTTTCCTTAAATAGTATATACATTACACATTCAATTGTCACCTTCCATCCTATCTCTATGAGACATAGTATGCTATTGTAGAGTCTACTTTGGAAGTTTGCTGAATCATATTCCTTAATAATGTAATTGTTCATTTAGTGATAAAATAGTCATTGAATTTTGTTTTATTTAGAATCCTAAAATTGACAGTTTTTCAGAAAGAGGATACAAACCAAACAGCATCAAAGGGAATTTGGAGTTCAATGATGTTCACTTTTCTTATCCATCTCGAGCTAATATCAAGGTACTGTGACTAATATTTATAGATTTTGGGGGGGGGGGTCCAGTAGTGGGGCCTGAACTCTGGGCCTGGACGCTGTCCCTCAGCTCTTCAGCTCAAGGCTAGCACTCTACCACTTGAACCACAGCGCCACTTCTGGCTTTTTTTTTCTGCTTATGTGGTGCTGAGGAATCGAACCCAGGGCCTCATGCATGCAAGGCAAGCACTCTACCACTGAGCCACCTTCCCAGTAAACTCCAGTAAAGATTATTGTTTAATCATCTTTAGGGCTATGTTGCAATGTGTTTTTTTCTGTTCTGTTCTTTTATTTTTTATGCAGATCTTGAAGGGCCTCAACCTGAAGGTGCAGAGTGGACAGACAGTGGCCCTGGTTGGGAACAGTGGCTGTGGGAAGAGCACGACAGTGCAGCTGATCCAGAGGCTCTATGACCCTGATGAGGGTACGGTAAGTGGGAAGAAGCAAAGTCCTCAAAGTGGGATGCTGGGTACAAATTGCGCTTTAGAAACTGTTTGTTTCGTTTCATTTTTCAATGACAAATTTGTTCATGCATTTCGGTTTTTTTCATATATTTTCATTTCTTTGTAGGAGTAATAGCTAGGCCAACACAAATATGGAAGGAAAACAGACATTACTTAGTCTCTTAAGTACTTTTTTCTAATTTACTTATCTATGAATTCTTTGTTTGCATATTCTTTTCTTTTTTTTTTCAGGTAAGGGGTAGGTTTATTCATCATTCAGGCTGGCACCAGGCCATCTTGATCCTCCACGCGGTGGGGAAAGGCCTGGGAAAGAGAGCTGGGAGAGCTGGGAAAGAGAGAGAGCTAGGAAAGAGAAGAGAAGGAAAGAGCTGAGAAAGAGCTAGAAAAAATGCAGAGAGAACGCAGAGAGAGAGCAGAGAGAAGAGAGCACAGAGAGAGGTCGAGAGCTAGGAAAGAGAGAGAAAAGAGCTAGAAAAGAGCAGAGAGAGCAGAGAGAGATAAGAGAGAGAGCAGAGAGCGCAGAGAGAGAGCAAGCTAGAAAAGAGCCGAGAGAGCTAGAAAAGAGCAGCCAGAGAGCTAGAAAAGAGAGGAAAGAGTTAGAAAAGAGCAGAGAGAGAGAGAGCAGAGAGAGCTAGAAAAGAACAGCGAGCTTATTTTCTTTTTTAATTTAATTTTGTTGTAAAGGTGATGTACAGAGGGGTTGTACTCCCATAATCAAGGTAATGCGTACATTTCTTGTCGAGCATGGTTACCCTCCCTCACTTTTCTCCCACTCCAACTTCCCCCACCCCCACCCCAAGTTGTAAAGTTTATTTCCAACCTAGTTTCTTGAGTATTGCTGTTGTATTGGTTCACTCTTTGTCCTTGTTTCACCATTATGTTATTACTCTTCCCTTCCCAAACCAAATAAATGTATATACAAGACACAAGGTACCAGAATTAAAAGCAGTGACTACAGGGGTTAAACCAAAGGGGGGAAAAAAAGAAAGAACTTCATATAGTATATTAAAAACAACAACAGCCACAAAAACCAAGTTCATTTCAATGAGCATCATGTTATATGGTCATATAACATAGCTATTGAGCTATTGTGGATCCTCTGTTAGGACTATCCTAGACATAAACTAATTATTACAAATGAGGGAAACAACGGAGCCTATGTTTCTTTGGGTCTGGCTTATTTCACTTATAATTTTTTCCAAGTCTTTCCATTTCCTAACAAATAGGGCAATGTCATTCTTTCTTGTAGAAAGACAGAATTCCATTGTGTATATATACCACATTTTTTGATCCATTTATCTACTGAGGGGCATCTGGGTTGGTTCCATAACTTAGCCATGGCAACTAATGCTTCAATGAACATAGTTGTGCTGGTAGCTTTAGTGTGGCCTTGTTTGTGAACATTTGGGTAAATGCCCAGGAGTAGGATTGCTGGATCATAGGGGAGTTCTATACTGAAATCAGAAAAGCAACTCCTCTTGTAGTAGCCTCAAAAAAAAAAAACCCTAGGAGAGGGGAGGGGAAAAACAAAAGAGGGAGTAACAATTCTCGATAGGAAATGTACTCATTTCCTTACTCATGTAACTGTAACCCCTGTGTACAGTATCTTTACAATAAAAATATATAATAAAAAAACCCTAGGAATTAACCAAAGAGGTGAAGGACCTCTATGATTAAAACTTTAAAAAAAAAAAACTAAACATAGAAATTAAAGCGTATTTAAGGAAGTGGGAAAACCTCCCATGATCCTGGATTGGGAGAATTAACATTATGAAAATGGCAATACTGCCCAAAGCTATTTACATATTCAAAGCAATACCCATCAATACCCCCAAAACATTCTTAAATGAAATAGAAGAAACAATCCAAAAATCCATATGGAACAATAAAAGACCTGAAATAGCAAAAACAATCCTTAGCAGGACGAATAGTGCTGGAAGAATATCAATACCAAGCTTCAAACTCTATTATAAAGCTGTAGTTATAAAAGCAGCTTGGTATGCACAGGAACAGGCCTGAGGACCAGTGGAATAGAATTGAAGACCCAGACATGATCCCACAGACCTATGGCTACCTTTTGATAAGGGAGTCAAAACTATCATATGGAAGAAAGACAGCCTCTTAAACAAATGGTGTTGGCAGAATTGGCTGTACAAATGTAGAAAACTAAAGTTATATCTTTATATATCACCCTGCACCAGAATCAACTCCAAATGGATCAAAGTCCTCAGAGTCAAAGCTGACACTCTGAAAACATTACAGGATGGAATAGGAGAAACCCTAGGTCTCCTTGGCACAGGCCGAAATTTTCTTAATAGAGACCCAGAAACACAACAAATCAAAGGAAGTTGGACAAATGGGATTGCATGAAGTTGCAGAGCTTCTGCATGGCAAAGGACATAGCTAGCAAGATCAATAGAAAGCCCTCGGATTGGGAGAAGATCTTCACTAGCCATACAAGGGACAAGGGTCTCATATCTAAAATATACTTGGAACACAAAAAATTAAATCCCCCAACAACAAATCTTCAAAGAAGCAACTGTCCAATAAATAAGTGGGCAAATGACTTAAAGAGAAACTTCTCTGAAGAAAAAAGAAGGATGGCCAATAGACACATGAAGAAATGCTCAACCTCCATAGCCATAAAAGAAATGCAAATCAAAACAACATTGAGATACCACCTCACCCCAGTTAGAATGGCTATAATCAAGAACTCTAATAACAACAGATGCTGGAGGGGATGTGGACAGAAGGGAACCTTACCTGCATTGTTGGTGGGAGTGTAAACTTGTTCAACCACTTTGGAAAGAGTATGGAGGTTCCTCAAAAGACTCACATAGAGCTCCCCTATGACCCAGCAATCCCACTTTTGGGCATTTACCTGTATGATCACAAACAAGACCATACTAAAGCTACCAGCACAACTATGTTTATTGCAGCATTATTTACCATAGCTAAGATATGGAACCCACCCAGATGCCCTTCAGTAGATGACTAGATCAAGAAAATGTGGTATATATACACAATGGAATTCTATGCCTCCATCAGAAAGAATGACATTGCCCCATTTGTTAGGAAATGGAAAGACTTGGAAAAAATTATATTAAGTGAAGTAAGCCAGGTGCAAAGAAACATAGGTCCCATGGTTTCCTTTTTTGCAATAACTAGTATATATCTGAGACAAGCAGAAAAGGTCAGATAAGATGATGTTAAGCCAATGAACCCCAAGATAAAGGACACAAGTGGTTTTTTTCTTTCTTGCTATTGTTTCTAATGTATTTATAAGGTACCACGTGATTTTTTTTGTTGCTTTGTATGTCCCTCCCCCACGGTATAACCCCTGTTTTCACTATATTTGATTTTTGTATGCTTTGGGGTGTGGAAGGGAAAAAATGAATTGTTTAAGTAGGGATACAGGTTGGCCCATTGCAACAATGAGATGTACAAGACGCTATGTCGAAAAATGAACTTTATAATTTAGATGGGAGGTAGGGAGGGTAATGTAGTTGTGGAGATGGGAGGGAAGGGATAGTAAGGGAAAAACAAAGGAGTTGGCAACAATGCTTGATAAGAAATGTACTCATTACCTTGCTCATGTGATTGTAACCCCTCTGTACAATATTTTCACAATACAAAAACCTGTTAAAAAAAAAAGAATGGCTGATAGTCACTTGAAGGAGTGTTAAACTTCTCTGGCCATAAAAGAAATGCAAATCAAAGCCACATTGAGATTCCACCTCATCCCAGTTAGAATGGCCATTATCAAGAAAACAAATAATAATGGATGCTCGTAGAGATGTGAGCAAAAGAGAATGCTACTACACTGTTGGTAGGAAAGCAAACTGGTTCAACCCTCTGGAAAGCAGTATGGAGGTTTCTCAAAGTACCAAACATAGTGTATTTAGTTTTGACAAAGGTGGTACAACATTGCAACACATATGGATAAAACATACACACACACACACACACACACACACACACACACAACCTTGAGCCAGTTTAACAAATGTATCCAATAAAAACTATAAAATTCACAGAAGCTAGATAATGCTAGCTTTTCTCAATTTTGAGAAAATTGCTTCAACAAGTCATTAGTTTCATCAAATATTGCAAATAGCAATTATTGACAACATGGATACCAGATATTTCAGAAATTAAACTCAGCAAAAAAAATTAGCTTTCTTAAATGTTGAAATACCTAAAGAGGAAACTGGGTAAGACATTTACAGTAACATGGAGTAAAATGAGAGCCCAGGCTACTTTATTTGCCCTTTAAAATTCCATAATAAATTGAAACATGGAGAAAAATTGAAAATAGAAATTAGCTGAGCATGCATGGTGGTTCAATCCCATACATGGGAGACAAATATAGGAAGCTCATAGTCTGAGATCAGGCCAAAGCTAAATGAGACATTTAATATTACATAAATGTAATACTTAATATCAAAACCTTAAGTGTAAAATTTGAGAAATTAGTATCTATTTGAAGATACCTCTGATTATTTATAGGTTGTGAACCTACAAATAGGTTTATTTGTAGTGCTAGGATTTAGAATCAGAGTTTTGTGCTTGCTTGGCAAGTACTCTACCACTCCAGCCACTCTAACAATCCCTTTTTTGATGGTGGTTATTTGGGAGATAGGTCTCACTTTATGGCCAGGCTGACCTGGACTGTGATCCTCCAATTTGTGCTTCTCCCTTATGCTCTATTTTCTTTTCTTTTCTTTTTTTTTTTGGTCCGGTCATGGGGCTTGAACTCTGGGCCTGGGCACTGTCCCTCAACTCTTCAGCTCAAGGCTAGCGCTCTACCACTTGAGCCACAGTGCCACTTCCGGCTTTTTTCTTTTTGCTTATGTGGTGCTGAGGAATCGAACCCAGGGCCTCGAGCATGCAAGGCAAGCGCTCTACCACTGAGCCACCTTCCCAGCCCCTGCTCTATTTTCTTTCCCAGTGCAGGGTTTGAACTCAGGACCTCTTGTTCTTGCTTGTTTTTTTCAGTCAAAACTGGTGCTCTACCACTTGAGCTACACCTCCCTTTGTTGCTGGGGTGAGAAGTATTCTCTAGTGCACCTGGCCATGGTGCTTCTCTCATAGCTTAGAGTGCTCTCCTATGTCCAGGCATTGGTTAAGGAAGGCTCATGAAAGTTTTTATTCCCCAGACTAGCCTTATGTCATGATTCCCCCAAACTCTGCCTTCCAAGTAGGTAAGACTATAGTCTTATAGGCTTGAGACACCACACCTGGCTGAACATGCAAAACTTTTCAGAACAAATAGAAATCGATAAAATGTTTCAAGAAATGAAAAAAATATGTGCAAATATATATAATATATACAATATATGCAAATGAAAGCAGAGATAAGCTAATGCCTCACAACTATCAATTAGAAAACAAAATTTAAATCCCAGTACTAGTAAATTATAATAAAGAAGATATATATGTGTATTTATATACATATATATATATATATATTCCTGCTCCCATAGTACATTATTAAACTAGTTTTGAAGAGTTTACTTAGTTTTCATTCATTAGTAACTGCCCTGAAAACTCCATTCACTGTATAGGTTAGCAACTATTGCCAAAGGAGAAAAATAAATCACATTCTTCAACTTGGTAGTTCTCTGCTTTTGTAATGAATTTTTAAAGAAGCCAAATGTCCAAAATGTGAGAAATGCTAAAGTAGTTGAAGGTATGTTAAGTATAGCAAAATGCCATGATCCCATCACAGTTAAATATAGACTAGGTAGATAAGTTGGTTTAACATTGGCCAATAAAAATAAAGCCATTGTAAAAATGTATTTCTAGGGCAGGGTTATAGCTCAGTTGCTACAGTGACTGCCTAAGCATGCCAAGACCCTGGCTTGGTCCTCAGCATCATAAAAACAAGCAAACAAACATGGAGCCAAAAGTATCTTCTAGAGAACAATCCATTCATGGATAAACTACAAATCAGGAAATAAATATCAAAATGTGCAAACATTCTTATTTTTGCCTATTACTGCTAACTTTCATTTGTGATTGGTGAAATATGATCGGTATAAACTAATTTTTCATAATAAACCAAAGAATCGTAATGCTTAGATATCGATAGCACATAGTTTAAAATATTCAATAGGGTATTTATTTTTTCTTGCAGATTAGCATTGATGGGCACGATATCAGAAACTTTAATGTAAGGCACCTGAGAGAAATAATTGGAGTGGTGAGTCAGGAGCCAGTGCTATTTTCTACCACAATTGCTGAAAATATTCGTTATGGCCGTGGAAATGTCACCATGGAAGAGATAAAGAAAGCTGTCAAAGAAGCCAATGCCTATGAGTTTATCATGAAGTTACCACAGGTAAAAGTTCTGGTAATAGAGTTCTGAATTAGAATTGCACCTCATGGAAATGAGTTCTTCCAAAGTTATGCTAATATTTGGCATGCAATATTGTCCAACTTCATTAACTAAGTCTTTGAAATTATTCGGACTTTAGGAGAATATTCTGTGAATAAATTATATACAATTTTACATAAGACTATATATTAGTAGCTTAAAATAATTCATCATTTGTTTATTTTTATTATAATTTAGGATACATTGTGATAGTCAAAATCAGTCCCCAGTGGTCTTCATGTATTTGTGCCCAAGTCCTTCTCACTCTTCCGTATTTAAAATTACTTCAAGGGAGACTGAAGGTCTATCTATTTTATCTATCTATCTATGTATACATATATAACATATTTATGTGTGTGTATATATATAAATGGTAGAGTGCTTGCCTCGCATGTGTAAGGCCTTGGGTTTGAACTCCAGCACAGTAAATTTAAAAATGCAGTGCTATGAAATGCTTCTTAAAATACTCTCACACATGTTGTAGAAATTTGAGACCCTGGTTGGAGAGAGAGGGGCCCAGCTGAGTGGTGGACAGAAGCAGAGAATCGCCATAGCACGTGCCCTGGTTCGCAACCCTAAGATCCTCCTGCTGGACGAGGCCACATCGGCCTTGGACACAGAAAGTGAAGCTGAGGTACAGGCAGCTCTGGATAAGGTCAGTGCACCTAAGCAGCTGGGGGACTAGTGAACTGAAACTTTATTGCAAGTTCTTGCCAATGTTTTGAGGGTCTGGGTTGAGAAATGGGAACACAAGGGCAGATGAGGTTATTACATGGGGCCTTATTGATTTCTTTCTGCCAGTTCACGTTATCTGACAGAGATACATGGTCCTGCCTTGTTTGGATCAAGGTGCAGTGATCCCAGATCTAGGTCCGTGTAATTATTCACCTTTTTTTATTTATTTTTCGTTTTGCACGTGGGCTATGCTTTAACTTCAAAGAAGTTGGATTAAACTGGGCACTAATGGTTCATACCTGTGATCCTAGCTACTTAGGAGGCTGAACTTGGGAGGACTGTAGTTCCAAGCTAGCCTAAGAAGAAAAGTTCATAAGACTCCTGTCCAATGGAGAGCAGGGCATGATGGGTATGCACCTGTTATACTCTTTAAGTCAGGAAGCCTCATATAGGCAGATGGAAGGAAGCAAGCCCCTGTCATAGAAATAACTGGGGGGAGGGGAACAGGGCTGGAGGTCCTGCTCAGTCCTGCCTAGTAAGCACAAGCTCTTGAGTTCCAACCCCATACTAGCAGGGAGGGGGAAGAAAAAGAATTACTTGTGGTAATCTTAGTTACTTGTTATATGGAGGTCTAAAGGAACCAAAATATAATACAGATGAGCTTGCTATCTGATTAATTAGAAGTGATTTAAAGCAAGATATCATAATGTATAATGCATACATAAATTAAACAATTTTAATTTAAGCTGATTGAACAAGGAGGGAGGAAGGCAACTATGGTGGAGGATATAAATTTGTTCAAAGTGCATTGTGTGTGTGTGTAAATATCAGAACAAAACCTCATGTTGCAAATGTGTTTCTCAAAAATAAGATTAATTTTTTTAAGTTAACTTACAATATATACATAGGTATTCATGAATAAAAATAGACTTTTTAGGGTAAAGCGAAGTATAAGATTTAATAAAACAAAACAAAACTTTTTATGAAAGGTAGACGTTAGCCAGATGCTGGTGGCTCATGCCTGCAATCCTAGTAACTCAGAAGGCTGAGATCTGAGAATTTCGGTTCAAAGCCAGCCCGGGCATGAAAGTCTGTGAGACTCTTATCTCCAATAAAAACCACTAGAAAACCAGAAGTGCCACTGTGGCTTAAGAGGTAGAGCACTCGCCTTGAGCTGAAGAGCACAAGGACAGCGCCCAAACCCAGAGTCCAAGCCTCATGATCGACCCCCCCCCCAAAAAAGGTAAGACATTTCAAAAAGAAAAAAAGAGGTAAGGCTAAAGTCCAGGTTTAAATCCTTTCCAGAATGCAAATAGTGAGCATAAATACTCTGCCTGTGTTAAAAAATGGAGATGTTATTTTTCTGATATGAGCTCCACCAGAGAAACAACAGCCTTGTAAGTTCACTTAATATTTGCATGAATTACTTCACTCAGTTTGAGTAATGTCTCTGTGTTCTATAGAATTATGCCACCATTGCTTGAAATAACCTTTCATGTCTCTACTTTTAAAATGGAATCTCCATAGTCAGATTTACAAGATCACTAAATGAACTCTCTTTCCTCCAAGTAACCACAAGACAGAAGGTTCCCATTTTTTCTGAGGTTTCCAATTAAATCACTCCCTATCCAACCTCTATTGGCAATTTCCTTATGCTAATGATTCAATATCTAGTGATGGTGCCTGCCGTCATTAATAACATGGCCACCTCCTTCTAGCCACTACCTACCATGCAAGCCCACTACTGCTCAAGTCCAAAGCTATCGCCTATATTTTTGTCTTTTGTTACAGTGATTTTTCAGTTATTTTGTTATAGTTACATTCCAATTCCTTTTATAATTCATTTCAAGCCAGAACTTAATGGCTTCAAACACAATTTGCATTTCTCACAAACCTATGGGTTTGCACAGGTCAATCCTCCATTTTGTCTAGTCTTACTTCAAATAAGAATCAGCTAGACTCAAATATTCAAGACAGACTCATTCCAATGCCTGGAAATTGTTATGGTTGCCTATCATTTCCTAAAATTAATATACACGGTCATGTTTTGTCTCCATAGCACTTATCCTAGAGCCTTGCATATAGTAGGGACTAAACAATATTTACTGATTTGAATCTAATGAGCTGGCTCACTGGTAAAAACACCTGTCTATATTATAAAAGTAATAATAAACTGGGCACTGGTGGCTCACATTTGTAATCCTAGCTACTGTGGGGGCTGACATCTAGAGGATCCAAGTTCATTCAAGGCCAACACAGGCAGAAAAGACCTCTGGACTTTGTCCCTAAAATAACCCCGAAAATCAGGGTGAGAGGTGTGGCTCAAGAAGTAGAGATCCCAGCCAACCAAGAAAACTGAGCAAGTATAAGAACCTGAATTCAAACCCTAATACCAGAAATATTTCCCTCCCCTAGAGAATAGTAGTAATGATTATATCAGTTTTTGAGTTAATGTCTAGCAACATATAATATATTGTTCCATATAAGTTTTCAAAGAAAATATAACAGCAGCTTTGCAATTTTGATTCTATTATAGAAACCAGCAATAACAATTTCATACCTACATGCACATTCATTCTTAGTGTCATCATCCTAGAACAGTGTTTAGAAAAGAACCAAGAGTTAGCTTCTGTGGTAAGTTGCACAAAAAGACTCCAAAAGATTTCATTTCAGTGCTATTTTGCCAACATTCCAGAAAGACTAATGGATTTGTGCTCTCTTTGTGTAGGCCTGTCTTTCATCCTGCACATACAAATTAGTAGAAGTTGTTCTTAGAATCTGGAACATTTAATTACCAATGTCTTGTCATCATTGTGATATCTGAGAACTTTGAAGAAAGCTCTATTTAAGAAGTCATACATCTACTTTGGCCAATTTTTCTTTGACAAGGGTGACAGTTTCTAACTTTTAAATTCACATATACTTTATTCCACCTACATACCAGTCATTGACTCGCAAGATTTATTAATACAACTATTGCCAGCAATCTGTTTATTATTATTAGTAGTAGTAGTAGTAGTATGAATATAATTATATTAGTCAAATTGTTTTTACATGTATTATATATAGACCAAGTCATATAATTTCCAAATCATTAAGTTCTTGTGAATGAAAAATTCTTATTAAATACATGGGGATAATATGCTAAAAATCAAAGAGTACTCTTAAATGCTGCACAAGAGAGTATGTTCTAGCATTTGTTTGTTTGTTTTGCTGCTAGTACTGGGGCTTGGTTGCTGTCCTTGAGTTTTTTTTTGCACAAAGCTACCACTTGAGCCACAGCTCCACATATAGCTTTTTGGAGGGTAGTTTTATTAAAGATAAATGTCATGGACTTTCTGCCTGGGTTGGCTTTGAACTGTGATCCTCAGGTCCCAGTCTTCTGAGCCACTGGTGCTCAGTCTAGTATTTTTTTCCAGTGGTGTTACTCTTTATACTTACCTTAGCACAATTAATTTATTTGAATTTTAGTGTTAGGACTAAAGTACAAATGTCATTTTTTACAGATTGCTACATAACTATCTCACTGCCATTTATTATATGATATATACTTTCCATTCTGATAGATAGTATTTTAATAGATTAAATTCTTAAATGTTTTGTTGGCTATTTCTGGACTCCTTACTTTGGTCAATTATTTAGTTACCTATTAATGTGCTGGCTTACCTTCAATTTTATTATTTCAATCACTACAGATTATTATGTTATACTGCCTGGTTGAGGTATTACCTTCTCATTATCTTCTTTTTCAGAATTTATATGACCATTTTTTATTATTGAAATATAAATGACATACCATAAAATTTACCCCTTAAGAATACACAATTCAGCCTGGCGCCGGTGTCTCACACCTGTAATCTTAGCTACTCAGGAGGCTAAGATCTGAGGATCATGGTTCAAAGCCAGCTGGGCAGGAAAGTCTGTGAGACTCTTATCTCCAATAACCACTAGAAAAAAAAATAGAAGTGGTGTTGTGGCTCAAGCGGCTCTTCACCTTGAGCTGAATTGCTGAGGGATAGTGCCCAAGCCCAGAGTTCAAGCTCCAGGACCAACAACAACAACAACAAAAAGAATACACAATTCAGTGGTTTTCAGTATATGCACAGGTTATACAATCATCACCACTATTTAATTCCACAACATTTTCACTACTTCAGAAAGAAATAGTGAACCCAGGGCTTTGGCAACTCCAGGCTACTTCTGTCCCTATGGATTTTCCTGTTCTATTAAACAGAAGATACAATGTGATCTTCAGTGTCTGGAAGTTTTTCTTAGCACAGTTTCATCAATATTGCATAGCTTCATCCCTTATTATGATCCTGTCTATTCCAGTCATATAGCTATATCCTTAGTTAACCATTCTTCGACTGATGAACATTTGAATTGTTCCTACTTTTTTGGTCCTCTCATTGTTATTTATATTTTAACTACTTGGGTGACTTAGGCAAGAGTCTAATAAATACATCCTAATGACATGGATTTATTGCTTCAGAGTGGACACTGGTCTTTAGAAGCTGTTGGAAAAATAGGCTATTGAATACAGCCAGAGTAGCCATTGTTAATGACATTAATAATTTGGCAGACATTACCCAAGACATCAATTGTCATTGAATTTACCAAGTCAGTATGGGAGGCCCATAGACCACTTAGAGGAGTGATTCATAGAATTTAACATAGATTAAAAAATCTATAACCTTGTTAAAGAGTAAAGTCTTTCTCCAGAACTTGGGATCCAATTGTCTTTAAGCCATACTTTGTTTTCTCAAAATTCCAGTATATTTTCAACTAAACTGTGGCCTTGCCATCAGAATTGCAGTTAAGATGAGAAAGTAGATGCTTGGCAATAATTTCCTTCATGTTTTTGCCAGTCTCTAGCAAGTCATACAACTCAGATCTAGAGCTCTCAAGCAACTGGAAAACCATCTGAGGAGTAAACATTGTTTTTTTTTTTTTTTGAGTGATACTGACACTCCTATTGAGAAGTTCATCTTCATACAGAGGGTTGGCTACCTGTGTGGTCTAGAACTCATGTCTGGCCTTAAGGTTTTATTAACAATGATGCCTGTGTCCTCATCATATTAAGATCTAGAGTGTAAACTACTCTTTTATCAACCATAAACACACTCCATTCAAGGGCTTCATTGTGCATGCTAGTTGACAGTATGTCAGTATTGTAACCTGATGAACCACAATCTTGTCCTTGTCCCCCTAGGCAAGAGAAGGCCGGACTACCATTGTGATAGCTCACCGGTTGTCTACTATCCGAAATGCAGATGTCATTGCTGGGTTTGAGGATGGAGTCATTGTAGAGCAAGGAAGCCATGGAGAACTTATGAAAAAGGAAGGCGTCTACTTCAAGCTTGTCACCATGCAGGTATCTGTTTCCCACAGTGTTGTCTGCTGTTTGGTATATTGTATTTTGATATGGTATTTTTTAAATGATTAAACTAGGATCCAGCTAGTGTCAACCAGAGAAATAAGAATTATGAAGAGGTCTGAAAGTAGAGTGTCCATATGACCTCAATTTAGAATCTGTGCTAAGCATCTGGGAAGAACATAAGAGGCAGGATAGAATAAAGGGAAGTCAAAATCTTCTTCATTTAAAAAATCTTAATTTTTAATTGCATGTGGAAATCTGTCCAACTGAATAGAGAGAGGATTAGGGAATCTTAGCACCTTAAGGTTTGGCATGTTCTAAGTGGTACAGAGAGATAAGCATCTCAGGAACTCTAAGGAGACAGCGACATCCCACATGATTTACAAAAGCTTCATAGACAAACATAACAAGACCAACAGAAAGATGTGTAGCCAGAAAGTGAGGAGTTTGTCTGTTTATATTGATAATTAATAGTGTATCTTATGCAGTGTAATATGAATTACACTGAATTTATCCATCTGGACACATGTACATAACTTAATGTCTTGTTCTTATAGACATCAGGAAAACTAACTCAGTCAGAAGAATTTGAAATTGAACTAAGTGGAGACAAGGCTGCTGCGGGGATGGCCCCAAATGGCTTGAAATCTCGCTTATTTAGGAATTCTACTAACAAAAGCTTTAAGAAAAAAAGTCTGAAGAATCAAAATGGGCTTGATACAGAAACCAATGAGCTTGTGAGTTGTCTTCCGGTTATGTCTTTTGCTATTTAATTTTGCTGCTGAAATTCTTAGCCTTACAAATATTTTTTCTGATGATACTATTAGCAAACTTTTCCTTTAAGAAAAGGAAATTTCATATTTTAAATGTACTTGTCAGTGAATTAAAATAAATTCAAATTTAAAGTGGATTTACAAGCCTGTACTAGTGGCTCACATCTGTAATTCTAGCTACTCAGAAGGCTGAGATCTGAGGATCGAAGTTCAAAGCCAGCCCTAGCAGGTAAATCTAAAAGACTTTTATCTCTAATTAACCAGCAAAAAGCCAGAGGTGAAGTATGGCACAAGTTGTAGAGTGCTAGAGTTAAATGAAAAAAGCCAAACAAGAGCACAGGCCCTGATTTTAAGTCCTGGTACCAGCACACACACACACACACACACACACACACACACACACACAACTGGAGTCTAGGGCTGGTGATGTGGCTCAGTGGGAGAGCACCTGTCTAGCATGCCTGAGATCCTTGGTTCAATCCCCAGCACTACAAAAAAGAAAAAAAAATAGAGTCTATTTTTTCCAATGGGAAATAATATATTTAAATTTTATTCTTTGAGCTGAGATGCTTAATACTAAATTAAATGGCCTATTCATCTTTGAGGTCCAGAGCTAATAAAACTAATGTAAAATAAGAAATCTCATTGCCAAGCTGAATTAGAAAGTATCCCACAAGTGATTTTCTGTACTAGAATACTCAGAATAACATCAGTTTAAACAAATAAAGAGGTTTTTTGTTTCTTCTTCACATAAAACAGTCTTAGATGTGAAAAGCTCTGGTGTAGGATGATGGGTTTATAATCACTACGGACTTGGATTCCCTTTGTGGTTATTCTTCCTTCTCTGGTATGTAGCATCCATCATCAGGTCGCTTTATGGTCTAAGATGCTGCCTGAAGCTTTAGCCATCAAAGCCATGTTCCAAACAACAGGAACAAAAGGTTTTCCAGAATTACCAACCAAGAATTTTATTTCAAAGTCATGTGCCTCAACTTAAACACATAGCCATAGTTAGATGCAAGGAAGTATGAAAATTTACATCATTTTGCTTTATGCATTGAGACTCTTAACCTAATAAGAATCTCTTTATTAAGTGAAAGGGAGAACTGAACATGGCAAATTAAGTCTACAGTCCTAGCTACTTTGGAAGCAGAGGCCTAAGGGACTGTAGTTCCAGACCAGCCAGGGCAAAAAGAAGTTCACAAGGTAACATCTGAACCAATGGCGAGATGTGGTGATTTTATGGCTTTTTTCCCAACCTCAAGGGAAGGTCAATAACTGGACTCAGTGTGTTACACCTGGCAGCCCCAGCAACATAGGTATGAACCAGTAAGAGGATGGCAGCTCTGACATAAAGGAAGAGCCTGCCTCAAAAATAACTGGGTGGGGTTGGGCGAAATGAGGGGAAACAATAGTTGGGGTGACATTGACCAAGATGTAGTGTACTTATAAACTGACTTATCAAATTGAAACCCCTTTGAAAAACTACTTAAAGATAGGTTTTAAAAAGCCCTTCCCAAAACCTTGCCCATAAAAGAAAATAACTAAGGCAAAATGGGTCTGGAAGTGTGGCTCAAGTGGAAGAGTGCCTTTCTACTTATTTTGAGGTCCTGAGTTCAATTTGCAGTGTGCTGTCCCCTAAAAAGGAGAAGGAAAGAATAGCCAAAAATAGCAAAATTATATATTCTTTGAAATTCTTCACCTGAAGACATAGGATGTTATTAATTCAAATAAAAGAGTTTATAATAGAGAGGAGATGCATTCCTCCAAATACGTATTTTCTTATCCTGAGGCACAGTTTTGGTATACTTCAATGCTTTTTATTGGCAAAGACTAAATTTCTTTTTTGGTCTTGTATTGGCATGAAGACACTAATCTATTGGTGTCTATATCTCTTTCTCTGTATTATTTACTGCATAGTATTTTTTACTGCACAAATTACAAGAACTTTCTTAATAATCTTATTCTTCATATGTTTATAGAAAGAATTAATAATGTCTGTAATGCTGTGGAGCTTTACTATCATAAGGCAAATAATTTCTTCCTTTTTCAACTCTGGAATTATCCATTTTTCATTTCTTCATTTCTTTTAAGAAGCATTTTGATAAATCTTTGAAATCCACTATGTGGGGGGTCGGAGGCACTAAAGATTATAGGCATGAGCCACTAGCACCGTGCTCGAGTCCACTATTTTAAAGAACATTTTTCTTGAAGAAATAAATACATGAAGAAGAGGGGAGAAAAAAATGCCAAAATCAACAAGATTGTTCAAAATGCCTTCATACTGGGATATATAATTGGCCAAAGCAGAGGAAGAAGTTGAGTGGGAGTAGAGGGATCTGGGAAGTTCTGCTTGTGTGGGTTGAAGGACAGTAACCTGAGGAAGAGTCTCACTTACTATGCTGGGGACCACAGCTTAATGATAATGTTAACTAGGGAGGAAAATACCTGAAACACAGTGAAAATAAGTGATTTAAAAGAAGAGGGCTATATAGAACTTACTTCTAGACTTGTTTCCTAGACATGAATACATGTTTTAAAATTCGTATTTCATAAAGCAAATTATGGACAAGGAAACAGACCCGAGAAGATAATCAGCTTGTCCACAGATTCTCCCTCAGAAACAGCCAGCCTGAGACTGGAAACAAGTTCTCTTCATTCCAGTTGGCCATACTTTATGACTAGACTCTAACAATCACATTCAACAGTAAAACAAAAAACTGCAATAGTATGCTAGACTATCAATTGATGAAACTGCCCAGTTCTTCAACCGTACACAACCTCTTACAAATCAAGGTGTGAGCAAAACGTTTCAGGCACAATGACCATTCTGACACATTGATATCCTGACCTTCAAAATGCCTAAGTTAAATCCAATAGTCTCTTTTACTTCTCACTTTTTGAAAAGAAAAGTATGATGCAAACAAAATAAAATTTTAAAAACTCACAAAGCAAGCTAAGTACATAATAAAAGGAGTCTGCTCTGGGATCTGTGGAAAAAGAAAAAGGGTATAATTGCTTTTTCAGAGAAAAGGTAGCACTGGGCAGAATTAGGGGCCAGAAGGTCATGCCCATTTTTTTGATTAATGATGCTATTCTATACTGTGGACACTGAGCTCTCTCTTCACATATGCTGTCTCATTTGGCCCTAATATCATTGCTCACAGAAAGACATAAGCAGGACTGTCATTTTAAACTATGATGAGAAAACAATGGCTCAGCCAGCATGGCCCAGTCATAATTTTCATAAGGACCAAACATTGCCTGAGTCCAGAGCTAAGACTTAAGATTCCAGATCATTTTGTGCCCAAATCTTAACTATCCCTCAATCTCCTGAGGGTAGAGACACTAGGTACACCATGAATATTGTTTCTTGAGTGAGTAGTTCAAATTCAGCTTGTGCTGTGTCACTGAAGATACGTTGTCTTTCTCACTAGTGTTTGCTCATCATTCCTAGCACTTATGTGAAGATCCTTGAGAGCAACTGTCTTGTTTATTCTGTGTACAAATTCGACCAGAATTACCAATAGTCATGTTCTCACTTGTCCTGATATTTGTATGTTCTAGGATGCCAATGTGCCACCTGTGTCTTTTCTGAAGGTCTTGAAACTGAATAAAACTGAATGGCCCTACTTCGTGGTAGGGACCCTGTGTGCCATTGCCAATGGAGCACTGCAGCCTGCAATTTCCATTATACTCTCAGAGATGATAGCGGTAAGTTTGAAAAGGTCACATAGGAGCATAAATTACATGAGTTAATCACCTGCTTCTCTTCCCAGCTGGCTCCATTCCAAGTTCTATAGCTTCCAAGTTAAACTGACCTAAAGTCCTTAATGCCTTTTTCCCCCTTACAGAAGTGGGGGGGGAATAGTAGAACCGAAGTTATAATATTAATGCAAACTCAGTAACAAAGGAATTCTAGATAGTTATCAGCATATGGGTAAAGCTGGTGTACGACAAAGGTCCTCATCTGTTTGCAGAAAAGGTGGGCACATAATGGAAAGGGGAGGAGCAGGAAGAGAAAGAGCAAATTACAGTGTTTGATGAAACTAGCTCTGGGAATAGACGGGCCTCACCACTGAGTATGTGGGAAAACCCAAGACAGGCACTTTACTCAATTTCTTCATGTATGAAATAAAAATACTAAAGGAAACCTACATCCTGCAAGGATGGCTAAAGGTTCCAAGAACTTATATAGGGGCGTATATGGGAATTATCTAAGAGTATCTGCCTACTGGTAAGAATTCAGAAAGCGATAGCTACTGAATCTCTGTTTTAGTAGTCCTTCCAAAGCAGGGAGGCTCTGAGAGTAAGAAAGAAAGTTCATATTATCCAATCATCGAATTCATTGCAGGGAGATTTCAAGGAGTTACCAACCTCTAGTATTATTGAGGAGACTTTAGTTTAAGGATGAATTATCTTCCATCATATTATGATACTTGAAAGGTAGTTCCAAAACTATGGTCCTCATGCTATTCTTTGGGAGAAGATAAGCAAGGATGGGGGCAAATATGAAGTGGCAATTTCAATGTTCTTTTGTAGATTTTTGGACCAGGGGATGATGCAGTGAAGCAGCAGAAGTGCAACCTGTTCTCCTTGGTTTTCTTGTGTCTGGGAATTATTTCTTTTTTTACTTTCTTCCTTCAGGTGAGAATCCATGATTTGCCTCTCTAATCAAGTCTATAATCTAATTAGAGAAACTATTTAAGACCTACTGGAGCTTTCATATCCTTAAATGGAAGTGAGTTGCACAGATGATTAGCACAAGGTGTGACTTCTCGTGTGCCAATTACAAGTTTGCTTTCAGCAGTCATTTTCACCAAAGAAAAACACTTGAATTCACAGGAGAATGATGTAGACTCAGCTGTTTGCAAATTGGGAAAATGTACTATAACAATAGGGGCCCATTTTTTCTTGTTTCTTTTTACAAAGTAGAAAGTAATTATTTTTTTTTCAATACTGGGGATTGAACCCAAAGCCTTGCACATGCTAGGCAAATGTTCTACCTTTTGAACCACACCTCTAACTCTTGCTTTTGAGGTACAGTTCTGCTAACTTTGTCTGGGCTGGCCTCAAACTTCTTGAATCACTGTCATTACAGGACTAGGATTATAGGCATGAACCACTATTCCCAACAATATGACTTGACTTTGACCTTGTTCTACTTACTTGACAAACTACTGGAAAAAATATATATATACATTTTTGTATCAGACATTATAGACCTGGCCAAAAAGAACTAATCAAAGCTAGATTTATGATACAGACCTGTAGTACCAACTCTCAGGAGGTAGAAGGATCACAAATTTGGGACCACCTTGGGCTATATTGTCACAATCGAACGAAAACCAGTCAAATTTATTCCAACTTATTTCCACCCAGTTAGACTTTTACCAAAGCTCTTTGGTCTCATTCCACCTAGTAGACATCACACAGGCCTTCCAACTGTAATCCATTAGGTCAATCCAGCAGGCTTCTCTTTTATCATTGTGGAACCAATGGTAAAAATAGCCAAGTTTTTAAGCTAGAAATCATTGTTTTGCTTGTAGTATCTCAGTGGTGTGATCCAGCCCCAAATCCTGCAACATCAGAAGTAGAGATTTGGGGGCTGCAGGAACAGAGAGTCATTGTGCAGCACTTACCACGGAAGGCAGGAAATGAAGGCCATCTGGCTCTGGATAAGGAGAGTGGGGTTACCCCGCCCACACACTGAGCTCTGGTTGGCAAAGAGATTTTGTCATGTGCCCCACAGTACCTGCATGTGCTTACCCACGCTCACAGACTGGCTGGAGGCCACAAGCCAGCCCGGCTACAGACATCCTAGGTGCTATCTGGTTTGAATGAAAGAGGAGAGAGGGGAAGGACGGCAAGTTGTCTGGTAAGAAAAGTTAGGAAGGAAGTGGAGCCTGCTGGTTCACTGATCCTAGACCAGTTAGAGCTACAGTGGAACCAGTACATTCATTAGAGATTAAAATTAAGAACATCTTCCCTCTGCAACACCTGCACCAAGATGTTTTCCTAAAGAGAATTTTGTTTCTTCTGTTTTCCTGTTTGGCTGAAATATTAGAAACACGTTGACATTGTAACTAAATACAGTACTTCCTCCCAGGGAGATAACGCCCTTGAAAGTTGTTTTTTTTTTGATTTTTTAAAAGGCTTTTTAGAATAGAACAGAAGGCAGAAGGCAAACCTTGACACTTCAAAAGTTTTCAGTTTTACAATTGCAATGCATACTAATGATTTCATAGAACTTGTATTTTAAGTTGGGACCTTGAATTAGGCTTTTGTTATTTGAGGAGCTCATTAGCTTATACATGTAAAATCATATATGCATGTATGCACTTGTGACACAGGATACTAGTGGCAATCAAGAGGGACAAGAGTCTGTTTCTCACACAGGGCTTCACTTTCGGGAAAGCTGGTGAGATCCTCACTACAAGATTGCGGTCCATGGCTTTTAAAGCAATGCTAAGACAGGTGGGTGTTTGTGCTCCATGCTCTGGGTTTACAGATGTCTGTTAAGCTTCTCTCTGTTTTTATTGGTGTGCTATTAATACCTTTCCAAGATATCCATGGGTCCATGTAGGACCCATTGGGTCCTATACATTGTCCTGGTCCTTATTTATTTATTATTTATTGTCAGTCATGGGGCTTGAACTCTGGGTCTGGGAACTGTCCCTGAGTTCGTCAGCTCAAGGCAAATGCTCTACTACTTGAGCAATAGTGCCACTTCCTGGTCCTTTATTATCCAACGATATCTCAGGGCTTTCACAGAATAGTCTTGATTTTAGTAGCCTTGGGGGTTATTCTGCCAGTATCTCTACCACGTGGACACAATTGTGTCAAGTATCTCTTTTGTGGATCAGTCCTTGGAGACCCAAGGATGCCTTTATACAAAGGAGAAGATGGTTTTGGCATTTGTATTAGGTACTACAGTAGACTTTATTAATGTTGCAAATGCTGAGTTTTGTTTCTATCTTGTGTTCTGTTTTCCTACTAATTTAACTTTTAATTCATCCCAGCATTTCTTACTATATACGAGACCTAGTGCTGGTATACTGTGAAATCCATTACCTGCTTCATGAAAAGTGTTTATTTCTGGTGTGGCTTGCATGAGAAAAGTGAGAACATGAATTCTTGGTTTCTGAAGAGACCTAAGAAAGGAGCAACATGTCATCCATCCAGCTGATACGAATGTATTACCTTCCTGCTCGCATAAGGGCACACAGCCGGCATTATATTGAAGCTTGTAGAGAAATCTTTTTTCTTAAACTCGAATCCTTCTATACACGGGACAAAACAAAAGCATGGTAGGAAGCCAAGGCTTCATTTCTCCTGCCTGAAATTTATGAGATAGGCTTGTGAATTACTATCACTTTTGAACAGCAGCCACACCTGATTGGGGTAGAATAGTCTGCCAGGCAGGTTGTGGTGGCTGGGTGAATAAAATGTGCACAGGTACCTCATGCTGCTCTGCACCCTGGATGAGAGCTGTCCTCTGGGTCACCAGGGAGAGGCCAGGAGGTGGGGCCTAGTGCAACTGTGTGTGTGGAGAAGGGAGTCAGCATCCACCCTAGGGCTCCACCCTACCCTCCCCAAGTTAAGGGCACATGTCTCCTTTCCTCCTAACCTAATTAAAACTTTAAGAGGGTTTTTCTGATTACTTTTAATTCCAGCTAACTTAAAAGGTGTACTTTGTACCATAGGACATGAGCTGGTTTGACGATCATAAAAACAGTACGGGTGCACTTTCAACAAGACTTGCCACTGATGCTGCTCAAGTCCAAGGCGTATGTAAACTGCAGTCTCCTACCATCTCTCTTCGAACAGATAAACATATGGCGTAGCTTCATCTGTTTAAGCACTTTCCGCTGGCAGAAAACTCAATCTGAACTGACCTAAATAGGAAAAGGGAAGCTAGACCTTAGGCTGATTGACTCCCAAGTTCAAAAATATCATCAAAACTGGGGCTGTAGCTCAGAGATAGAGCTGTTGGCTAGTATGCACAAGACTCATGTTTCCATCCCCAATCTTAGACACCTGCGCGCGCGCACACACACACGTTCCTTCTCTGTCTATGGTCTGAGTTCCTTCTTTAATATCAGCATCATTCCAGGGTTCAGTCCTAGGTGGCATAGGTTAGTCACCCATAACAATTTGAGCTGCAAACAAACTTCTTTGTTTCTTGGCTAGTGAAAGATCCCGTGCCTGTACCTCAAACATCAAAAATCACTTCCCTTAAATCTGATTGGAGCTCGTCTAGCCCAACCTTGTACCAATTAACTGTCTCAAGGAAGGCTGAGCCTTGACTGGCTCACATGCCTACCCTGAAGTTGCTTCACAGTGCCACACAGTGGAGGGGGCGGGGAGTGCAGTCAGGGCCCACTGCATTGCCCTATACTGTAGGCCTAGTTTTCTCAGTGGTACCCACACTAATGAATCTGACATGCGTTCTGTGGTAGATGGTCTCTGTAACATGGTCTCTGGAAGTGCATATCAGATTTGAAGCAAATGCTTTTAAAAATTATTGGAGTACGTTGGGGTTGGTTTCCTCTTTGAATGATGTCTTCATGAAAATTGTGTCTGCACCTACAGCCAATCCACAGAGAAGAGTTGTGAGTTTCTTGGTTCTAATGTTAGTAATGGGGACAGGAGAAGAACAAGAGTTAAAACTACAGCAAAGCAAACCTGTGGAGCCTCAGGAGATAAGCATAGTCACCTTGGGTTTATAATAATAGCACAGTCTTCCATCATTGTGACCAAGAAACGTATGGCTAGAGCTTAGCAACGTAAAACTTCATGCACACTGCTTTTTGTCTTGCAGGCCACAGGAACGAGGTTGGCTTTAATTGCCCAGAATACAGCCAATCTTGGAACTGGTATTATCATATCATTTATCTACGGTTGGCAATTAACTCTTTTACTGTTATCCGTTGTCCCATTTATTGCTGTATCAGGAATTGTTGAAATGAAAATGCTGGCTGGAAATGCCAAAAGAGATAAAAAGGAACTGGAAGTTGCTGGAAAGGTAGGTTCAATAAATAGTGTTACTAGTATACCTGCTTCATTTTAAGTATCACAGAATATACATATTTTAAGGTTTTATTTTAAGGCACAACTAATAGTTATCAACACTTCATGAAACATTATGTCTAGAACTTAAAAACAATGTGATTACTTTAAAGATCTAAGCCTTCAGATGGCATTTAATATGTGCTTATTATAAAGAGTTTTTTTGCGGGGGGGGTCATGGGGCTTGAACTTGGGGCCTGGCCGTTGTCTCTGAGTTTTTTCACTTTAAACTATAGCACCATTTCCAGTTTTCTGGTTGTTAATTAGAGATAAGAGTCTCATAGACTTTCCTGCCTGGGCTTGGCTTTGAACTGCAATCCTCAGATCTCAGACCCCTGAGTAGCTAGGATTACAGGCATGGACACCTGCACCTGCCTGGCAAGAGCTTATGTATTTTAAACACACATTTAATATTTTCTTCATATCCTGATTCCATGCTTAAAAAAACGAATATTCTATTTTATGAAAAAGGTGACTTTAAGGCAGAGAATAAAAGTGAATTGTTCAAGATCAGATATTTGCTTGTACTTACTTCCTTTCTGGTTGCAATTCCTATCACTAATGTTGGCAGCCACCAGAGGGCAATGATGCCTTGATTTTTTTTTTAATCTTGCCTTGTAATTGAGCTAGCATTTACCTGAGCTTTATAGTATCTGCCACTATTGTACTATGTATATGCAACAACTTCTTACATCTTCACAATAATCTAATGAGGCAGGTGATAATGTTACCCCATTTTTTACAAGTATGGAAATTCAAGCTCAAACAAAAGTTCAAGATGTGGGGTTAGCTGTGTACCTCAGTGATAAAATGATTGTAGAGTATGTACATGGCTCTAGGTATGAACACCAGCATAGTGGAAGAAAAGAAAAACAGAGAAAATGTAGCTTTCAAAGTTCTTATTTCTATTTCTTTATAGATGTTTAATGTATATAAATCTACATACTAACATTTTATTTACCACATACATGCATTACTACATCCAAGTATAGATTACAGAAACAATAAATAATATCCTTTTTTGGGGGGGGTCCGGTCGTGGGGCCTGAACTCTGGGCCTGGGTGCTGTCCCTCAGCTCTTCAGCTCAAGGCTAGTGGTCTACCACTTGAGCCACAGCGCCACTTCCGGCTTTTTTCTTTTTGCTTATGTGGTGCTGAGGAATCGAACCCAGGGCCTCAGGCATGCAAGGCAAGCGCTCTACCACTGAGCCACCTTCCCAGCCCCAAATAATATCCTTTACTGAAATATTAGAAATTAAACAAGATACTGAATGTTGTGATAACTCCTGTAGAACCTCACTTAAAACCCATTCATGATGACAGCTGACCTTTTACTACACTGAAGTGAGGAGAGAGACTCTATGTAGCCTCACCTTTTAGGGTGAAAGCCTTTGAGTTTGACTTGTCTGTTATCTATGGTGATACAGGGTTTGATTAGAAATACCACCACCTTGTTTCCACTAAATTCTATCCATGTCCTGTGAAGTCCTTGCCGCTCCTCCCTTAACTGGCATCAGAGACAGCTCTGTGAAGTGATTCCCAGGATCAGAATACCTCTCGTTTTCCACCCTACCTTCCCTCCTGAAGACAGAGCTGTCTGGGACCAGGTGTGGGTCCTACACTGGTAGATGCTTTAGAGCATCATAGCTTACTGCTGAGAAATACTCTCCCCATCATATATGATTCTTCCCACATTCTAAACAGGAATATTGCCAGAATAAAAACATAACACAAAAAAGAACATCTTGAAACTAGTTATGTAATAGGCTTTTTTATTGTGAAAATACCATACAGAGGGGTTACAATTACATGAGCCCGCAAACCCCCTAAATATGCGCCACCCCACATCAAACCTGAATGATACTTGCTATTTGCATTCGCCATCCTCTGATCAATCCCCAACAAACTAGGAGGAGTAATCACCCTAGTACTTTCAATCCTCATTTTAGCTCTACTTCCCCATATCCATACAGCCAGCCAACACAGCCTAATATTTCGACCTATCAGCCAATTCCTATTTTGACTTCTAGTCTCCGATGTACTAATCCTAACACGAATCGGAGGCCAACAAGTTGAACAACCATTCATCATTATCAGACAAATCGCATCCCTCCTATACTTACTATTATCTTAACCCTCATACCAATCGCAGGAATCATCGAAAACAAAATATTAAAATGAAGATCGCTTTAATAGTATAATTACTTAGCTCTTGTAAACCTAAAACGAAGAATGATGTTTCTTCTTAAAGCATCGAGGAAAATTTGACTTTACATCCCACCTCCAACTCCCAAAGCTGGAATTCTATTCTTAAACTACTCCTTGTATGTATATCGTGTATTATTTAACGTCCACATTAATATTGTACAGTACTATAATATTATAATCATACATAAGTACATTTCTTATCAAAGTATTGTTGCCTCCTCCTTTGTTTTAGTTATTTAATAGTCTTAACCCTCTTAAAAATTTGTCATGAGGGGCTGGGAAGGTGGCTCAGTGGTAGAGTGCTTGCCTTGCATGCATGAGGCCCTGGGTTCAATTCCTCAGCACCACATAAGCAGAAAGAAAAAAGCCAGAAGTGGTGCTGTGGCTCAAGTGGTAGAGCACTAGCCTTGAGCTGAAAAGCTGAGGGACAGTGTCCAGGCCCAGAGTTCAGGTCCCACGACCGGACCCCCCCAAAAAAAATTGTCATGATTATAAACAGGGTAAGACAGAAACTTTTGGCTTCTTGGTCTTGGCCTTGCAGTTTCGAGTATATTGTGATGGAGAAGGCCCTTTCCTCTGCCTCTTCCTACCTCAGTGAAATGAGCCACAAGCTCCTTACCCAAGGATCAGAGAATGAATAACTCAGAATGGTCTTAATCTTTGTAGCTACTTTAGCCTAACAGGTTTTCAGTGTTTTGACTTTTTTAATATATGAGAGATTGGAAACTTTAATCATTTATTACACATGATTCTGTTTTTGCTTACTTTGTTAACTAAGACAATTAGAGGATTGGAAAAAGGGATCTGGAAAACCTCAAAATCATAGTCCATGTTCTCCATTTGTCAAGTACAGATTAAGGATGATTGAAGTCCTTGACATTTGGGATATTTTGATTTCAGTTTTCCAAAATAAAGCTTAGTAGTGATGGCGATGGTTGTGCAGTATGGGATGAGATGGGGGACAGTGCTAAAAATGGTTACATCCACAATGAGATGTGTACCTGAAACAACATGTATTGTAACTATAATCTGAGTTAACACAGCTGTACACAGCCTACTGTTTTACCAGCCTATACTCCTTGTAATCTAATTTGGTGTAAAGAGCATTTGACTTTTTCATTCCAGTCTAGCCAAAGCTCAATTGGCTGAGATTAGAAGTCTGTGTACCAGAGCTAACCCACAAAGCAGTTAATCCATGACCAAAAAATCAAAGGTTGAGTGTGAAGCTGTTTACAGCTGGTTTCTCCTTGCGTCAATTACAAAGTAGGGGAAGGATATAGCAAGAACACGTAGCTGCTTTTGTCCTCCTACTTACCAACGTGAGATGTATGTAGGCAAGCAAGGAGACTTTTCATACCTTGATTCCTAAAAGTAGGAATAATGTTTACTCCATAGGGCTGTAGACCCTGTCAATGAATGAAGCAACATTCTTGCTGTTATCTGTTATGTTTTTCATTTATAATAAAAGTATTAAACTATTCAGACTATGTACAGTATCTAATACCTTTTACCTGGTTAAAGAAATGAACTTAGACTCCATAGCTAAGTCACAAACATTATCAAGTTAGTTTGGCTACCAGACTCAGAAAACTACTCTAGATAATTTAAAGAAGACTTGATATTAGGACACACAAAAGTGCAGAAACAGTTTATGTTCATTGTCAGTCTCTCTACATATCTGTTCCATTCTCAATGCTCTCTGCTCAGACAGCTTCCCATTCCCAACACGGTCTTCTGACTCCATGGGGCTCCAAGCATTTGCCTTCAGCTCCAGGAAACCAAATCTGAATGACTCACAGTCAAGTGACCTTGGTTTAATCAGAGATTTAGAGCATTGTTATGTTAATCCCACTTAGAATCTTCTTCTTGCTGGTGGATAGGCAACTTGTCTAAGAAGGGGTACATTCCAGGAGAAAGGGACTGACATCTCCATCGGGCCCCCAACAACACAAGTTAATCTTTATGAAGAAAGTAGGTCCTCAGAGAGTTTGTGACTGTGGTCAGTTGCCAGCCTCATGAGCACAACACTTTGCCATAGATCTGGTCACATGGAATATATTCTGACTTTTGCTTTTAATTGAGGGAATCTAAAACCCATCCACATAACCTTCCAAGTACTTTTTTTTCTTGTTGGTCATGGGGCCTGAACTCTGGGCCTGGGCACTGTCCCTCAGCTCTTCAGCACAAGGCTAGCACTCTACCACTTGAGCCATAGCACCACTTCTGGCTTTTTCTGCTTATGTAGTACTGAGGAATTGAACCCAGGGCCTCATGCATGCAAGGCAAGAACTCTACTATTGAGCCACCTTCCCAGCCCTCTTTTATTTGTTTGTTTGTTTGTTTTTTACCTTCTGAGTACTTTTGACAGAGCTCTAGTTCTTACATGTCTCATTATTTACAAATAAAAGTGCCATCTCTAATAATGAAGTTTGGTTCTGTTACAGATTGCAACAGAAGCAATAGAAAACATTAGGACAGTTGTGTCCTTGACCCAAGAAAGAAAATTTGAATCAATGTATGTGGAAAAACTGTATGGACCTTACAGGTAATAGATATAAGATTGCTAAGAACCTGTTGCTTTGCTGTCCCCACCCCACACAAAAAAAATGTAGAAGCTCTACTTCCAAACTATAAGACCATAATCCAGTAATTGTCTTAATGGAAATTAGAGACCTTTTGATGAGGCTAAGTCAGTGAGGATTAGAATTTTATATCTCTTGTAAAAACAATAAGATTGCATCTCTAAGAGCAAAAAGGTTCAGAGGATTGCACAAGAACTTGGTCACTGGTGCAAGCAACCTAATCCATCCTATTAAGGAAAAGCCCAGACCTTTGTTTTCTTTAGAGTTCTTACACTAATCCAATGATGAGGGTATTTGGTACATTCCAGATGGACTTATTCTATTGTCTGAATTGAGGACCAGACCCAACCTATACTAAAGACAAAAATCACACTAGCTTGTGTTGCTCAATTCAAAAATTCCCCGTGCCCTCTTTACCCCTTGTCGCTGCAATGGTCTGATTTTTATAAACAAATACATTTTTGCATTGATAACAAATAACACAACTTATATCAAAACTTACAGACTAGAGTTAAAGTTCAGATGGGGACCCTTAAAATTCTCAATTTGTTCCATTTCTGCAGTTATGCACATTTCATATGAAACTCAAGACCATGAAGCTACATTTTTTTCAGTCTGTTTGATTTTTGGCACATATATGGATGGATGGATGGATGCACACTATTATTACTACTTTATGATTTATTTTGACCTCAAGCAATTTTGAAGGAAAAAATAAAGCAGAGTCAAATGATTAATTTGGTTATAATTGGAAGACATACTAGCCTAGGGAATTGTATTCAGATACTCCAAAACTTAGTCTTAATTTCAACATCCTAGGTTTGATATAACTATTACATCACAGGCCTTAAGCATCTGAAAAATTCGATAGTAAGATGAACAATAACAATTACTATTTGAGCAATAGCAGCAGCAGCTAGGCGCTATGATAGGTGTTCATATTTTTTTACTGTATTTGGTTCTCAAAATACCCTGCATCATATTATTTCTGATATAGAAGTCAGAAATCGGGTGCTTATTGAAATTGAATCCTTTGCCCAAATTAAGACCAGGTTGTGCAGACCTAGAAGCTGTGCTTTTCTTGGAGTAACTGTTGAAGACACTACTTTGCTTTTCAGGAATTCAGTGAGGAAGGCACACATCTACGGGATCACTTTTAGTATCTCACAAGCATTTATGTATTTCTCCTATGCTGGTTGTTTTCGATTTGGTGCCTATCTCATTGTGAATGGATATATGCGCTTCAGAGATGTTATTCTGTAAGTAGTTCTAAAAATATTAAGATTATTCCTATGTAATGACCACGTTAAGAAGTTTATGTAAAATTTGAAGTTTTATGTAAAAACCTTTCTGTCCATAAACTAGAGCGTTAACTATTTATTATTATTATGTTGAAGTAGTTGTACAAAAGGGTTTCAATTTAACATGTCAGTTTATGAGAGCAATGAATCTTGATTACTGAGAACTTAAAGATGCCTCCATTCCCTGCTGGACCAGAAATCTGTTTTTTTCTTTTTTCTGTTTTTATTTGTCAGTTGTGGGGCCTGAACTCTGGGCCTAGGCACTGTCCTTCAGCTCTTCAGCTCAAGGCTAGCGCTCTACCACTTGAGCCACAGCACCACTTCCAGCTTTTTCTGCTTATGTGGTGCTGAGGAATCAAGCCCAGGGCCTCATGCATGCAAGGCAGGCACTCTACCACTGAGCCACCTTCCCAGCCCCTGGCCCAGAAATCCGATCTTGTCATTGCTCCCAGGTGCAAATCATCTGGCCAGTGAACCAAAATTAATCACACCATAGGCATACTTTCAATTATACAAATAATCCAAGTCAGGAGGACCACAGATTTTTTTTTCATTGTAGCACATAGGCAGAAACAAAATGTAATTAGAAACTGCAGACAGAGGTTAAATAGTTTGCTATTTATCTGCTACCAAAACATGGCCTTGTCAATAGTCAAGCACTGCTTGACTGAGGGTTGGCAAAGCTCCTCTCTCTCCCTGCCAGGTCTGAGAGAGCTCTGCCAAGGTTTTCTTTCTCTTAGCCTCTTCTTTTTTCTTGGTTTCCAAAGCTAACTAGAGGTCTTACCGATTAACACATTCTTTTTTTAAAAAAAAATACACTAAGTGCATTCAACTAAGTTGTAGTTTATGCGTGAAAAAAGGAAGCAACTCTTTTGTTTCTGCTTAAACTTTTAGTCTTTGGATTTATAAGAATAGCTGATCCACAAAGCCAAAACCCTTCCATTTGCATATTTTGTTTTAGTGGGGATTTCAAAGTGGTGCTGAATAACCTTTTCTGAAATAAGAAAAGACAAGAGAACTGAAATGTTTTAGAGCTGCTCCTGTTTTCAGTCAAAATAAGCATGAATAGTGTGCATAATATTTGTAGCATTCTAGTCCTTAACAAGGGAAATTAAGGAATCTATCGCAAGGAATAGAATATTGCTAAGGAATCTCTTTGCAAAGGCTCACAAGTGTTCTAGGGAGACAGCCTCCAAACACCACAGTACTCAGCTAGCTACCACCCGGAGCCTGACAGAAAGACTATCAGAACCCAGCCTGGGGGCCTTCTGTGGCTTTTGCAGTGAGATAACAACCTGAAGAGAAAGGAATCAAAGAGACAAATACTATGGCCTCTTTCTCTCCTCCAGCCCCCGTGCCCTGGTAGTGACTTTCATGCCAAACCCCACTGGGTTTTGTTGTTGTGGTTTTGTTTTGTTTTTAAATAACAGGTTTTATTAGCCAGGCTGGTGTGGAACTCAGTGGATTCCAGGCTAGCTTCAAACTTGCAATCTTCCCGCCTTACCCTGCACATGCCCACCATACCCAACTAGAAAATCACTTAGTGCTGTTCATGAATCACCTTGATCACCCAAGATGGTATAGGCAGAGATGGATAAAGACTGATCTGAGAAAGACAAAGGGAGTATTAGTTGGAAGTGACATTCCAGAATATGAATTTTATTGTCTGGAAAAAATATTGAGAAAGACAAGCCCTTCCTTTTCAAAAAAATCATACAAATATTAAATTCTGGATACTTGACAGCTTTTTGATCTTCCATTTTAGAACTAGGTAACAGACTATATTGGGATTTAGGCAGCCATGTGTGGGTTGTTTGGAACTTAATATATGGTCTATTCTAAAAGAAAGTTTTGTATTCTCAGGAAAGATCCATGCATTTTGAGACATTGGATAAAATATTCTGTAAATATCTGAACAAAAACTTGTGTAATGCTTATTATCATTTGTGTTATAGCATGAAATAAACCAGAAACTAGGAATCCAGCTGTAGATTTAATAGGAAGGATCACTTAGTCTGGGACTCACTGAGCCCCATAAATACTTTGTGCTTTGATTTTGCTCACCCTTAAAGGAGTTGTAATTGAATACTAAAGTTAGTTGAGATTATAAATCAGATTTGGCCATAAATCACTTCCTGAAAATGAAAAATCTGAGAAGGCTACATTAACTCAAGAAAATTAAAAGGGCCTAGAAGCTAGAAGTTGAATGGAGACAAAAAAAATCAAAAAACAAAAAAACAAAGACAAAACCCTACAAACCCCTTGGAGATTTTTTTGGTTATGGGGATTTCATGGAAATATGTATTAATCTGGGGGAAAGGTGACAGAGGAATATAAAGGTAAATATTTGCCAGCAGTTTGCCAGCAGTTGGACTTTGGAGTTATTTTTATAAGCTAATTGTTTAATTCCTCTGCTTTGGTCCAGGGTGTTTTCAGCAATCGTGTTTGGTGCCGTGGCTCTGGGACATGCTAGTTCATTTGCTCCAGACTATGCTAAAGCCAAGCTCTCCGCAGCCCACTTATTCAACCTGTTTGAGAGACAACCTTTAATTGACAGCTACAGTAAAGAGGGGTTATGGCCTGTGAGTTTTCTTCTGCCTGGTGAATGTTTGATTAATTATTTCCCCCTAAAGGTCTGCTATCTGCTAAGTTGTAACTACATAAATAAGTTGATTGCAATTACACCAAAATACACTTAAAATTATTTTGTGATATTTATGTAACTAGTATTTGACCAACTTTCCTGGCATTACTTTTTTCTATATAAAGTCTTTAGGATTCTTAATTTTAGTACTTTAAAATTTCTACAAAAGTAAAAACATATACTAGCACTGAATGATTTCAAGAACAATTTGATCATTTCTAACTGATGGTATCTGAGTACAATTTAGTCATATCAATGCAGTTAGTAATTGGGATTTAATCACTTCTTTTGAGAAAGTCTTGCTAGATAGCTCAAAATTCACCATCTATTCCAGGCTGGCCTCAAACTTGAGATGCTCCTGCTTTTGCCTTCTCCCACACCTTGGGATTCCAAGTATAGGCCATATTTTATAATGGCTGAGTGATAATTAGTAAGAAGGTTGCCCTATTCACAATGAGAGTCCTAAGCCCATATTTTAAAGTTAAACTTGGATCCAAGTGATCTTTGTATTTTACAAATGGCTGCACATGCTGAGACCTGAAAAACTCTGTGTATAACAAAATCAGGACTTTCGCAATCCATACCAGACTTTCCAGGTATTTCAGCTACAGTGCAAGGACAATGATATACAGAAGCTGCTAGGCCTGGGGCAGAGCTACCCACGGACACCAGAGACTATTGTTACATTTTCTAAGCCTTTCAGCCTTTGGCCAGTGGCTTACCTCCAGCCTTAGAATCAGAAAATGGGAAAGCATAAATGTTTGTCTAAATGAGCCAGAAATTGAGTTTGCAAAGCATGGATTTGTAATAACATTTTTTTTGTCAGTTGTGGGGCTTGAACTCAGGGCCTGGGCACTGTCCTTGAGTTCTTTTGTTTTGCTCAAGGCTAGCAATCTACCACTTTTAGCCACAGCCCCACTTCTGGTTTTTGGTGTCTAATTGGAGATAAGAGTCTCTACCTAGGCTGGCTTTGAACCAGGTTTCTCAGATCTCAGCCTCCTGAGTAGCTAGGATTACAGGCGTGAGCCACCAGTGCCCAGCTGTAATAACTTCTTGGCTTATGTAACCTATATCCCATCTCTTTTATCCTCTTCTTCTTTTGTTTTTTTTTCAGTACTGGGTTTTAACACATGGCTTCACACTTGTTAAGCAGGTGCTTTGCCACTTGAGTCATGCCTCCAGTCCTTTTTGCTCTGGTTATTTTTGAGATAGGTATTTCTTTTGGTCCAGGCTTGTATGGACCAGAGTCCTCCTATTTGATGCTTCCTGCCTTAGCTAAGCTGACAGGTATATGTCACCACCCATAGCTTTTTATCTCTTGAAATGGGGTCTCAAACTTTTTTTCCAGGCTGGGCTGGAATCCACAGTCTTCCAGATCTCAGCTTCCTGAGTTGCCAGGATAATAAAAGCTGTACTTAGCTATTTATTAGTTGATATTGGGGTCTCCCATACTTTGCCTTGGCTGGTTGTGAACTGTAGTTCTCCTGATTGCTTCCCAAGTAGCTAGGATTATAAGCTTGAGCCACCAGCATCCAACTTTATAATAACAACTTGTTCTCAGTGCTAACGTGCCAGTACTGTCTTGAATATACATCTCATGTTTCTCTAATACAGTTTTTGGGCAGTCATAGTGGCCTAGGCCTATAATATAGCACCCAGAGGCAGAAGTAGGTAGACTGTGATCTCAAGGCCACCCTCGGCTACATAGAGTGGGATTCTGTTTCAAAACAAAACATGTATACATAATGCTTTTAGTAAAGTTTCTCTGAAACAACAGTTCTTATTCCAATAATTAATAGACCAATAATAATAATAATGATAATATGATGATTTTTAGGAAAAGTTTGAAGGAAATGTGACCTTTAATGAAGTGAAGTTCAACTACCCCACCCGGCCAGACATCCCAGTGCTTCAGGGACTGAGTCTGCAGGTGAAGAAGGGCCAGACATTGGCTCTGGTGGGCAGCAGCGGCTGTGGGAAGAGCACGGTGGTGCAGCTCCTGGAGCGCTTCTATGACCCATTGGCCGGCACGGTGGTGAGCACGCTTTCTTAAAAAACTGAATGAAGACTGCATTTTACTTGGCCAAAACAAGATTGCCATAATGAAACCAAGTAAACATCTATAATTCTATTTGTTTAGATGATCATGGGGTTCTATAGACCCCATATGAGCACCTACCTCTGACAAATATATGGGGACAAAAGTGTAGAACACTTGAAATGTCATCTAGCTAAGAACTTAGTCTAACTACTGAGATAAGACTGATCTCTGGCTTTCCACAGGCCTTCTGAGCCAGCCTGAGATTCCTTAGGAGGTGGGGGGAGGGGGGGCGGAGAGGGAATCACTTACTAGCTTATAAAGCCAGTAAGGAGCACCATGTCTCTTATTTAAAACAAGAAAAACAAGACTACTTCCACCAAATATAATTCTCCTAAAAACACTGCCTTTTGTAGCGTCCCATTTTCTAGTGATTTCTTATCCTTAGTCCTGTCAGAAAAGGGGAATGAGCGAACTTAAAGGCTGGCACCTCTCAGAAACAAAAAGGGATAGGAACAGAGTTAATCATAGACTTTCTGAGTTCAGAGTAGACTGCTAGCCCAGACAGGTGCTGCTGTTCTGCCCCACCACCTTCTGCTTTGCCTTATCTCTCTCCACCTGAACTTTGGCCTAAATCCTCCAGCTCTTTCACCGTTGACACCTGACAGGAAGTTCCCTGGCTATCTCCTTTGAGTAAGCTGATAATACCTACATCTGTCATTATTGTGAGATGGTACCAGTGACATCATGGGACTGTGCTCTCAATAAGTCGCCCACAGTGGGCAAAGTGAAGCCTGGCAGCTCTCAGGACAGCTCTCAGGGAAAGGAGAGGGAGGAGAGAGGAGTAGGGTCAGTCATTTCAGAATCTGGGGCTATGCTACTGATCATCTTTTTTTCCTAATGGGTGCTTAGGAAAGGGGATGGTAAAGCCAAGTTGAAGGGTTAGAATCATTCTAGGGGAGCAGCTGTGAATGGCACAGCTTGATGACTTTCTAAAACACAGAGGCAGATAGAAATGCCCTACAGCAGGCAGATAGGCACAGAAGCTTGTGTTATCACATGCCAAATGTGTCATCACTTTGCTGACTGTGCCGTGAGAAAGATGGCCTAATCTCCATTTAAAAAACCATCTTGTCATGAGGTCTGAAGCTTGACAGTTCCCAGCTCCAGATGCCCAATTGCAATAATCATACAGAAAATTTAGTAACTTACTATTTAGATTTTTTTCTTTTGCTTTTTTTCAAGTCTCCTTATTGATTATGGAATTTTGTTTTCAGCTCTTAGATGGCCAAGAAGCAAAGAAACTCAATATCCAGTGGCTCAGAGCCCAACTTGGCATTGTGTCGCAGGAGCCCATCCTGTTTGACTGCAGCATTGCTGAGAACATCGCCTATGGAGACAACAGCCGGATTGTGTCCCAGGAAGAGATTGTGAGTGCAGCCAAAGCAGCCAACATACATCCTTTCATTGAGACATTACCTCATGTAAGTTAACACGCTTGTTTTTGTGGAAAAGTTGGTATAAAGTTTATTTGAAAAGAAATATGGTAGAGAAAGAGAGCACGTGACATAGACCTGCCAAGTCTGCCATGTTGGCTGCCTTCCTCCATTTTCCTCATCATAGAGCTTGAATTTGGGTTCAAGAGTAAGAATTGGATCACTTTCCGACTGGCAGGCCTTCTTACTATTTTCTGCATAGCTGTGATGCCAAAGTTAACACACTTTTCACCCCCCAAACAATTCTCCAAAGTTATACAGTCTTATAACAAACTGGATCTAGTTACTAGCACTGTCACCTCAGAAAGACACAGACCTGAAAGATAACAAGTTTCCTTACATGCAAATGGGATACATCACACCTGCCTCACACAAATGTACTGAGACGGAAAGGAGGTTATATTAAGTTCAAAGCATCATACGTGGGATGCAAACTGGTGTTTGTGCTACCATTGGACAGTCATGCTTGGCTTAGCCCCTATATTCCTTTTTTTGCACATAAACTTTTTTTTGACATGATTATAAATTCACATGCAATTGTAAAGAATACAAAAATCTTGGGTATTCTTTATCTAGTTTCCTCTAATGCTATCATCTTTTCAAATTGTAGTATAATCTCACGACCAAGATACCAACATTATTAGACTAGTTTACTCATACTTATTTATCAATTTTAGTGGTTTTACTTGTACTTACTTGTATGTGTATATCTAGCTCTAGGCAGTTTCACATCACACACAAGGTGCAAAATACAGCCAAGCCTGGTGTTATATGTCAGTATAATCCCAGATACTCAGGAGGTGGAAGTAAAAGAATTGGGAGTTCAAGTCCATTCAGGACAAAGTTAGTAAGACCCCCATCCAGGACAAAGTTAGTGGGCTGGGATGTAGCTCAGTGGCAAAGCGTTTGCCTAGCAAGCGCAACGTCCTGGGTTCGATCCCCAGTACCAAAAAAGAAAAGACAAAGTACCAGGACAAAGTTAGTAAGACCCCTATCTCAAAAACAAACAAACAATACCCAGAGGGACTTGAGGGTGTAGCTCAAGTGGTAGAGTGTTCACTTAACCAGTATGGACCATCAATCCCCAGTAAACAACATTCCCCAAGAAAACAGCAACAACCAATGAGATGTAGAATACTTCCAACACCATAGGTATCTCCCCTGCCCTTTCCAGTAGCTTCCTCCTTCTTTCAATCTTACTCTCCCTAATTTCTAGGAAGCACTTATCTGTTCACCATGTATATAATTATTTTAAGAATATATTATAGGGCTGGGAAGGTGGCTCAGTGGTAGAGCGCTTGCCTTGCATGCATGAGGCCCTCAGCACCCAGAAGCAGAAAGAAAAAGCTGAAAGTGGCGCTGTGGTTCAAGTGGTAGAGCGCTAGCCTTGAGCTGAAGAGCTGAGGGACAGCGCCCAGGCCCAGAGTTCAGGCCCACAACCAGACCCCAAGACAAAAAAAGAATATATTATAAAAATGTGTATATTATGTAAACTTAGCATTTCTCATTCAGGATAATCTTCTGAAGTTGTGTGTATTTCTAAGTCATTCCTTTTGTTACTAAATGGCATTTCATGCTACGAATGAACCACAGTTTCACCTTTCCTTTGTAGCAACTTTTCTTTATTATTACTCAGTTTGGATTATAAATAGTTCTGCACTGAAGTTTTTGTATGAATCTAAGTTTTCACTGAGGAGTACAATTGTTGGGCTCTATAATCATTGTATGTTTGGTTTTATTAATTTTTCCAAAAACAAGCTAACCTGTTTGGTTTTTTTCTGAATAGCTGCTATTTTTTCAGCAATGTACAAGGGATAGTTTCTTTTCATCTTTGCCAGCATTTAGTATTGACACTATTTTTTTCTTTTTACAGTTTTGATAGGAGTGTAGTAATATGCCATTTTGAACTTCATTTGTATTTCTTTTAAAAAAAAAGAAAAGCTGCCATATTTCTTATATAGTTATTCATCATCTTTGGTGAAAGTCTTTTCTTTTCTTCAACCAATGTTCAGTATGGTTTTGTTCACTGGTGAACTTTGTGATTTTTATGTATTCTAGTTACTACTGGGTAGGTATTTTGCAAATGTTTCTTCTATTTCATAGCTTGTTTTTCTACTCATTTAACAGGTCTTTTGCAGAGCCCAAGTTTTAACTTTGTTGAGATCTAATTTCTTCTTTTTTTTTTTTTTGCTTTTGATGTCAAGCCTCTGAACTCTGTCTAACTCTGAGGTATAAAAGGTATAAAAGCCTTTTTCTTTCCTACTTAAAAACATTCCCTTTTTTTTTTTTGACATTGTACATATAAGTCTATGATGATCTATTTGGTGCCAAATTTAAACATATGCAGTTCTGGAAAGATGACTTGAGAACCCTAAAAATGATGGGGAGCACATTTTGTTATATTCATCCAACATTAAAAGGGTTAACTGAACAGAGATTAACTGGTTTTGTTTTCATCGTCTACTGCAATCAGAAATTATTCCTACTCACAAATACTTAAGAAACTTTCTGTGATGTTAGTTTGCCATTCTTTCAGCATCTAAGCATTGACCTGAATCAAATATTGGGTCCTGCCTTTGAACAGAAAACCTGAAGGCTTCAACTTTTAGTATAATTGGCATGGAAATTAATTCACACAATCTGCACTTTATGTAAACTCTGCAAACTGAATGGACTCAATCTGCATCTCTATCGGTCTATCTTCTTCAATGGCCTAGAATGTTCTCCCACAGCTGAGCTTTGCAACTTCTCCGCAGAGATTTCTTTTTGTTCATTTATCTCACCTTTTCTTTCCTAATTCCACTGTGTCCCACAATTTCTGGCTTCCCCCTTTGATCTTTCGTAGCATATTGTATACACTATTTATTTAGTACTTTTTTAATGTTGAGCGCCAGCTGTATATCTTTTTTCTAAAGTATACATTCCTTCTGAGCTGAGTTAATTGTTATATTTCCTCAAATTCAAGGGCAAGCAGATACTCGGTATTTATGTGGATATTCATTATTAAAGTATAAAGAGAGAATAGACTAGTTTCCACATGAGTCATACAAATACTTCAATTTTAAAAACTGGAAATATTATAAAACATTTTTAGGACTGCAGTGACATCAAATCCAATGCTATTTATAGTGATTGGGAAAATTCAAGAACTTATTGCTCAGATTTCTGTAACATAATGCCATTGGGCTACTACCTTCCTAGTTCAAGTTTGAAAACATTTTAAGTTGAAAATATTTTACTGAATGAACAACTAACTATCTTACAAAAACTTTTGATTCTAATGTTTTCATTGTCAATAGAACTGTAATAGTTCATTAATCTATCATCAGTTCTTTTTCTGGGTTAGAAATTTATTACCATTATTAATGCTGACTTTCAGAAATATGAAACTAGAGTGGGAGATAAAGGGACTCAGCTCTCAGGAGGTCAGAAACAGAGGATTGCTATTGCCCGAGCCCTCATCAGACAACCTCAGATCCTATTGCTGGATGAAGCTACATCAGCCCTGGACACTGAAAGTGAAAAGGTCTGGCCTCCCACATTACATCTTTTCAAATTAGTATAATGGATTTTGTTTGTTATTCTCAACCACAAAATAAAGCAAATAGTGAACCTAGAAGAAAAAGCCCTTAAGGGACTATAACATTTTATTTCATCCCAAATTTTCTAAAATGAATGCCTATTTTCCAAATACAAAACAAGTATTCTTAAGATAAAAAACTTTTATGACTCACAATTCTGACATACTGACTAGAATAATGATAAACTGGAAAAATACTCAGAAGGGAGCTAAAGTGATGTGATTAGTTAGAAATTTTAAATATTTATGAATATTATTTACATTGTGGAAGTCTGTTTTTATTATAGCTGAAATGCATAGCAAAACTATTTGTAGATTCTAATGTCAGTAATATAGTAGATATATGCATGAAGACAGTTTCGAGATTAGAAATTACTAGTTGAATTTACTAGAGTGGTAACTTTTAAAAATTTCCTTAATGTTAAAATTTATGAATATAGCCTTTAGTATAAAACTTCTGTTGGCTTTATTAACAGGTTGTGCAGGAAGCCCTGGACAAAGCCAGAGAAGGCCGCACGTGCATTGTGATCGCTCACCGCCTGTCCACCATCCAGAACGCAGACCTAATTGTGGTGATCCAGAATGGCAAAGTCAAGGAGTATGGCACCCACCAACAGCTGCTGGCACAGAAAGGCATCTATTTTTCCATGGTCAATATTCAGACTGGCACACAGCACTTGTGAACCCTTGTTACAGTGTACCTTGAAATAAATTCAAATCATTTTACAACTTCCTGACCTGTAAAGTACATTCCTAGTTTAAGGTATATAAATATAGATTCATTTTATTCCACAAAAATTTAAAACATACAGTTTGGTACCTGATATTATAACATATGGAGCTTAAGAATTAGAAGTGATGCCTTTCTTCAGACCCATCAGTTATCAGTAACACCCTGAGAGAGGAGCAAAAGTACAAATATATACAGGTATAGGAGTAACAGAATTTACAGAGATAGGGAAAATTCTTATGGTCCTGAATAGCTGGTTGCTAATACAATTATTTGGTAACAAGTAAAAAGGAAAAATAAATTGTTCAACATCTAACATCTCCCTTTGTAAGTTTCTGAATTATTAAATTATGAAATAGAAGTTATGAAAACTTTTATTGACATGTATCTGGACATGTTAATAGGGTTAAGTGTGATATTACCATACATACATCTAGCACAAATGATCAGATCCAATAGTCCTTTCCCTCCCCTACACAACCCTTTCACAATCTTTAGTCATCAGAATTCTACTTTTTTAGCCTCCACATGGAAGTGAGAATGTATCTAAATTATTCTTCTGTTCCTGGCTAATGTCACTTAAAATAATGTTCTTCACTTTCATTCATTTTGCTGCAAATGACATGATTTCATTATTCATGGCTTTATTTTTTCTAGCAGTGCTAGGGGCTGAATTCAAGGTCTTCCAATGCAGGCAAGTGCTCTGAGATACTTCCCTAGGCTGATTGCATTTTTCTTTATAGCGAAACAGTACTCTATTGAATGTGTAACTATATATATGTGAGTGTGTGAGTGTGTGTGTGTGTGTGTATACATGTATATATGTGTGGGTATCTGTAGTGATACTACATTTTCTTTATCTTTCATCTGCTGATGGACATCTAAGCTGATAATAACTCAGCTGTTGTGAATAGTGCATTGATAAACATGGGAGGACAAGAATCTCTTTTGTATCTAGGTTTTGTTTCCTTTGGCTTACAAGAATCTCTTTTGTATCTAGGTTTTGTTTCCTTTGGCTTACACCTAGACGTAAGATATTTGGATCGCATGGCAGATCTGTTTTGGGGAATGTCTGTACTGTTCTCTAGAATTTCTTACTCATTTTAATTCCCATCAACAGTGTATGTAAGAGTTCTTTTCCATCATATCCTTAACAGCACTTGTGATTTTTGTATTGTTTTTTCAAATAGCCATTCTAGCTGGGATGAGGTAGGGAGTATCTCACTGTAGTTTTGATTTGCATTTCTTGTTTTTTTTAATAAAGTTTTTTATTGTGAAAATACTGTACAGAAGGGTTACAGTTATATGAGAAGGTAATGAGTACATTTCTTATCCAGCATTGTTACCTCCTCCTTTGTTTTTCCCCTACCATCCCTTCCCCCCCCACCTCCTCAGCTACCTGACTTTTTTATTGACTAATGATAATTAATAGTTTTTCATGTTTGTTGGCTGTATTTCTTCTTTTTAAAATGGCCATTATATGGACCATTTGCACGTTTTTATTTAGATTAATTTTTTTACATATTCTCTATACTAACCTTCTGTTGAATGAGCAGTTGGCAAATATCCTGATTCAGCCCACAGCATGATGTGATCTCATTTTGGAATTCTGTCTAGAAACTCATTACCAAGGCTGGTGCCTCAAAATGTTTCTCTTAGATTTTCCTTCAGTAGTTTATGAGAGTCAGACTTTACATTTAGTCCTTTGGTCCTTTGTGAGTTGAATTTTTTATAGGGTGAGGCAAAGGAGTCACAGTTCAAGCTTTTATATGTAGATACCCTATGTTCCCAGCTCCAAAAGCTGTCCTTTCTACAGTACAGGAGTGTGTGTGTGTGTGTGTGTGTGTGTGTGTGTCTTGAACAAAGGGCCTGGGCACAGTACAGGGGTGTGTGTGTGTGTGTGTGTGTGTGTGTGTGTGTGTCTTGAACAAAGGGCCTGGGCACCGTCCCAGATATTTTTGCTCAAAGGATAGGCACTTTGCATTCTTTTTAATTTCACTTAACTATTTTTCTGTATTCATTTGGACCTTGTTGATTTGTCTTAAATTGACTTTATTGGGATCTGTTGCTAGTTACATATTTATGTTGTTTTCCTCACTTCTGGTGCATCCGGCAAATGACAGATCATCTATTTTCTTAGTAAACAGCCTTCTCCTGAAGATGTGCCTTGGTCTATAAGTTTGTGTTGTAATACTGGCTTTATTTCTGGGTAGGTACCCAGAAATATGTCTCCCTATAGCTTCTTTGATTGTGATTCATGACTCTGGATGAATTGCAAACCATGATAGAGTTGGACAGATCTTCTGTCTCTACAGGCCATGAGAAAGTTGAGACACAAAGCAGTTGAGCAAGTGTGGTTCATACAACATTCACTCCTGGAAGTGGCACTGTAGCTCAGGTAGAGTTGAGTAGAGTGCTAGCCTTTAGCTGAAGAGCTGAGGGACAGCACTCAGGCCCAGAGTTCAAGGCCCATGACTGACAAAAAAAAAAAAAAATTCACTCCCACAATGGAGTGATAGTCTCTACTGGCAACTGGTGTTTCCTCAGATGCTATTGTTTCCATCTCTCTATCACTGGTTCTGACAGCCTTGGCAGTGGCAGGCCAAAAACATTGCTCCTCTAAGCAGTACAGTGGTGCAGTTTCAGAGGCTGTGTGGAAAGAGGTAGTAATGGGTAGCATTGCACCTTCTCTGTGGTGCTCAGCAGATCTGACAGCAATGCAATCTGACAGACAAGATGTTAAGGCACAGAAGAAACCGGAATAGGTGGGATGGCAAGAATAATTAATGGTGTTTCTGCCAGTGCCAGTGCACGCCCAGGAGTAAGATTATGCTCAGACCTAGGCAAAGTGAGTGAGTTTTTTTTTTCAGGCGGGAGGGATCTCCATGTCTAGGGACAAGATAAGGGCTGGATCTGAGGCTTTCCTCCACCTTTGACTCCTTCTCCTCTATGTAACACATACCATCAGGAGACAAGCAGGGCCACAGAGCTGTTCAAGGACCCTTCAACACAGCCCAGTGCAGAGAACAGCAGAGGGAACTGCCGCGTACCCTCTCCACCCTATCAGTACCCAGTGTCTAAGCTCAGCACAGCAGGGAGGGGAAGCACGAACTATGGGAGTGCCTCCCTGGGCCCTTGTCCTTGCCACAGTGCACAGTCTCAGATAAGAACTCGGGGAACAAAAAAAGAACTCAAACTCCCAGTTCTCCATTCCTCCCTGAGTCTTAACAGCATCCTCCAGAGGGTGCTGGAGTGTGATCACAGTCACTGAGCCAAGCTGGGGATCACAAGGTGGCCACCTCCCAAGCCAGTGCAGAGAATGCTTACAAGGGTCCCAGAGATGAGACTGTCCGAGGGCTATAGGCTTCTAGAGCAGTCCAACTTCCAATAATAGCTCATTTCTAAAAGTGCGTCCTTCCTGACTACAGCATTGAGGTGATGTGGGATCCTTTCCCAAAGCAAGTTGCTGAGCAGATTTCAGATGACTTATCTGAGTGGCCTGCAAGCCTGTGAGGATTGTGACACTTTCCAGTATCTAGAATTACCAGCATCTGCACTGATAAGAGTTTACTGTAAAGCCCAGGTGGCACATGCCAGGGTATTTTCTTTCATATTATGCTGTTGTCTCTTAATCTTACAAGGTTATTATCTCTCTTGCTGACTTCCATCGTCTCCTTCAAAAATAACTCTTCAAAATGCATCTACACACTTGATTCTTTGGTTTTTCTTTGTGTTTGGCACCTCTATTCACACATCTTGGATCTCTTTTGGTTTGTTTATTTAATGTATTCCCACGTTTACCATTCACACCCAAGGAAAAGTGAAGACGAGCTCCTCTTATACTACCCAAATTTGCAAGCACATATTTGCTTCAGAAAGCAAGAAAGAACCAGCTGAGTATTTTTAATATAACTAAAACTTAATGAATTCAAATATACATAATCTTAATTTGAAACACTGGCAATAGCAATGATAAAATCTATAGAAATTGTTTCCTTCACAATACCCTCATTTACTAAGGAAACTGGTCTATTTTTCTGCAACAAGGAAAAGGTGCATTTAGATGGAAAGCAAGAAGTACGTTGAAAAACCATTGGAAGCTATTCACAATGACAGGTGTTTATTTTCTCTGTAATTTCCCATTTCTTTCTCCAATTGCCTACAGCAGTATCAATTCACATTGCTGTAACAGGTCTTCCAGTTAGTCAACTATAAAACCTAGTTTTCTATCAAAAATTCAGATACTCCCTAAGAATTTTTCAAAAGTGACTATGTAAACAGGTGGGTAGAATTTCAGAACAGACCTCATACGGAGAAAGAGTACACCAGTACACGGAGTCCAAGTGAGCAGTACTTTACCTATTCCTATGTAATTATTCTCAGACCCGCCTAAGAATGATCATGAAAAAAACATCTGCCCTCTTACACTCTGACTTAGGGTCTAGACTAAGACCTGGGAATCTTTTTTTGGGGGGGTGGGGGGTTCCGGTCGTGGGGCCTGAACTCTGGGCCTGGGCGCTGTCCCTCAGCTCTTCAGCTTAAGGCTAGCGCTCTACCACTTGAGCCACAGCACCACTTCCGGCTTTTTTCTTTTTGCTTATGTGGTGCTGAGGAATTGAATCCAGGGCCTCAGGCATGCAAGGCAAGCACTCTACCACTGAGCCACCTTCCCAGCCCCTGGGAATCTTTTTTTTTTTTTTTTTTTAAAAGGAACCCAGGTGATTTTCAACTTCAGAACAATTGCTGAACCATATTAAGACAAAAATAAAAGTCTCTCTACAGGGATACAGCTTCCAAAATGCCCAACTTACTAGACATTATTTCAACCAACCAAATTATTGTAACTCTCCTGGCTATCTAGTCTACAAAACTTGAAAGCAAAAAATTCAGATTTCAATTTTTAGTCAATCTATTGTAACTGAGAAAGATGTATCAGAATGCACTAGGAGTCAGCTATTTATATTATCACCAAGAAATACTTTTCAAGACAGAACCTGGCCCAGCATAAAGGGTTTATGTGTCAGCTATAATAATAAAATCAATCCTTATCAAATCTAAAACATAAAATGTCCAAAGGTGTATTAAGCGTAGCATAATCTATATTAAAATGAGTGGTCATGCCTTCCATGCACATTCTTTCAATAGCAACTTTGTTCTTATCAAGAGGTGAGGTTCTCCCAGCTCTTGAATCTGGACTTCTATTTTGGGTCCTTTCTCAGGCAAGAGAATGCAGAAGTGAAATTACCTTTTGTAATTCAGAACACAGGCATAAGAAACTTGGTAGTTTTCATCCTTACCTCTCAGAACACTCTCACTACCAAGTACAGATACACAGTCCTGAGTAACCTCAACGATGTGAGACCACATAAGGAGACAGAGTCCTACTCATGAAGTCCCAGTGAGTGAGGCCCACCTAGACCTTCCAACTTCAGTCCATTTAAACAAATTTAGGCAAGGCCAACTGAAAAATATCTAACCAGGCACAATGAAATGGCAAATCATGAGAAAGTTGTAGATTCTAAGTTTTGACTGTTTATTAAACAATAATATTTAATTGAGACCATGACATACAAAGTAATCAGGAATCACTTTTTCAAACACAAAACAAGTATGTATGTATATATATGTATATATACACATGCACACGCACATATATGATTTGGGTTATTTTCTGAGAATACAGTCTACACAGTTGAACAACATGAAGGAAACAACTTTAAAGTCCTGAGAATCTGATTCAAAATTTAACCTTTTAAAAATCTCTAAAATTATTCTTAAGTGTCAGTGATATTGTTACACTCATAAAACTAATCACAAGAACGTAATAGCTTTTAGGATTTTTCATGTGTGTGTGTGATAGAGAGCAGGTGTAAATCCCTCTACCACAATCTAATTATCTGTCCATAAACCATTTTGGATAGCCATTGAATTATAGTGATTTCCCATCAAACCCAATAGGCTTATATTCATGTGATGAGTGTAGAAGGCACTGATGTCAGGGAAAACAGTATCCGGTTATGTACTCATACCCTTTGGCAATTAGGAAATGTTAAAGTGCTTGAAAGACAGACATAACAATGATAATGATCTTCAGCGAGAACCTGTAACCTATACAAGTACCAACAAAGTTATCTAGAAGTTAAAATTTTGCATTGTTAAAATTCATAGATTTGCATTGTTGAGGCTTATTTTGCACATTGCATAGTTCTCTATTTGCTATATCATAGTTTTGCATTGCTGCTGCACTGAGAAGCTTTAAAGTATTTCTACCTTCAGTGGCAGAAAAAAAAGTTAGAGAGCATTATTCTAATCATTTCTACACATGAGAAATTTAAGTCAACATCCCCTCTATCCAGGATCACCACCTTCTTTCAGTACTCAGTTCAATGATACAGCTGGTAAGTGCATAGACCCTAGAGATGAGCAGCGTTCATTAGGTGTATCATATCATGGAAAGAACGAAAAATCATCTGAACTAGCTTTTCTGCATCGGTCTCTGGACAAGATTTCCAGGCTGTACAAGCCACAACAAACCTGTGAAGTACAAATGAAAAAGTGAGGAGTGATGATACATTAGGTTCAAAATCTGGAGGGCGGCTAGAACTAGCCAGTACCTTTATTTTATCCAGCTGTTCAGACATGAACTGTGATTCCTGATGATGTTAGGTATATGTCACCTGACATAGCTAAAAGTGATGTAATATTTATACAAAATGCTAGGGAACCCCAACTCACTAGATGGCTAGAGCCTAAGAACAAAAGGGAACAAAAAATAACCCAAGAGGCTTCTGGAACAAGGTGTCTTACTGTGTTCAAAATAGAACAACAACAGCAAAATCTCCTTCCTTCCTAAAATGTGCTTTTGGAATAAATCAAAAATGAAATTCATGTTTTTAATATAATTTGAACTTTTTTAAAGGGTAGCAATTAAAACACAAAAGATAGTGACAGATAAGTGGTAGGATAAAACTATTTCTAAAAGAACCAGAGAGACGCTGACATGGTACAGTGATCTACCATGACAAGATTTTTGGATAGAGAATCCTGTATCTGAGGAGTGAGAAAATTTGCTGAAGTAAATGGGAGAAGACTGGCTTCTCTGAGCTCAAGGAAGAAATAGTTTTTCCTAACATTTTTGGTCACTATTTTTTGCTTTTTATGCATGTACAAAACATCACACTTGACTCTACCCTGACCTGCCTCCAAAATCTCCTCCCTTAATATCCTCCATCTGAGTAAATGCCCCCATCATAAACAGCAATCTACCAGCATACTGGTTCTAATTCCAAAATATATCTCAAACCTTCCACTTCCTTCCACCTTCTTTATCAACATTGTTCAAGTCATCCTCACCCTACTCTCTGCTGGGGTCTGCTGTGGGTTAATCCCCTCCTTTTAACTCATAAAGCACTTTCATCCCTACTGTCAGTGTTGAGATTTGGTGGGATCTTATATATAAGATCTTATATTCCACCAAATCTCAACACTGACAGTAGGGATGAAAAAATATATCCATATATTATATGTATTTATTATATATATATTATATATTATTGGAAAGATACTGTACTGAGGGATTACATTTATATAACTAAGGTAGTGAGTACATTTCCTATCAAGCATTGCTACCCCCTCCTTTGTTTTTCCTCTGCCATCCCTTTCCCTCCCTACATTCACATCTCCTCCCTCCCCCACCCAAGTTGTAAAGTTTTCAACATAGTGTCTTGTATATCTCATTGTTACAATTGGTCAAACTGTATCCTTGTTTCAGCATTTTGTCATTTCCCTTACCCTCCCCAAATTAGAAAAATGTATATACAAGATGCAGGACACTGGAAGCAATACAGTGACAACAGGGGTTATACCATGGGGGAAGAACATACAAAAGAAGCAAAAAAAATCACATAGTACATAAAAAACAACAGCGACAAAGAACAACTTTTTATGTTCCTATCTTGGAGTTCATTTCACTTAGCATCACCTTATATGGTCTTATGTACATAGCTTTTGACCTTTTCTGCTTTTCTGGTAAGATTATCCTAGACATATACTAGTTATAGCAAATAAGGGAAACCATGGGACCTATGTTTCTTTGGGTCTGGCTTACTTCACTTAATATAATTTTTTCCAAGTCTTTCCATTTCCTAACAAATGGGGCGGTGTCATTCTTTCTGGTGGAGGCACATAATAATATTTTACACACACACACACACACACACACACACACACACACACACACACACACATCACATCGCATTTTCTTGAGCCATTCCTCTGCTAAGGGGCATTGGGGCTGGTTCCTTTAAGAGATGTTTAGGATAAAAGGGATTAATGCCATTCTCAAATGTTTTCATAAAGTAAGACCACCCCTGGCATGTTCCTCATGTTTCCCCTAGCCTTTCCATTCCTGCCACAAGGTGAAGCCACATGAAGCCCTCAATAAATGTGGAATGACCTAGGACTTCACAGACTACCGAACTCGGAGCTAATTTAACCTCTTTCCTTTATAATTCACCAAGTTTCAGATGTTCCTTTATATCAACAAAATACAAAGAAAGACCCTTCCTAATTCTTTCAATTTATTTTTCTCCATGCTTCTACACTGTCTCTTCACTTTCTTGCTCAAGGATGGTGCTTTACCACTTAGGACACAGCTCCACTTCCAGCTTTTTGGTGTCTAATTGAAGATAAGAGTCTCACAGATGTTCTTGTCTGGGCTGGCTTCCAACTAACTGTAAGCCTCAGATCTCAAGCTAGTATACATAGCTACTATAACAGGAATTGGCCACCATCACCTGGCTTTCCAGGTCTTTCTTATCCCAGGACTGAATATTTATGTTCAACCAGTTATTCTGAAAACAATTGCTGTCTGCCTCATATTTACAAAGTTGAGGATATAACCAAACCTTGTTCTTATGGAATTTATTTTCTAGGAATGAAAAATATATATTATACCTGCAAATTTTATGTAAATTGTAAATCTACACACATAAACATATTAGTAAAGGAAAAGCAGCAAGTATGTGTAAGGGAGATAAAGTACTATTTTTGATAGCCACATGAGGCCTCTCAAATGAGATGACAATGAACATACATCTGTATGAAGAGGTGATAACTGGATATGTGTCAAAGAAGAGAACACTATGCAGAGGAAATTAACAGTGAATGCCTTGAGAAGGGAGCTTACTTGGAATAAGAAGGCCAGCGTGGCTACAGGAAATGAGTAGGTAAATTGTAGAACATAAAGACTAAGAGACTGAGAACTAGACTGCACAGATCTTATAAGACTTTGGATGTTACTCTAAATGAAATGGGAAGGTCATGGGAAATGAGCTATAGTTTGACAACAATGGGACTTCAGTGGTTAATAAGGAAGCACAGGTGGAGGCAAGGAACCTGATGAATAGATTGAAAGAAAGAAGATGGTGCCTTGGGTGGTAGCACTGGACTTGGTAAGTAAGCAGCAGTCAGATTCAACAGCTGTTTTCTTGTTTAACCTTATTAATTCACTTATCTTTAACATCTCAGTTTTATTCTTCAGAGATATCCCTAACCACATTGAATGAAGCCCTGCTTCACCTAGCAGTTGACCTCTATTAGCACAATTTGCTTATTTCTCACACGGCACTGTTTAAAGTTGCATTTGCTTACTTGTTTGCTTTTGATTATCTCTAAGTAGAAAATAAAAAATATAAAAAAGAATATCTTGTCTGTTTTTTGTTCTTAGTACCCAAAACAATATCTGGCACATTGTAAGACCCACTAAATAGTTCCTGAAAGAGCAAACAGAAGTTTTACTCTAGGGATATTAAAAGTAGAGTTTTCTAACATCTTTTCTGTTAAATTCACTGGTTTCTTGTACAAGTTTAAGTGTAAATTTTATCTACACATAATTTTTGTAACATTATATATACATATATGTATATATGTGTATATATGTATATACATATATGTGTATATATGTATATATGTGCACATATATACATATATGTATATGCTATATATATATATATATATTGCTTGTTTGGAAAAATCTTAGCTACTTGAATTAAACAGATCTTCCAAATGTTACCACTTTTATTGGATATGAGCTCATGGAGACTAATATTAATATAATATACTACAATATAATATAGTATGTTGTAGTATACTATTAACTACATATAACTACTGATAACATGAACTATGACTAGATCTAATTGAGATATGCTCTAAATGTGAAAAACATACTGAAATTTCAAGCTTTCACATAAAAAAAGAGAATGCAAGTATTTTTACCAATCAATTTTAATGTTGATTACATGTTTAAGTACTATTATTCCTTTTACATATGTTGTGTTAAATAAAACAAATTAAAATTTTTAACGAGTAGAAGCTGGGCACTGGCCTATAATCCTATCTACTTAGGAGGCTGAGATCTGAGGATCATGGTTCCAAGCCAGCCCAGGCAGAAAAGCCCATGAGACTCTTACCTCCAATAAACTACCAAAAAAAAAAAAAAAAGCTGGAAGGGACACCCCGGCTCAAGTGGTAAAGCGCTAGCCTTGAGCACAAAGAGGGTTAGACACAGTGCCCAAGGCCCTAAGGACCGGCAAAAGCCCTAGAACTGGTAAAAAAAAAAGGATGAGTTTTCTAGAAATCAGAGAGCCAAAGTATATGATGTGGCCTGAACTCATATCACTGTATAGAACACAAAATTATCATGGGACATACTGGAATAAGCTTACTAATGCTCTATGAATGACTTAGTTCTGACTCTTCATTTGAAAAAACTAAGATCTATCTCCAGTCTTTAACATTTAGCTTTAATGGGTGTACTGAGGTGTGCCAGGTGAGCACCATGGGTTCATAATCCAAGGGTTCAGAGGCCATCAGTAATAAGTACTGCCTGTAAAATACTCAACATGGAACCTGATGATAACATTTTGAAAAGGTGCCGAATGTAAAATCTTTAAGGGGAAAGTATAAAAACAACACACAAGCAACTAAAATATGTGCCTCATACTACCATTTCAGCTCTCTGTGCTGCAGCTGAATTACCTCCAAGCCCACTGCTGTCTTCAGCCTGCAGGTGCAGAGCACCCAGACATGGCAGGCCAAGTATATGTACAAATTTTAACTGAACTTGCTGTAAAATAGCTTGTACATGACAAACATGATAAAGAAGGCACTGATTTGGAGGATGAGGACATGATCACTGAAGTAACTTGAAACAACAATAACAAAATCCCTTAAAAAAAAAACTGGTCTAAGTATCTCAAAAGCGGGATTGAGATATAGAAATATACAAGAAATGCCGATGTGGTGAAAAAATAGTTACTGATGCAACAAGCAGCAAATGACTACATAATCAGAATCATACCATAAGAAAAATATTCAAATAACAAATGGGATATTTTACCTGTCATCTCTGATGTGGTAGAAAAATCCATATCCATTGTGTACCATGGGAACCACCACTCCTTGGACTCGTAGATAACCAACCAGACTCGTTGAGAGAACAAAATTTCCACCTCCTCCACTGTGTGGCACCAAGAAAAGATGTTTGATTAGGCCTAAAGAGTCTTGTAGTATTTCTCTTCTTTATTTTTATTTTTGGTTGGTTGTGGGACTTGAACTCAGGGCCTGAGCACTGGGCTTTCTTGCTCAAGGCTAGTATTCTACCACTTTGAGTCACAGCCCCACTTCTGGTTTTATGGTGGTTAATCATAGCTAAGAGTCTCACAAACTTTCTTGCCTGGATTGGCTTCAAAGCACAATTGTCAGATCTCAGCCTCCTGAGTAGCTAGGATCATAGGAATGAGCCACCGGTGTTTGGCTCCTCTTAAGTTTTTAAAAAAGTTTTTCTTCACATGTCAGTTTATGAGTAAAATGCATCTTTTAACATTCAGAAAAACAGATCCTGATTGTTATAAATTACAAAATGTTACACTACTGCTACCTTCTAGAGAAAAGTGGATCCTTAAAAAGTTCTGGAACAGGGAGGCCTTCCTCTTTGGCTATGAGAAGAAGCCCTAAAAGGTGCCGGTCAAATCCTGCAGTGAAACCACAAATCTAAAGTTAGAAAACAATCTTCAATTCAAAAGAGTTTTTAAAAGTCATAATAATTCCAACACAAGTACCTTTTCCAGCTGAGCAATCTTTCATCATTTTATCATGCTTTGCAAATGCTTTTAACATGCTCTGTCGTTGCTCAACAAGCTGTGTTAAAAAAAAAAAAGAAAAGAAAAAACAGGATGAGATACTATCAATCAAGAAATCAAGTTTTCAAAACAACTAATATAAAACCAAATTAAACAAAAAAAACTCCTGAATTTGTTGAAATCAGAATTTTGGTAATCTGGAAGTGAAACAGTTTCTAGGTAGAACTAAAGCTCAGGCTTCAGTTTTCCCTAATAGCTCCATTGCCAGGCAGGAACCAGTGGCTCACACCTGTAATCCTAGCTAATCAGGAGGCGGAGATCAAAGGATCACTGTTTGAAGCCAACCTGGGCAGGGAAGCCCATGAAACTCTTATCTCCAATTAACCACAAGAAAACCAACAAGTGGCACTGTAGCTCAAAGTAGTACAGCACTAGCATTGAGTAAAAGAGCTCAGGAATAGCACCCAGGCCCATAGTTCAAGCCCTACCACAACTGACAAAAAAAAAAAAGTTCCATTGCCTTTTCTTCATATTAGCCCTGTTTTTTTTAATTACTTCTCTCCTGGGATAGGGAAATAGGAACTTGTAAGTGACATTAATAAATACAGAAACAGTAACTATTGTGATTTGAAAGTGAAAGCATAACTAAAACATGACAATCAAGAATTTCTACGAAAATAAACTAATACACACATATATAATGTTTACCAAAACTAAAAAAATAAAAGGAGAAATACACTATTTTCTAATTACCTAACAACATACATCACATACATACCTTTTCTGGTTCTAGGTATCTGAGACAAGACTAGAATCTGTCATGTCAAAACATTCTAGCACATGAGAATAAGTTTCCCTTCAAAGGCATGGTGGGAGAATTCTGGCAGCATTTTACTGAAATATTCACAGTGAAGATACTTGCTTAGAAAATGGCATACGTTAGGCCTCTCTTCTGGTCCACATTTCTTAGTTTTTTCTCAGTGCACATCTTACTGGCAAATGCACAGATGCTTTGAACATTTCAGAGAAAAATGCTTTTAAGTAATTTTAATGACCCAGGGGAACTGAAGCAAAGAAGTTAATTATCTAAGGGTCTTCATTCCTCTAGGATAATTAAGCAAATCCTACCAATCCTGCCAATCCTTTCCCAATACTCACACTGGCAGAAGGGTCCTGCATGGACTGACACCAGTTGACGGCCTCTACAGTGCATGACCTCACCGTCTCTGTGCGGCCATGATAAAAGAACCTTGTCATGGCTGTTTCATAGCAGCAACCAGGCCTATAAAAACAACATGCCAGGTGCATCATAAATAAGAAAATGCTTTAATATTATGAAAATACAGGTATTTAATAAAGTTAACTTTGCTCAGAAACTAAGCCGTGCAATTCAAACTACAGTTAAGACTTGTAAAAAAAAAAAAAGCTATTTTCAAAACCATCTAATAATATGGACTATTTCAAACACCATTAGGTTATATATTATGAAGTGTGTGGTAGTCAGTCTCCAAGATAACCATGAATAAGCCACATTTCTTGCTATTTATGCTCCGGTACACGCTTAGTATAGACTAGATTGAGTGACTTGCTTCTAAGGGAAAGAATATAGAGACAAAGTGATGAAATATCATGTTTGAAATCAGGCTCAAAAAGAGCTGTGTTCCTGCTACTGCCTTGCTCTAATGAAAGCCAGTGCTATGCTGGGAACTACCCTGTGGAGAGGCCCAGGTGACAACCTGTGCATGAACTTGGACATAGATCCTGCCTAAGAGAGCTTGCAGATGAAAACACTGCCCTGGCCAACATTCTGACTACATACCATGAGACGAATACCCAGCTAAACTGCACTCAGATCACTGATCTGTAGAAAATGTTCATAACAAGTATTACAGTCTAAGCCACTCAGTTTTAGGGTGATTTGTCATCCAGAAATAGATTATACAGAGGTCGAGGCCTTTGCTTTTTCATATAGAACACAGATGAACAAAATTAAGTTCCCCAGAGGGATTTCTGTTTTCTCAGCTGATAAGTGACACATAATTTTAGATACAAAGTGCTCTCAGTTTCCCAGTGGTTAAATCATGACGTGACGTAGAGTGAGGCTGAATGTTCTGAGTGAAGCACTAGGAAGCTCACATATTGCTGAGCCTCACTGGTTTAATATCTCTACGTCCAATGTCCTCTCCAAGTGTGAAGAAAGCATTAATAAAAATTTTGAACAGCGCTAAAGTAACGTTCTTCTTAAAAACATAAAACACAACAAACACTCAGACTAGCAGGGCAGACAGTCTCAGCTACTGGGAAGGCTAAGGCTGGAGGACTGCTTGAGCCCAGGATTTTAAGACTACCCTTAGCTTGGGCAAGACCTTGTCTCAAAATACAGAAAGAAAGAAAATTAAAACTAAAATTAAAAGCAGTAAAAGTGAATGATAAAGCATCATCACTGTGTAAATAATGAATCTGGGCAACAACCATTAATGATTCCTCAAAGCGCTTAGAGAAGAAGCTGAGCCTGGCCCATCTGCATTCTAGCACTCACTGAAGCTGAGGCAGGAGCATCAGGATTACTGTAGTGTAGGAGTTCACAACCAACCTATATAACATAATGAGATCCTTCCCCAAATGAAATGAAAAATATAAAATAATGAATAAGAAGATCAAAAACAATGTAATGAAAATGCAGGGAGAAAAATTTATAATGGATGCTAGCTGATAATTATGAAACATAAAACATCAGCCATTTATTTATTGTCATAAAAATAACAAAAGAAAGAACTGATTCTTTTCTCTTTTTTTGGCAGTCATGGGGCCTAAACTCAGGGCCTGGGTGCTATATCTGAGCTTTTATGCTCAAGGATAGCACTCTATCAATTTGAGCCACAGCTATACTTAGGGTTCTCTGCTGGCTAATTGGAGATAAAAGTCTCACGGGGGACACTTTCATACCTGGGCTGGCTTTGAACTGTGATCCTCAGATCTCAGCCTCCTGAGTAGCTAGGATTACAGGCATAAGCCACCAGTGCTCAGCTGACTCTGATTCTTAATTCTCTAACTATTTGTTTACAGAAAATACAAAGAGGACTGTGGAGATAGTCAGGAAATCTCTACAGCATGAATGACCTAGTTTCTCCATCAAACAAAATACTAAAGTAAGGGAAAGGGTTATTAAAGTGATGGAGTGGGTGAGAGACTTAGGATACATACTAATTAAATACAACCAGTGAAACTTACAATGGATACTATGTGAAATTTCTCAAGGTATCTATGCTAGGCAAAATAATCCTACTGGCAAGAAGAACAGGAAAAAAAATGGGTTGAAAGCTTTTCAGAACTGTCAGGAAGTCAGGACTTGAAGACTAAGATCTGAAGAGAACAAACCTTGAAGTGAGATAACTTATGTAATGCTAGTTCCCCTGCCACAGGAATCTGATGCTTCATAAAATGTATGAGCAGAAAGTTTGCATACTAAACAGAAATTTACTGATGAGTGACAAAGAAACCGAACAGCATTTTCAATAGTTTTATTAGGCTTGTGAAACCACACTGAAGTTTGAGGCTAACAAGGAAGCCAGGATGTGAGAAGTCAAGATCTCAACTCAAAAGGCAAATCCAGAAATCTGAGGCTAATAGCTTGTCTCTCTTCTCTTGAGGTATTTTCTTATTGATAAGTAGTACAGGCTAAAAGGTGAAGAAACCAAGGAGAAAGAGGCTGCTTAGAAGCACAACAGATAACTGAAGCAGTCAGTAGCAGTTCAAAGGAGATAGAAATCAAGAATTTGGGCACGTGCCAATGGATCACATTTGTAATTCTAGCTACTCCAGAGGCTGGAATCCAGAGGATCATGGTTTGAAGGTACTCGAGCAGAAAAGTGTGTGAATTCAAATCTCCAAAAAGCACGCTGACTTATTAATATGTTAATTTTCATGTAGCACTATTCATGACAGTTAAAAAGAACAGGAACAGGCCTGGGCATGTTGGCTCATGCCTATCTTCTCAGCACAAAGGATGTGTTTTCAATTTGTTTAAAGAACATGTACCATAATGTACATTTTTTAACATTGTCAAAATGGTTGGTCATATGTGGTGATGCGTATCTGTAGCAACTGCTACTCAGAGGTGGATCTGGGGAAGATGGCAGATCAAGGGCAGCCTGGGAAAAAAAAGTTGAAATTCTTATCTCAATCAACCAGCTGGGCATGGTGGCATGCATTTGCAATCTAAGATAAATGGGGAGCAAAGGAAGGAAAATATGTTCTGAAGTAAACCCTGGGAAAAAAAAACCCTATCTAAAACCTGATTGAAACAAACAAGACCCAGCGTGTATGATTATGTGGTAGACTACCTGTGTAGCAAGTGTGAGACCTTGAGTGAAAATCCCAATGCCACCAAAAAAGTAATTAAAACATCAAATTTTATGTTATACAGAGTTTATCACAATAAAACAAAAGATTATGTAAATATATTGAAAATGCACTGTAGAGTGTATAACACCTGTAGAAGTAAAATGTCTGACAACATGAAGACTGGTTGAAGGAAATTAGAAACATTTAAGTTTCTTACATTATATTTGAAGTGGAAATACATAAAAATAATGATAAGTTAAAGGTACATTTTCTAAACCCTAATATAATTTTTTTAATTAAAAAAAATCCAGGTGTCAGTGACTCATGCCTGTAATCCTAACTACTCAAGAAACTGAGATCTAAGGATCATGGTTTAAAGCCAGCTTAAGCAGGAAAGTCTGTGAGACTTTTTAACTCCACTAAAGTATCAAAAACAGCTAGAAGTAGAACTGTGGCTCTAGTGGTAGAGTGCTAGCCTTGAGCAAAAGAAGCTTCAGGACATCACCCAAGCCCTGAGTTCAAGCTGAGTTCAAACAGGACTGGCACATTTAAAAAAAAAAAAGAAAAAGAAAGAAAGAGCTCAAAGTGAATAAAATAAAACAAAACCCACTTTAATATCAAAGGAAGATTAAAAAATAGATTATGAGAAAATAGTAATATGGTGGCTTAAACCCACCTTTATTGGTAATTATAATACATGTAAATGTCTAACTATCCCACCCAGATCTTCTCAGACTGTACAAAAGATCAAAAGGATCCACTTCTGCCTAGAATGAAGAAAGGTACAATAAGCTTCTCTTTTCCAAAAATGGGTGAAGACTGGACAATCAATAAAATCATAGCTTTTTATGAACCTATAAACAAGTTGCAAGAAAACCAAACAATCTGAATTACACTGACTGGTAAGCCATTCTCTTATAAAAAAAAAAATTTTAAGATACCATGGGGTCCAGGTACCAGTGGTTCATGCCTACAATCTTAACTACTCAGGAAGCTGACATCTGATTTGAAGCCAGACAGGGTAGTTAAGTCCAAAGTCCCAGAGACAAGATCTTATCTCCAAATAATAAGCAAAACAGCCAGAAGTGCAGCTGTGGCTCAAGTTGTGAAATGGAACTCAGGGAAAGTGCTTAGGCAGAGTTCAAGCCCCCTGAGAGAATACCAAGTAAATACTGTGGTAATTTTTAAGAGGCAAATCGATGAAACTGTTGCAACTGGACTCTAACATACTACTGACGGAAGCACAAAGAAAAAAATACTGCTGACTGGAGCACTAGGGGAAAAAAGTGAGCAAGAAGGAAGCAACAATGCTTGATAAGAAATGTACTCATTACCTTGCCCACATAATTGGCAACCCTCTGTACGATATTTTCACAATAAAAAAAAAGCGAGCAAGAATACTAGGGGTTTGGATGGAATTGCTATGAGAGATACACATATACCCTAGGACCAGAACATTACAAAAGTGGGAAATGAATGGGCCTCACCGTCCATGGAGCCTGTAATAGGCTAGCTGAAGTGCCAGCTGAATAAATGTATCAGGGTGAAGCATCTTCTTCTTGGTTAACCTTTTGCCAAAAGATGTGAAGGCATATGCTGCAATTTGTAGATCAGATGCCTGATAAACAGGATAGGAACAGTGAAAAAAATCACCCCAGAACATCCCAAAGAAATGGAAATAGTATTTGAATTAAAGAAACTGTCGGACGGCATTAAAAATATTAAAGCCATTCCTAGTAAAATGTCTTGTGCTATACTACCATGATTGAGTAATAGCTACATTCTTCCATGTGGTCAGTAAAAAAAGCATTACTATTGAAGAGAAAAGGGGAAAATCTACCTCTTTGAAATACTGGGCTTTTGCTTGGCTGATGTCAGTTAGTATTTTCTCATCCACAGTGAACACAAGCTCCTCTGGAAGTGGTATATCCCGTTCTTTCGCTACACCCTAAAAATAGAGAGGATTTAAAACCTTGTAAGTATAAAAATATTATGGGGGAAAAAAGGATGAAATATTTGTTGCTGACATACCTTCCATCTTCCTTCAGTCTCTAAAATTTTCTCATCCACATAGTAAGCGATGTGCACCATAACCATTGCATCAAAAGGGGCGTGCTAAAATGAAAGCCCATGATATATTGAGTACTTGTGTCAAAACTTGAGCCACTATTTTCTTTGAACTTCTTTAGGTAAAGTAGGCCACTACGTGAGTATAGAAAGGATAACCATTCTGTGTATATATCTACAAGAATGACTAGATGTGGCAGAAATAATTCTCAAAATTTAAGGAAAGTGGGGATGATGGGCTCTGATACAAGGTGTGATAGGTTTGGTGGTTTTATTTGTCCTTAATTTTTCCATGTTCCTTTGGTGACAGTGACATCAGATGGTTCCTTCTAGGTTATTATCTTCACTTTACATTAAACTATTATCATTGACAAACTGAATATGACACTGCTAACTTTGGAGGGAAAGAAGGAAAAAAGGAAATTAACTGTTTTAACTGTAACCCAACACTAAGGCTCTGCTGGTCTGTATAACAGACCAATGGAGCTTACAAGTACACTTGGCTGTTACCAGTGGGTAGTAGCCACACACAGGGCAGGCTCTTGAGGGAAGGAAGTATGTATAAGATGAACAAGCAGTTCATCCATCTGTAAACAACAAGCACACATAACAAAAATAGGAGGTCACTGGCAAACCTATTTTTTTCTATCAAATCTCGTTTTATGATTTCACAAAGATTTTCATATATTACCATGTGTATTGTTTTATTTAAGACAGCACTATCCATTTCTATTTTATTGGAACCCGTAAGAAAAAGCAAGAAGGATGTTAGTATCTTTGTTGTGGACAGGCCCAAGAGACATTAAGGGAAGAATGCAGACACAAATAACTACCTTACACAGGATCCTTTCTGGGACTGGAGAGAGAACAAATCAGACTAAGAAAAGCAAGGTGAATCAAATAGGGAGTAGAAAAGAAGAAAATTGAGGCAATTAGTGAAAAATCTTGTCAACAGTAGATTTGAAGGAAAAGTAAAAACAAAAACAAAAATTCAAAATGTTCTAGTACAAGCTGGGTGCTGGTAGCTCATGCCTATAATCCCAGCTACTCAGGAGGCTGAGATCTGAGTATCACAGTTCAAACCAGCCCTGGCAGGAAAGTCCATGAGCCTCTTATCTCCAATTAAGCACCAGAAAACTGGAAGTGGCACTGTGGTTCAAAGTGGTAGAGCACTAGCCTTGAGCTGAAACACTCAGAACAGTGCCCAGGCCCAGAGGTCAAGCCCCACAACTGACAAAAAAAAAGTTCTAATACAACCTTTTACTGTCACTCCTAGGAACCACTGTAACTTTTAACACCTTCTTACCTACCAGTTCACCTACTTGTGAAATAACAGCTACTTTATTACTCTCCTGGCAACTAACAATCCCCTGGGTAATGGGTTGAATGAGGCTGTTTCTTCTGTCCTCTAAGTTCCAAGGTTCTACATATGATAGAGACCAGACAAATGAGAGCATCTGATGTCCAGGAACAAGTCAATCAGAACCAGTAAGAATTATTTCCGTACCTTTTTTAGAACCCTTAGAAAAAAAGAAGCTGGCTATTTCCAGAGGGACTGATATTCTAGGAGAGGTATGAAGATAAGAAAATTGTAGTTTCAACAATCACATTGGGTATTCTATCAAAACAAAGCCAAAGAATGTCAAAAAATGGGGAAAGAGCGAATACTAATTTGGAACCTAGAAAACAGCTTCAAGTATACACCTACACCAACAAGTATCTTCTCAATCTAATGCCAGACTAAATTTCTATCACTTAAATGGAATATCTAATGATAAGTAAAACCACTGAACAGGGCTGGGCTGTGGCTCAGAGGCAGAGGGCGTGGGTAACGCACAGGAGGCAGAGTGCAATGTCGGCACTAAGGAAACAAAACCAAACAAATAGTAACAGAGTAAAATATTACATCCCTTTTCTCCCCCTTTCTTTGTTTAGAGTGCCTAAATGGAAGACAGGACTAGCTAAAATGATGGAAACAAAAGAGAGATTTTTAAAAAGTTGTTTTATATTTCATGAAGGTCAAAAGGGATAGCAATTCCCTTCCTTTCCCCCATTCCTTCAATATTCATAGGCTAGTGTCCCAAAGACTGCGTGTCACTTTAGGAAAATTGTTACCTAGCTACTAGGAAAAGCTGTAAACCTAGAAGTATATCTGTATACATTTCCCTATGCATAGGGAATATATACACAGTGGCATAAAACATTTTTTAAAATACAGATAACAGGTTCTTAGCAATTATAATACATAAAAATTACATGAAAATTAACTTGGCCTATGCTTATTCACTGAAAATTCATAATTAAACTAATTATAATATCATCAAACAAAAGTGTTTATGCTATAGCACAGTACAGCATACATATTTGTTGTTTACTGCTATTAAGTTAAACTAAAAGATGAAAAAGAATCTATCACTGATGGCAGTTATAGAAATTTAAACCACATATGTAATTTAAATTTTTCTATGGATAATTTTAATTGTGAATATAAAGTGATATACAGAGGGGTTACAGCTATATAAGTCAGGTAATGAGTACATTTCTTTTTGCACCATGTCACCCCTTCCCCAGTTTTTCCCTCCTATCTTCATATAGATACTTTTAAGCTTTTTTTTCTCCTGCTAGTTCAGTGCATTGTACCTCTCACTCAGCTTACTTGCTCACACTCATAGCCAGCACTCTATCACTGAAGCCAGGTCTCTAAGCCCAACTGGTTAACTGGAGATGGAACTTCTCAGATTTCTGCCTGCACTGGCATCAAGCCTTGATCCTCTGATCTCAGGCGCCTGAGTAGCAAGGATTACAGGCAAAAGTTACCTTAAGCTAAGTAGAATGATAGTTACATGAATAAAGGGAAAGTTTTTTAAAAATCATAGTTTACTTACATCACAATTAGACCCAAATACTCCATTAGTAAAGGAAATCAGGTTATAGGATTTGTCACCCCAGCGTACTGTTGGATCTCCAATGAGAAGTCTTTCAAGTACCTAAAATACATTTTAGTTTTCCAAATTAAAAGGGACTTTCACAATGCTTTGTAAGTATTAAACATTAAAGTTAAACACATGTACTCATTTCACTTCCTTTCAGGTCAACCAAATTTAATAAAGTAATATAGTAATACTCGAGATAAAAAATTCTGGCCTTGATTTCAGCGATTTCTCAAGTTTCAAGAAAATCCAACCAAGAAATAGAATTTTCATGCATTGTTTATGGATGTACAGAACACACAGTTGAAAATAGCAGACTTTCTAGCTTAGATAAAAAAGAAGTCTTGTTATGCTTAGTCACTAAAAAACGTGTCTTAACAATTCATAACCCACTAAACTTTACCCTTTAGACTGCAGATTTTGGCCCATTGTTATGAAATTAAGGTACTGAATCAAAATCAACATTCTTTACAAATTATAAAATGGAATGGAAATAATAGAGTATATCATAGACAGAAAAAGTAGTTACTTGGTTTTTTATTGCTGTTTTGTGCCAGTCCTGGGGCTTGGCTCAGTACCTGGGAACTATCCCTGAAATCTTTTGCTCGAAGATAGCACTCTACCACTTGAGCCACAGTTCTACTTCCAATTTTTGGTGATTAACTGAAGATAAGAATCTCATGGAATTTCCTGTATAATTATTGTTTTTTGAAACTTCTATTATATGTGTGAATAAGCATGCTTATGTAAGTATACATAGTGGGCTGTGAATTAATGGTATTTGGAAGTATAAACTGTGGTGGAAAAGGATGAATAAATTGGGAATGTGGCTTAGTGGTAGAATGCTTGCCTAGCATGCATGAAGCCCTGGGTTTGATTCCTCAGTACTACATAAACAGAAAAAGCCAGAAGTGGTGCTGTGGCTCAATTGGTGAAGTGCTACCTTGAGCAACAGAAGTTCAGAGACAGTGCCCAGGCCCCAAGTTCAAGCCAGAGGATTGGCCAAAAAAACAAAAAAAAAAAAAAACCATTGCATTGAAATATGTTCTTCCTTAAGAACTAGTGTGGTAATACACTCCCCCCAACCGCTCCTTTCTTCCCTCTCTCTTCCCCCCCACACACATACACACACAAAACCACTAAAAATGTTGCTGTCTAGCTGCAAATTTATTTATTTATTTAGTACTGTTACTGAATCTTGAACTTAGTCTCTTGCTCTTGTTTGGCTTTTTAACTCACATCTATCCTATACCACTTGAGCCACACGTCCACTTTTGGCTCTTTTTAGGTTAACTAGCGTTGAGAATCTCTCCAGTTTGCCTTGTGGCCTTGGGATGATATCTTTCATTCTCAGATCTCTGCCTTCGAAGTAGCTAGGATTACAGGTGTTAGTCACTGGTGTCTGGAGCTACAAAATTTTTAATCCTAAATTATTTGTTCTATCAACATTTTATATTAATGACTATATTGTGAAATAGTTTTAGTGTTTTTAGAAAATGATGAGCTTTCTAATACAATGATTACCTTTTATTTCTCAGGAAATGAAAACAGTACTTTGGGGTAGAAAGAGGGAACATCATATACCCTTAAACTCACTGAAGTCAATGTGTTCGGTAAACCAATAACAAATAAATTACTTACAAGGGTAATATAATTCTTGGGACAAATCCTCTCAACTAGTCAAGACAGAGTAGTGTCGGTTATAAGTAGGTTCTTATGTCACTCTGGGAGATTAATTTACCCCAGTGACATGTGTAAATAGTCTATGAATGTAGTGAGTGGAAAGAGTGGGGGGCCCAGACATGTGATAATGCAAACCACCACCATACTTCTCTAAGTGAGGTTCAAAACAGATCTAAATAGCTTTAAACCATGTGTCAAAAATTTACAATGCACTATGTAAGTATAAGATTTGCCACATGCATATTTCATAGCTGAGAAAAATTCTAAGAGCCTGATAATAAAAAGAGAAAAAACAATTATCTCACATTCGTTTACATCCTCCAGAAAAGGAGGCAACAGAAAAAGTTACCTGAGAATAATCTTCCGGTGTAACATAAGGACTACCATCCTCTATGGAATATACCAATAAACTGCTCTGAATCTTTTCTAACAAAGTCAAGTTTTCTGGATCAAGACTAATCAGATACTCTCGTGCCTAAAGAGCAAGGAGATAATATAATTAAATATTGTATCTTAAATACAGTTATCCACAAAGTAATAAAGAGTCAGAGATCAAGTTTATTAAGAATAACATAGTGCTAAAGCCTGAGCCATCATGGTAGTACTGTGTAAACCATCCTGTACTATGAAGGGGAGGGTGGCTGTGGCACTGGGTCATTGGGGGTCATAAATCATGGTGGGGGGGCACTGAGTTTGACTTGAACCCAAAGAGTGAGCCATACCCCTGTATTTGGGCTGCTGGGAAGAGGGAGTGCCAGGTCTCAGCTCAGTGAAGCCTGCAGTAGCAGTGTTCTACAGGCTGATATATCATCTAGAAATGACCCACACCTTCCATGCCAGTCAGAAACTACCAGGACATCACTGGAATTGAGAAGGCTTCTCGTTTTTAGAAATGGCCAACTTGAAAGCAAGGTAAAAGTCAAGCAAGAACAGCTGATGAAACAGGGTCATGGCAAACCCAGAGGATACCAGACACCTAGAGGCTCAAGTTGTTGCTTCAACCCTCAATACCTGCAATTATGAAGAACACATTCAAAAATATAGAAAGGACAAAGCCCACAAATGCTCTCTTCTGATAAACATGGGCCAGAGGAAGAAGATGCTTCATAAGACCAAATATGATGTCTTTGAGAAGATATGCAGGGAGTGATGGGTTCAGTACACCTTTCCCCTTCTACAGGACAGAAAGCCCACTGCTGATTCGTGACCAAGAAGGCTCTGTGCATCTGGGTTTTCCAGCAGCAACAAAAGCTTAAGGAGCAAGCAAGCCAGCAAGAAAGGAAGAACATAAATATTACCTTAGCCCATCTATTACCTTAGCCCATCGAGTTCGCTCCTCAGTAGTTAATGCTGCTACTCCAGGACCATTGGGTTCACTATGGCACTTCTTATAGATATACGTCAGTTGTCTTATGGAAGATCAAAGAGGGTTCAAAAGGAGCACAGGACCACAGAGGTCTTCAACAGGTCATGATACTGATTAATACTTAAGTTTATGACGTATTATCCCAAGAAATACATTGCAACATCAATAGAATGCGGTATATCCAAATAACTACTCAGCTATAACCAAGGAATATTCATGCTACAACACAAATGAACCTTGTAAACATACTAAATGACACATTAAGTAACAGTAATTTACAGAGATGAGAGAAACCGGAGAGAGGAGAAGCATGAGAAGAGAGAATGACAAAAAGACAATAACTAATCTTTGGAAGCTCTGGATTTGAAAACAAAAATAAATTATTTCCATACATTTTAATCAACATTACAGAAATATACAAGCTACACAAAGACCCTAAGGGAGTTTATTATTGTGGTCTGCAGAGGGGAAAGGAAAAAGGAAATTAGGAAACCACTGACCCTGCAGTGATGTAGAAAAGGGACAAAGATCAATCTGCCAAGCACACAAGACAAGAGAGAGCATTCCAAATAGAAAGCATCAGTATGATCAAAAGTCAGAGATAATCTGACATTGGGAAGAGACTGCAAGTAAAGAGGCAGGAGTAGAGCATGCACAAGAAGCCAGGAATATAGGAAGGAAAGAAACATAGGGTAAGAAGTGGGTCTAGGAACACAACATTTATATTTGAGTTCTTGTTATCCTTTGAGAAACAGGAATAGAGAATTATTTCTCTACTGAAAAAATTAAGGAACAACAACAAAGAAGCAAATGCAGAAAAATACCTGAGAAGCTCTGGTGGGGTGATCAAACCTCCTTCATGCATTATATCAAAAGCAAATGCTCGGCCTCGACAAAACACAACAATGTGAACTGGAGAATAACCTTCAGTCTCTGAAAAAAGAAACAGAAAACACAAGGCTCAGATCTCCTAAAGTTAAATGAGAATAAAGCTACACACTGCCACTGGCAAGAAACAAATATTCTTCTAATGTTTGATTTTCATATATCATGGAAACAAAAACAACTAGGGAAAAGGAAGGACAAGAAGTTGATCAGTGAGTTACATATTAGATCAGAATAAGTTTTGATATGATATGGCACAATAGGGTGATTGTAAATAGTGACTGATATATACAGTATTTATACTGTATATATCAAATAGTTAAGAAACAAGTATTTTGAATGTTTTGCCATATAGAAATGACAGAAGTTTGGGGAGATGGATATATGTAACCTGATTTCACAAAGATGCATTACTGAAATGTGGCATTATCCAGGAATCTTCGAATCTCCACGTCATGTGATAACCATCTTTTACTAATATATTTGCAGTTCCAGGGACCAGGAAGTACATCTTTAGGGGGTAATTATTTTGCCTATTAGAAATAGTCTGGTAAATATAAAGATGGACATGTTCTCTCTGATATGTGGAAACTAGATCTAAAATACACTTGTATATGACAAATTATATAGGATTCTAGATACACACAGTGAAACACAAGAAAAACAAAGATACAATGCCTATGTGCTTCTTCATATTAACATAAAATTATATATATATATATATATAAACTAACTCCAAGATATGGAAACAAGAGACTTCTCTTTAAAAAATTTTTTATTTTTTCATGATTCTGTCTTCTCTTCCTTATGTATGGTGTATTCAAGTATATATCTTCAGGAGGGCAGGGGGAGGGTACAGCATTTGAAGGGGAAAAGGGTAAAAAAGTGCAGCACTGGAGCTTGCTGTGCTCTGATGCAAGTGAATGATACAAACTGGTGGGTGGAGACAGGAGGGAGAGACTGGGAGAGAGTGAGGGAAGAGAAGTCACTGCAGGAAAGGAAATGAACTCATTACCTGTCTCATAATTGTAATGCTTCTTACATCACCTCCATAATAACAATAAATTAATTTAAAAAATGTAAAGAAGAAGGTCAATGAAGAGCTTATGCAGGACAGTCATATTCTATTTCTGTTTTGCAATTTATTAAGAACATGAAAAAGCTCACTATCTGAGAATGAGGAGAAAGACACAGAAACAGTCATCTTTTAAGCAGTGGAAACAACAAACTGACAAAAGAGTGTAGCAGATAGGTGTGTTGGGCCCATTTGAGGATCGACTGAAATCAATAGGTGAGATTTCTTTCCCCACTCTGGCTAGGTTGTTAGGGGAGTCATATTTTATATGACTGAATTTTAAAATGTTAAAGCTTTATTGGATTAGAGAGGGGAAGGAGGCAAAGATTTTAACCTTTGTGTGTGTGTCCTGAGGCTTGAACTTAGCGCTTGGGCACTGTCCCTAAGCTTCTTTTGCTCAAGGCTAGTGCTCTACCATGTTAGCCACAGCTCTACTTCCAACTTTTTGGGGGTAGTTTACTGGAGATAAGAATGTCTCAAGGACTTTTCTACCCAGCATGGCTTTAAATCGTGATCCTCAAATCTTGGGCTCCAGAGTAGCTAGGATTACAGGCATGAGCCACCTGGCCTAGTGATTTTAATCCTTTTAGTATTTTTAATAGGCTTTTATTTCCTCTGAGGTGCAAGTGTGTCTATTTTTGCAATAAAAAGGATGAAGAAGAGCCCAATCGGTGTTTTCTGTGTTGTCATACAATGTGGGAGTTGAAGGGCAGGGTCATCTAGTGAGGCAGTGAGTAGTAAATTTTTAGAGTCTCTTGTTTTGAGTAGTTACAATGATTTATTCTTGTCATTATTATTCTTCCTTGAAGAGGGAGGAAAGTTGGCCTGTCAGAATGCCACGGTCAGGACAGAGCCAGAGCTACTGAGAAAGTTCAGCAACACTCTTCTCTAGTATTGCTTTTTCTCCTAACTTTAAATGACTGATTAAAATTTTTTACTTTGTATACAAGGGAGGGATTACAGTTCATAAGCTGTATTATTCAGGATAATTCAAATAAGAAATGAGGGTAGAAAATAATTGTGTAGACTAGTAATTCAACTCTTCAACGAAGATTTTAAGCTGTAGTAAATGGTATAACTTAAACATCCAGTTTGTGTTGAATCAAGTAGGACAGTTTCGTAAATCTATTCTCACACATTACAAACATCTAAACTAGGAAGAAAAAAGTTCACAGAAAGCCTTTAATTTGTCAGAGGCAAACTCTTCAAATTGTATCTTCCTCAGTAATACATGTTACAGCAAAACATCAAAATTCCAATACTTTTACTAAGAGACTCCTCATGTTTTTACTCACCAGTCCGAAAATAATTCACAATTGAGTCTCTAGTAATTCCTGGAATCTTGCAGGTAGAAAATAGCATTCGGAATTGATTCATATCTAGGGGAGTATTTCCAACCTTATGAACAGGCACTTTTTCTCTATTAAAAAAAGTATTTTGAGTAAGAATTATCTTTAAGCTTATAAATCAAAAAATCACAATTGTTTTATTTTTCCCCCAGTAAGTACATTAAGCTTCTCAACATTTGACTTTAGGTAAATCCGTTACTAAATTCATATAAGTGTCCTTACGTTCTTAATAGTTGCCAGTAGTTCAAGTTATGCCAAAGCATTATGCTTCCTCTTTCTAAGCAAGTGCCTTCCTTGGGCGGCCAGTAGTGTTCAAAATGGGGAGAAGGACCCACAAAGTTGACATTCAGTTGTGATGGTATACGAACATCCAGATAGGCAACATTCAGCCACCACTCTTCCAGCTAGAAGAAACTAACACCATCAGTCTACTGCTGTTTGAAAGAGACAGCTACATCTGTACTTTATTCAACATCCAAAACCATGTTTTCTTGTTTTATCATTTCACCTTGTTTCATAATAGATTTGAAAAATGCTACTGTGATCATTTTTGTCTCTCTTGGAACTGTAAGATCCTAAATATTATTTAACTATACTATCAAAAATAGAAAACAAGAAACACTAAAAAAGATACACTCAGATAGATAATCATTGAAATCACAAATATACAACAGGGTCCTTATTGAATTTCCTCAGAATAAGTAGGGTACACAGATACTGACTAAATTTCTTGTTTGTTTGGTTTTGTCAGTACTGGTGAGGTTTGAACTCAGGCCTTCATGAGTCATACTTTCTGGAGGTACTCAGCTTGTTGTTTGAGACTGGGTCTCACCAAGTATTTTTGGCATCAACCCATAATCCCCCTATATCTGCTTCCCAACTTTGATGCTTCAGAGACAGTCCTTTGTATGTGTCCCCCTTTCACAATAAGTAATTTCATGCCTAATAACCAAATATGATCAAATTCTCTGAAGTTCTTTTTAAAGAAATTCATGTTATCACCTGGGCAGAGCAGTTGCTCTCAATGTCTTTACCTTTATCCCCCACTTTAGTTAAAATCATGTTATGTGGGAGATGTAGCTCGGCAGCAAAAGGCTCTGAGGTCATACCCTAGTTCCAGAAAAAAACAAACAAAAAAATCACAAAGGATCAAAATTGTGAATAAAGGAGTCTGGGAGTAGACTATTTTATTATTCCATCATAGGTATTAAAATGGCTCATAAAATGTTTTCTTCTTGAAAGTATAGGGTGGTTACCATTATTGCAGACTAAAGCAATGCCTGTTTTGTTTGTTGTGCTGGTACTAGGGCTTGAACTCAGGCCTTGTACACTTGCTTAGCTTTTTTGCTCAAGACTGGCATTCTACCACTTGATCCATATATCTAACTCTTGGCTTTCTGCTGGTTAACTGGAGAGAAAGTCTTCTGTAATTGTCTGCCTCGACTGGCTTCAAAATGAAATCCTCATGTATCAACTTGCTGAGTCACTAGAGTTATAAGCATGAATCACCAGTGCCCAACTAAGTCAACAGTTTTGTTTGTTTGTTTGTTTGGGGTGTGTGTATGTGTGTGCGTGTCTGTTGGTCCTGAGGACTGAACTCTGGGTCTGGACGCTATCCCTGAGTTTTTCACTTAAGTCCCAGTTCCACTTCTGGCTTTTTGATGGTTAATTGAAGAGTCTCATGAACTTTTCTTCCCAGGCTGGATTTGAATTGTAGTCCTCAGACCTCAGTCTCCTGAGTAGTAAGATTACATAAGACACTGACACCCAGATATATTTTTTTAATTATAAAAACTCATTTCGTATTTGAAATACTAGAGACTACTGAAGTAGTTGAGCTGAGTAAGTCAAAAATTGTGGAAAATTACTGAGATCTTCCATAATTATTATAGCAGGTTCTCTCTATATGTCTAACTGAAATATAGACTATACGTAACTATTTTCCACTTGAATTTGTAATGGCCCCTTTTCTCCCATGTATTATTTAAATATGTCTATGCCACATGTTACTTTGATGTTTGCGTGCTTTTTTTTCAAGTTATAAACACCTTAAAAATGTTTTTCTCCAATAAGGTTTATAGATCACTGCATTAGAACTACATGTAGTAACCGAGAAAGCAAGACTTCTAGACTCCATTCCAGACTGACTGAAACAGAATCACTGTCTCTAGCAATTCTGTACTTTAACAAGTTTTTAGACAATGAGAAGCCCACTAATGCTCAAAAGTCCCCAGTTAAATCATTCGTTCATTCTTTCATATAATCATAATTGCAAGGACTGCAAAGATTTTCATAGCAATACTTTACAAATCAACAGGTATTCATAGTTAATTTTTTCCTCTTTAAACATGATCAGTTTTTCAGTAAGAAGTATACTAAAACAAAAATACCCAATTTCTTTTTGCTTTTGCCCTTGCGAGTAATTTCTGGTGTAATTTTTCTCCAACTCCATTTTGAAACTTTTGAACTATTTCTTCAGTTTTCTTATATTCTTCTTCATTTGCAAATGGCTTTACTAGAGAGATGGGAAAAAACCATGATGAATGGTATTTAGACATCAACTAATTCCAAATCGCCAAGTATTTGTATCTTAATGACTCAAAGTACAATAAATTACAACATGAAAATGGCTAAAACAAAAAAAAAGCAATGCAAAATACTCTCTAAAAAGACTATATATATATATATATATATATATATATATATATATACACACTCTCTAAAAAGAGTACATATAAAATTTAGGTATGCCATCATGGAAATGCTAGGTCTCTTCTCTACCTAACAAGTCCACACGTCACTATCCAGTGACTAAGTGAGTAGTTGGGGACTCACTAAATGGTGACTAAGCCCAAGCCATGGTTCATTAGTCACTAAGCCCAACTCTTGTACAGAATCTCTAGTCCTATCATACTTAAATATGAAAGCATAAGGATAAGATCGTTGAAGAAAGTCTCTCATACAAGAGAAAAATAAGCAAAAGGAGTAGCGAAATTAAGTAGTAAATAGACCAACAGGGAATGTACAACTATGACTTAAATATGTGGAGTGTGTTTAAAGGCCTGGTTCCCAGGGTGGTGATTTGGGGATGTGTTATGGACCTTTATGGGAAGGGGCTTCAAAATCAGAATGACAACTGTACTTTACAAGAGGAAGGAACAAACACCACTTTCAAAATTCTTGATGGTTTTATTTGTGGTTTTATTTGTTTTATTTGTGTTTTGTTTACAGTTTTGGGGGCTTGAACTCAGAGCCTGGTACCTTTCCTTAGCTTTTTCACTCAAGGCTAGCATTCTGCCTCTTGAGCCACACTTCCACTTCTGGCTTTTTGCTGGCTAACTGCAGATAAGATTCTCTCTCACTTTTTCTGCCTAGGCTGACTTCAAACCTCAATCCTCCTCCTGAGCAGCTAGATTACAGGTGTGAGCCACCAGCTCTGATCTCACCTTCACAGTTTTTAAGAAAAAAACACTTCCAACTCAGAACTCTATACTCAGCTAAAAGATCTAGGAAATCTTCTTCCTCTTTTTCCTTCAGATTTTCCTTTTTCAGGAAGCTACAAACAGTAAGTTAAAACAAAGAAGTAAATCCATAAAGAGAAGGAAAAGAATTGTTAAGACTCCACGGCAAGAGCCAAATGTGAATAGAACAACAGAATAGCCACAATAACGGCAAAGGAAAGATAATAGATAACAGCTGTCCCGCAAGTTCAAGAACAGTAAATACTAGGGCATTCCTAAAAGAATGTCTCTAAGAAGAAATAAAATGGACACAATATTTTATGTATTTCAATATATTCCAGAATTTTCACTGTTTTGAAGTGTTTGGGGATACATTATTTACTTTATACAAATGTATAAGTAAAGTAAGCATATGAAAAATAAGGGAGAAATGCAGCTTTAAAGAGGAAAGCAGGAGCCGGGAGTTTGTGGCTCACGCCTGTAATCCTAGCTACTCAGGAGGCTGAGATCTGAGGATCATGGTTCAAAGCCGGGGCAGGAAAGTCTGTGAGACTCTCATCTCCAATAAACCACTAGAAAACCAGAAGTGTCTCTGTGGCTCAAGTGGTAGAGCGCTCACCTTGAACTGAAGAGAACAGGGACAGCGCCCAAGCCCATAGTTCATGCCCCACGACCAACCAAAAACAAACAAAAAAAAAGGAAAGCAGGCCAGACGCAATGGCTCACGCCTGTAATCCCAGCTACTCAGGTGCTGGAGATTGGGCAGCTTAGCAAAAAGTTTACAAGACCCCATCTCAACAAGCAAGGGGTAATATACACCTATAATCCAAAAACATAGGTAGGAAGATAACTATCCAAGACAACTGCAGGTTAAAAATGAGAAATGCTATTCGAAAAATAACAAACAGAAAGGGTTGGAGGTGTGGTGCAAATGTCAGAATTCTTGCCTGACAGGCTGAAGGGCAAGTTCAAACACTAAGTACTGTCAAAAGAAAATATAAGGAATGAAATGCATGGTTCGTTGATAAATAATTAAATTCCAAAGTCAGGTGACTGTTTTTCAGAACCAAGCAAAATCCTGAATTAACCAGATGAATGCTGACTTAAAATGGTGACTTTTTTATAAACCATATCTTAAAAAATGAGAGAGGAGATGTGAATACATATACATATGTTGGGGCAGGCCACATTGGAGATAAACCCACATGCCTTTTAGGAATTAATTTAAAGTATCTATGATGAAAAGTCTCAAAAAATACTGTAAGCATATTACTTCCAATGAAATAAAACAATAAATAGATCAGTGATTTGAAAATTCTTGCCCTAGATAGGGAGAAAGGAAGACAGGTAAGACTGAACTTTAACTACAAACCTCTTAATACTAGTTGGCTTTTAACTATGGAGAAAACAAGTAAAGAGTTTGGGTATTTTAAGGATATTTTAATTATCATGAACTTATAAAAAGTAGCTTTTAGATACTCATCAACTTCTAATGCTATAGGTATTCTACGCTGTTAACAGTACTGATGCAGACTCAAAGATTATGAACATGCCAGGCATCAGTGGCTCATGTCTATAATAGCTACCCAAGCAGCTGAGATCTGAGGATTGAAGTTCAAAAATCCAGAAGTGGGGCCATGGCTCAAATGTTAAAGCACTAGCCCTGAGCAAAAGAAGCTCAGAAGCAGTACTCAGACCCTGAGTTCAAGCTCCATAGCCAGACAAGAAGAAAAAAAAAAAAAAAGATTATGAACATACCTGATTCGAGGTATTTTTTCAGTGACTCTTCAAGTGAAGGAACAGGCAGTGATGGAAGGGAATCCTGGTATTGAAATGTTCGTTCTTCAATGGATTTAGCCAATTGATTTTCCATTATATAATCACAATTAGAAGACTAAAAAAAGAAAGCAACCTCCTTTATACCTTCAATCGCATAAATACACACACACACACACAAACACACACATATATTACTTCCATTTAACTAAACCATATATCAAGTACATACATTTTCTTGGTTTTCACACAATTTATAAACTTGTCAGATGAATAAAAGCAACTTAATGAAGAAATGAAGACTCAATATCGTACAAAGTCAGAGTGATCAAGGAGACTAGTATAATCATTATGGATTGAATACCTACTATTTGCTGATATCACAGCATATTATAGAACAACTACTCCCTCCCATATTATTTCTGAGAGGTGGCATTCTTTGCCATATTATATAAAAAAAGAAACTCAAAGAGATTTAATTGGCCTAAGAGTCCATACTTGGCATTGAAATCCATACACAAAGCAACATGATAGAAGTTATAAAGAAACCTGGAAAATTAGTACGTAGAGTCTGAAGTGTAGAAAAGGATTATGAGATAAGAATACTTGAAAGACAGATGGAGAGGTATGGAAGACTTGTTCAACTATAGAGTTATAGATTATAGAATACATAAATCATATGATAAGCTTATATAACTTAATTGCACTGTTGGTGTGGGGCTTAATCTGATTGGTTTCAAGAATCTCAAAGCAATTGAATATTTTTCACATGCTTTTTTGGCCAAAAATCAAACTAACCAAAAAATAAGAATAGGTTGTTGGATACTAAATTAGATTTCTCAAAGAAGCCTTTATTTTAATAGAAACTGAGAAAACAAGGAATATCAATACTGAATAAATAAGAACCTTCCCCAATTTTTTAAAATAGCAAAGCAATGTATTCATAAATTAACACACTGTATTGAAATCCCTTTATATAACTACTTAAAGATTATTTTTAAAAGTTAAAAATATAGCAAAGCAAAACAAAATATTCCACTCTCTGGTTACAAAGTTAAACAGTATCAAAACAAGGGCAGAGCCAGGAATCCAAGGCTAATGTTTATAATCCTAGTTACTCAGGAAGCTGAGATCTGAGGATTGAGACTCAAAGTCAGCCGGGTAGTAAAGTCTGTGAGGCTCATCTCCAATTAACCATGTGAAAACGGGAAGTGGCACTGTGGCTCAAGTGCTACACACCCGCAGAGCAGAGGTTATTTTCACCCAGTAACTTTTTCCCTTCCTGTGCTAGTGGAATTCTAAGTTACTTTAGGTACATCATGTACATAGTTACCCAGCTCTATTTCTCCTAGCCCCACCCCTTGGAACTCAGTGTGATTTCATGATTGGTCACCTGCAGCTGATACCCTTACTAGGGACTGTATATATTCTTTCTGACTTTTCTTCCTTCTCAGTGATTATTAGATGGAACAGCACTCCTTTATGGTAGCCATTTGCTAAGGTTATCAGAATCACTTTTCTGACCCTGGACTCCTACTTACAGATAGATTTTCATTTGCTTTTAATTAATTCAGGATGTTTTTGGCAGTACTGGGAATTGAACTTGGGGCCTCATGCTTAACAGGAGAGCACTCTACCTGACTTGAGCCAGTCCTAAGTAAAGTTTTTATAAATAAATTATTATTACTATTTTTCAGTGTTGGGCCCAATGACGCATTCCTGTATTTTCACCTATTCAGGAAGCTGAGGGAGGATAATCGCTTTAAACCCAGGACCTGAATTTGAAGTCACCTTGGGCCAACACAGTGAGACCCTGTCTCAAACAAAAATAATAGCCACAAAAAACACTCTTTTATTTATGCCTGTATTGTGGGCTTACTTTATTATGAAGAAGAAGTGAGTCTATACCATTAACATAAAGAGAAGATCCCAAAATGGATGTCACAAAGATCTGATAGTTCTCCAGCTTCCTCCTGTCTAATGTCTTCAGGTGTACTCTATTTTGAACATCCACAATCATGGCTTTGGACCCAATGGCATTAGAAGCCTGGGTCCAAATAGAGACTCTGCCATGATCTAGCCATGTCTATAATGCAAATAACTTTAAATGAATTTCCTTACACTGAATGTATAGTCGTGTAATTCAAATGGAGCCATTAGAATTTTTAAGTGTCTGAAAAGCATACTATAAAAATAAGATTCTTATGTAACTGTAACCCCTCTGTACATCACCTTTATAGTAACCATATGTTTTTTAAAAAAAGAATTCCTACTAAAAGTGCTCAACAAAAAGATTGAAGCAATAATATTATGGTAGGCAGAATTTCTATGAATGGCCTCAAATTCCACACCCAGAATTTGTAAATATGAGGAGATCATTTATCTGTGATTGAGTCCTTATCTACAGAACTGATGTTAATCTAGGGATGTTGGACCTAATACAATCATGTGAGCACTGTGGAACAGACTCTAAAGTTGCTTTGGATTAATTTCTGCCCTTGAATATGCAGGTGGGCCTTAAGAAACTGAGAGGTACAAAGGATTAACATGCATGGGTACCTCATCCTACAAACGCATAGGAAGGGAATTCTCTCACAACCTGAATCAACCTAAGTGGATTCTCCTCCTCACAGTCTTAGAAAATAACCCATACTTAGAAAATAACCATGACTTCAGCTCTGTGAAATTCTATGAGGAGTCTCCAGCTAAACTCACTCAGATTTCAGATCTACAGAAAGTACAGGATAATAAATGTATGTTTTGTTCGTGAGAATTTGTTCCCTGAAATAGGAAAGTAATAAAAAAAATATGCACAGAAGATTAGCTGTTCCCTCGAGGGAACATTGTTAATATGCATTTCCTATCTACTATTGCATTTAATTCACCAACAGGTAATTTTAAAAATATCAGTTCTCAAGGTATTTCTTTAAGAGTTGTCTTGAGTGTCGAATCACAGGATTCAGTTAAACAACCTCATACCAACAGCATCAGAGAATGATGACAGTGAACTTCATTTAGTGTACTTCCTGCAGGCACTATGATGTGCGCTCACAGAGAGTGGCAACGAACAACCAGGAAAAGTAGAGGAACAGAACACCACATACCAGTGTACCAGGATGAACTGTCTGGGACGGCCAGGAGCTGTTGCAACAATTCAGATTTGAGACCACAGGGATTTGGATCAAGCCGACGCTGGGAAGGAAGACACAAGCTTAACGAAAATGTCAGACCAAAAGTAACTGAAGAGCTGGTGAGCGCAGGTGGAAGGCGGACAATCGAGGAGATGGAAGGCCCGGGAGCCTCCAACTTCCCTGCAAATACGCCCAGAAGGTTCTTCTGCTCCAGGGCGGGATTCAACCGCTATCTGAATGACTAGGTTTCGTTCCTGGGCTCCCGGCGCCCCGAGTCCGGAGGCTGCCGCCCGCCCGGGCCGAGCGACCAGCAGAGGACAATACGCGCTCGAGCCTCCCGCCGCCCTCGGGGCAGGCTGCCGCCCAGAAGGAGCCGCAGCTATCCCAAGCCAGCACCCCAACGCCAAGGAGCCTCGGCCCCGGGCCCGACTTCGGGGTGCCTCCGGGCCCCGCGGGCCAGGTGACAGGAGCCACCGCGGCTCGGCCGGGCTGCGCACCGCCGCGCGGTTCACCCGCACGACCCTTTCCGAAGACGCGGCTCCCCCCGCCCCGGGTGGGTGGGGAGGGCGCGAATCGAGCGCCGGCTCCGCCGCCCGCGGGTGCTCACCGCCCGCGCCGAGCCCCCCTTGCGCCGCTCACCGTTCCTCGGCCCGCCCGACTCACTCGGGGCTGCCGCGGAGGGGAGGGGTGGGTGGAAGCGCGAACTGGACGGGAAGCCGTGAGGGTCCCACCCATGGGCACCGGGGAACGGGATTGGACAGACACTCACGAGGGTCCCGCCCCAAGTGCGCCGCCGGGAACTGATTGGACGGAAAGCCTGGAGGGTGCAGGGTGAACCCCGACTGCCCGGTTGCCACCACCAGGCTCCGCCCCCGCCCTCCCCGTCCTCCTCTCCTCGTCCACTCCCCCTCTCCCCCCCCCACCCCCGGCTTCGAGGACGTGGGGTTGAGTTCCTGCCTGCGGGGTTCCGACCGACTGAGAGGATCGCTGCTGCGGGGCCGTAGCAGCTTTCTGCGAGGTGCTGCGGGAGCTCGGGCATCCTGGGTGGTGAGGTGGGTGTAAAGGTCCGGCTCCGCCCTCGCGGTGCAGCACCCTGTAGGATAAACCCCGGAACTGCGGGCTCGCCCCCGTCCCGGCGGTACCCGGGTTCGAGCCCTGCTCTGTGGGATAAACCCCGGAACTGCGGGCTCGCCCCCCCCCGACCCTCCCCCGCGCCGGGCCGGGCCCGGCCAGTCTCCCCGTCCCCGCCGCGGCCCGGGCCGCTCACGGACCCTCGCCGCGCTCTCACCGTGCAAACCGGTCTGATTATTTTTTTAATATCGCGACACGATGTGAAACTTAAAAAGCAAGTGGAGCTGGACGAGGTCGGACGGAGATCCTGCGGCCGGTGTGAAGTTTCCCGGGGTCATCATCTGTTCTCATCTGCCTCCTGAAACAAAATGCACTGCTTCGATTGACCTTAAGGACATTGTTTCTTTTTGTTCTCCTTCTGTGTCACGGTTGTGCAAGGAAAGTTTGTGCACTGGCTCTGAACTCGATTCCTGTATAAATAGTAACGCGTTTCTGTGATAGTGTAGTGTGCTGGAGATGTTGCATGGTAAACACCACACCCAACTTTTTAGAAGAAGAAAAAAAGTGACGCCCTGGGGCTGGGAAAGTGGCTCAGTGGTAGAGCGCTTGCCTTGCATGCTCAAAGCCCTGGGTTCGATTCCTCAGCACCACATAAGCAAAAAGAAAAAAGCCGGAAGTGGCACTGTGACTCAAGTGGTAGAGTGCTAGCCTTGAGCTGAAGAGCTGAGGGACAGCGCCCAGGCCCAGAGTTCAGGCCCCACGACCGGACCCAAAAAAAAAAAAAAAAAAGTGACGCCCTGCAATATTTAAAAGGTTAGGTGCTTTATTGAGATGTAATTTATATACCGTGAAGGTCACCTGTATGTCTGGTCTTCTTCAGTGCCACACAGTCTTGATAAATTCAGGTTTCTAGTATGTAAATTTGGAGATTATGCCATTGGAGATTATGTACATTTTTAATGGATATTTTTGGTTATCGGTATTTTGGTTATTGATTTTATAGATATATTTTGGTTCTTGCTTTTCCAAGAACGTAACATTCTACAGCATAGAGACCTAGAATACAATATGTGTTTTTCATTTAGTGCAAAAATATTAACTTTTCATGTACCTTATCCCTCTAAGGAACCAATCTAATCCAATTAGTGAGTCGGAAAAGACAGTTCCTAATTTTTTTTACCACAAACTATATCTTCATTTACTCAGGAGAAATGAAATAGTCACACATGTAAAGTTCAATATGAATATTACTAAGAACATTAGGCTTTTATGGATAGTATTTGTGTTCTTTAGGAACTTTTCCAATATGAATGGCTATTCAAGAAAATAAAGGAACTTTTTAAAATCCTCAACAGGAATGCAGTTTCATTTACTTTAAGTAGTGAATCTGTAACTTACTCCTGCTACAATGCCTGGTTAGTCCTGAAGTGAAACAACTGGAGCCTAACCAATTGAGTGCTGTATATTCCTAGGAGAATTACATGATTACAAATGTAGTTTAGAAAATCACACAAGAAAGGAAATTCTTTATTACTAAATTGATTATGCGTTAAGTGCTTTGTTGTTACTTCAACATAGCTACTTTACTGACATGGTTATTTATTAGCATTACCAAATGGCCTATGCCGTGTGCAATTGTTTGTGCTATACTTTTACACAACTCACAGTACAGTAGTCCCATTTACACCAGTATATCTCAGTCTCATGTGTAGCTATGATTACAAGCAAAACCCCTCAGGTGTGACTTCCTTCTTGCCAATGGAAATTCTCTATAGAGTCTCACAGCAGTGCAAGGTAACACGATGGAACTTGTTTTTATAACAAAGACCCTTCCTTTAGCCCATGACATGCAATTAACAAGAGATTTGAGGGATTATGTTTACACCTCGTGAAATTTAGAGGGCACAATTCAAACCATAGCAATATAATTCTGTTACTTATCAAGGCACCTTTCACCTTTGTACCTCTGAACTCTGCTTCTGATTTGATTTTACCTCTCAAGTTTGTGACTAAAATTAAAATTTACGGGGGAGGGGGAGTAAATCTCCTTAGACAAACCATTTCTGGCTAAGCAGAAAGTTTTTCTAAATTGACTTCTCCTTTCCCGCTGAAGATCATACCAGAACCATCCACTGAACTGAACTCTGCTTATAACAGTCTAGAGCTTCAGCGCTAGATTATTTCCTACTTTTCTTCACATTGCCTTTCTCTTTCTTTGTCACCTCTTTGGGGATGCCTGAACACCAACGATATTATGCCAGGGACACACTTGGCAAAGTAATTGATGTTATAGTACTGTTGGTGACACATGGCTGCATTGTTTCTCATTGCGAATGAATGAATGTGGAAATAGTATTTACCTGGAGAAAAGATATGACTTCCTGAGAATTTTACTAGTTATTCCACATTATTTATAAAATGTTAGCAGAATCTAACATTTAATCTTTAATTTAATATTTAATCTAAGTCTCCTTCAGCTTTCTCACTTGAAAAATACAATGTTTAAACAAGGCACTGGTGGTTCATGCCTGTCGTCTTAGCTACTGAAGTTCCATTCAAAGTTATCCTGGGCAGCAAAGTTCATGAGACTCTTAACTCCAATCAACCAGAACAAAGCCAGAAGTAAAGCTGTGGGTTAAATGTTAAAGCACCAGCCTTGAGTGAATAAAACAAGAGCACAAGGCCTTGAGTTCCAGCCACAGTACTGGCAAAAAATAAAATAAGATTAAAAATAAATAGCCAGGCTCATGTCTATCATCCTAATTACTCAGGAGGCTGAGATCTAAACACTGAGTTTTGAAGCTAGCAGCACAGGAAAGTCCATGAGACTCTTATGTCCAATTGACCACCAAAAAAAGCCAGAAGTAGAGCTATGGCTCAAGTAGTAGAGCACTAGCCTTGAACAAAAGAGCTGAGGAACAGTACCCAGACCCTGAGTTCAATCCTTAGGGCATCAAAGAATAAATAGATTAACTAGATGTTAAAAATAAAATTTATAAATGAATAAAATGCTCTGGAATTGATCCCACCTGTTGTTATCACTGGAGGTAATTGTGTGTGTGTGTGTGTGTGTGTGTGTGTGTGTGTGTGTATGTGTGTGTCTTGGGAACAGAACCCAGGGTCTTGTACATGCTAGGCAAATACCCTACTACTGAACAATACCTCCAGCCTATAGAATTCTATGAAGTGTGATAACAGTTAAATGAACATTTCATGGTTGGAATGATAAATAATAATGCAGTTTGCATCCAAGTCGCACACCAGAAGAGCTAAGTTTGAAACCACCTCTATTTTTAGAGGATTTCTTATAAAATATTATAAAACATCCAGTCCAGATACACAGTGATTCAGTAGTTATACTTTGTTTGTACAGCTATAAGCTGTCCACTTTGCCAGCCAGTGTATTTAGGTATGATAAACAATGAGAGAGGCATTGTCATAGTAAAAACAAAACCGTTTAGCTTACTAAGTGGTAGGTTGGGAGTCAAACACAGATCTCTCTAACTCCCAAATTTATGATCTGTCGCCATGTAACCACTATTTGCATGAATCCCCATAGACCTAGCTGTCCCAGCATTGCTCAAAAAAGGCCAAGTCAAAAGATTTTTCTGACACTGAAGGCAACTCATTATGTTCTGGCTGTCTGTATTGAATAGGTCACACTCAGTTATGATCATCTTAAAGGTTAATATTTTTTTCCTTTCCTCCTTGGTTCTAAATTTTCTAATGATATGAATTCTGTTGTTAGTATTATTCACATCTTGAGTTGTAAGCTGGTTTAACCTTCTTGAATAGGAAAGACAGCAGAAATTCAGTTAAAATACACAAGCATCTGGACCATCAGTTTCATAAATCTGAAACTTGAAAGGGAAATAAATTCTCATATTGAACCCTCAGTGTAAACATTGTCTTTTATGTCACATTGTAAATCATTGACTTCATATTTACTCATCCTTTCTTAGTCTTAATACATTTCTTTCTTCCCCTCCTTCCCCCACTCCCACCTCCATTGGTTTTGGAGCTTGAACTCAGGGCCTGGGCTCTGCCCCTGAGTTTTTCTGTTCAAGGCTAGCATTCTACCACTTGAGTCACAGCTCGACTTCTGGTTTTCTGGTAGTTAATTGGAGATAAATGTCTCACAGTCTTTCCTGCCCTATGCAATCCAGAGTTGGGCATTGCCCACCACAAGTGGGAGGTTACAGAGACAGGCAAAACCAAGTGCTCTGATCAACTTGTCATCCACTGAGTTCACATTTCTTCATCATAAACCCTCTGTAGGGCAATCTGGTTTTTTGTTTCATTGTGTCTTCTATCTGGTTTCCTGTCAATGCCTTTGGGGATGTAGAAACATGATGAATACACACAGGAAATAAAAATGAGTCAAGTGAACCCAATTGTGGAAAGAACACTGGAGGTTAAGAATAAGGAGGAGAAAAGGAGAAAGGGGTGGAAGTGAAGAAAGAAATGAAAAAGGAGCAGTTATCTATTTGTAATTCTTGGGTTTGAGTCATGATATAATTATCTGTTTCCCATATTGCTGGATTTGGTTTGCTAATATATTGTTGAAGATTTCTCCATCTATGATCATGAGTACATTGTCTT